GGTATATGCGAATACAGCAATTTGACAATGAGCGGAAAGAAAGGCAGTTTTATCACCAGGCTTGATATGGCGTTTCTCCAGCTCATTTTTTGCCTTCTCCCAAGCTTCGTTTAATAGGTCGTTTTCGCGTCTATCACATTTTAACATCTGTACAGCCTCTTCCTCGGTCTTTTGTAAGACATTTCCAAAGCCTATTGCTTTGGAGAAAGCTTTCTTCTGCACTGTTGCAGCATCTTCAATTCTGATCGCATCTTTGCTGAATTCAACAAATCTGTCCTGTCGAATAGCCATCTAGCAAAAAGTTTCAGATTTATGGATTTGCAGTTGCTATAGAAAAATCTTACAAACAGGCAATTAGGACAATATTAAATAAAACAATTATATGAATGAACAAGAAGGCATGCTGGATATCTTTTTTCTGATGCTAATTGATTTTGATATGTTAAAGACATTGAGTCATGAAAAAGGCATTGTGCCTAGCACTGGCAACATCATTTTTTAATTACTTCATAACTATAAGCGAAATTTGTTGTCTGGAAGAAGTTACATCTTTCCGTATATTTTTTGTACAGAGACCCCCGTTTGCATATAAAGACCCCATCTAATGTTTTCAAATGTTCCTCCGGAATTTTATGGATAGTTAGTTTTGTACAATACAGCAGACTCCAAGGCAAAGAATATAAATTTCCTGTTCTGTTTCCCAGGTTTTTCTGCCAGAAGAACCTCAAAAGGGCCTAGACTGAATTTCCTTCTGGGAGCCTGACAAAGAAGACACAGCGATATACAGGATAAAAAAGCATTTAAAGTCACCTTGAAACAGGTTCATGCAATATCATACAACTAATAAGAATATTTGTTTACCTTGTGGTTAAACTTTCTTGCCTGCCAAGAGTGGAAAATCGTTCTTTCACTCAAAAACAATGCTCGAAAGGCTTTCAACAAAACAACAACCAAATTGCGCTAATGAAAAACGGCAAAGTAATCAGAAGGGTTAATAAGAATGCAGGATTGTGAGTCTTGTCCTTTTTCCTAGATCTATTTTGAGTCAGATTTCCCCCTTTCGTAATGTGTTTTCGTCAACTCTTTTAGACGTTTATATTACTTTCAGACCTTGAAGTGTTTTAATAACAATAATAATCTACATTTATACAGGATAATATGCTTGGTCAGCTTGCTCAGAAACTGCTATCAGTCAAGGTCCTGTTAAAATTAATGTTAAAAAGAAAATTATAATTACAAATTACAATATCAAAATTAAAAATATCTAAAAATTAGAAGTTAAAATTCACTGTCAAGCTGATCGTATTGGTAAAGCCTTAGATACCAATACTTTGTTAAATGTTTAATTTCGTAAAGCCTTAGACAGTGCTATCACTTCAGCGAGGAATGATTTGATTTCATTTGATTTAATTCAAATTCTGCTACAATACAACAACTTGTTATATACGTTATAGTTAAATCAATTGTAGAACACAACAACAACAATAACGTTGTTCAAAACACAAGTCAAAGCAAAATTCTTCAAGGAGGAGGCAAGACTTCAATTATCGAGTTTTGTAATACTGCCAAAATTTAAGTGAATTTCACATGGCCCATGGTTCGTCTCGACTTGAATTTTCTCTTTGAGCAGCAAGGCAGCCATATTGCGCGCCTAGCTCGATAGCATTTAAAGTGCCCCCTTCGACAGAAATCTCTAATAAAAAATATTTTTTTATCTTGTTCTGAAACTTTCTTACTAACCGAAAGCGGAAAATCGTTTTTTCATTCAAAAACAATGCTCGAAAGACTTTCAGCAATGCAGGATTTCGAGTCTTGTCCATTTTCCTGGATCAATTTCGAGTCAAATTTTCCCCTTTCATAACGTGTTTCGCCAACTCTTTCAAAGTTTATATTACTTTTAGATTTTGAAATGTTTTAGTTTTGAAAAGCTATAGACAGTGCTATCACTTCAGCGAGAAATGATTTGATTTCATTTGATTTAATTCAAATTCTGCCACAATACAACAACTTGTTACATAAGTTATAATAAATCAATTACAGAAAACAACAACAACAACAACGTTTAAAAACACAAATCGAAGCAAAATTCTTCAAGGAGGAGGCAATACTCTATAACTAAGGAGTGAAGGCATCCTTTTTGTTGCAGCGATCTATATATTCATCGATAAAATTGTGTCTCGTTGAATGAAAATGATCTACGGACTAAACAACCAATTTTGCAAAGTTTAGTGACTTTCAAACAATTTCTAGAATGTAAATTTTCAAACATTTTTTTAATTAAAAATTTATATCCATTCTATGTAATTTTAAGTTTTTAAAGATAGGAAGAGTAGAATGTAAAATATAAGGTGTCTATTTGAAATCGCCCCGTGTTAACCATTTGTAACACAGTTTCAAACATAAAATAGAGTTCAAAGTGATGACTTAACAAGAATCTATTTCTGGAATTTTTCAGAATTTACAGTATAACCAGAGCAAAATCAATCGAATGTGCTACAAATTGGCTGAGATATGGCCAATGGAGTTCAAAGTAATTTAATGAGGAAAGAATCTGTGCTCATTTGTCACATATCACTCAGTTTTGATCCTTCTAAACCCAACATAAAAATCTATAAATAATCTTTCTTGGCCATTATACACACTTGAAACGTACATGTAGAACGATTGATGGCCTGGGCACGGTGGCCACTGGAATTTTTTGCTTGGAATTGCAGAAAGGATGGCTTATTTAAAAAGAATTTGGTTTTCTAGGCATAAATGAGAGAGAATTTTTGTTGATAACAAATCTGATTTAATAGCTCAACATTAAAGTCTATTTTATCTGTAAACCCCGTTTTTGAAATGAAATGACAGAGACCTACATCGTTTTGGGAACGAGGCGGGCATTGGCACAGATAAGTTGCGGGATGCCAGTGCAATTGGTTCCGTTGATGCAATTCGCCGAATGGTGTACCGAGTCAAGTAACTCGAAATATAAATCCATTCATTCTTTCTTTTCTATACTGTGGAGTCCAGCTGCGCAGATTCTTAAAAGAAAGGAAGAAGACCGAGGAAAAAGTTCGAAATAGCAAGAGTTCGATATACTGTAAGTTCGTTTATTTTGTAAAAGCGAGAAGTTCGACATAAGCGGGGTTCGTAGTAGCGGATTTAAACATCTGTTGCTTCCAGAATTTTTTCCATGAATAGGCATTATTCAAATAACGATAACTATTTTCAGAAATGTGTTTTTTTTATATCTAGAACAATAAATACTGTAAATATTGAGAGAGAAATCTCTCATATCTGTTCTCTTATCGATAAATAGTTAAGAGCAAATGAACAATAATTTCATTAGAATAATAAACCAAGTTGAATATTTTTGAAATCATTTTTAAATCACAGGTAGAACTCGATCCTCATTCTACACAAATATCTAGACAACAAGTACAACAACCAAAAAATAAGAGCAAAAGCTGCATGGTTTAAGGAATGTCAATGAAGCTTAAAATTTGTCCACCAGCCACACTGCAAAAAGACCAGTTCTAGTTTAAAGGAGTATACGCAATAGAAATTAGATTACAAATAAACTTTTCTATTCAGGGGAAGGAGCAGTCTACACTCTATTTTTATATAAGAATCAAATGATTTGTTGGCAAAGATCAGTCTTGTTTTTTCATGAATAATTCGAGGCTCCGGTGTCGTTCATGTTGCTTTTATTTTGCATCAATACTTCCACAACTACATTTCAAAAATTGTTTCTAAGAAAACCTAATAACAGTTTTACATGGTATTTTTAGTAGCACGGGTAATCAGCTGACAAAATATATCCTGTACTATTAACAGAAGATTAAATTTTCAAAAACACATCGTTTTTTCTTCTTATTTTTCATCTAAGGCTGGGTTTGTTCTTTGTTGGTCTAATTTTTGGCAAGTCGAGCCTCGGTGTTCATAAAAAGTATATTCTTATATAAAAATTTGTATATCAACATCTTTCTTCCAGTTTTACCACCTGTCTCGTGACTATGTCATGCTGGAAGGCTAAGAACGGACTTTGATCAAGCATGAAGTGCTAATCCTAATAACAATATATAGCTTCTATCTCAAAGGCAGAGTGACACACATCTACTGACAACTTGAGCCAAACGTAAGATACACGATCTTCTACGGATTAAGAAATATGATTCAATACTGTATCTGTTTCCAGCGATAGTTAAAATGCAGCTTGACTAGAATATAATGATTTAACAATGCACTCTAATATTAGTATTGGCCATATAAATTCGCAAACGGGCGATTTACTGGTAAAATGGGCTCTACCATGTCTAGGTACAAAGCATTCTAACGTTTTTCTGACATCTAGTGACGAAATTCATCATGCTTCTTCTGAGGTCAATCCACAGCTACCACTTCTTGTCTTTCTCCGTTGCAAACATTCATTGAACTACACTGTTTACAACGAATAATACACACGTCGGTTATCTTCTAAATCGTTTATTCGTGAAAAATCGAGAATAAACTTTATTACGTTAAATTTGAGCGGGTATAGATTTCATGAGATTGGACATTTCAGGGAACATAAATTTATGCAAATTGGAAAACTACTATCTTTTGTGTGCGTTAATTAGCGCAGTGTGAAACACGTGATCTCACATTAATACTTACTCTCTTATCCTACCTTGAGATTCTCCAAGTATTACGGGATAATGCAGTATTAGTATTGTTAGTATAATGCAAAACTGTATTAGTATTTCAATAGATATTCAACTGGTAGGTTGAAACTTGCACTTCTTTCGCTGTCAAATTTCTTGTTATTTACATCGTCAGGAAAAAATGTGATAAAGCACACAACTTAACACGTTACTTAAATCACTACAATAGACTGCTGGCGATAAATCCTTGTACCAAAAAGCAAATAAAATACTAATTAACTAAAATGACAGTTTGGTTAATAAAATGGCCATAAACTTTCAAATTATCTGCCCAGTCTCCCTTAGGAGTGTCCTAGAAACTCCTCTGTCAACAATATAGGATCAAAGTCAGAGTCTTGCTTTAACTTTCAAAAATTTAAAATGTGTATGCGTATTAAATAAAACAACAAGACAAATATTCGTAGGATATTGATCATCACAATAAACAATTTAAAGCAAAATTACTCAAATCGACAAACCCTGTACTTTGAGAAGCCAGTTTCAACAATTTAGTAATATCCTGTTATGCAGTTTACTTTTTAAGTTTGAAATCTCTGTGGTAAGTACTTTATAGGATTTGTTACAATTAGTTTATTGTTTATCTTTAGTAACATTACCTTGATCGAGCTTGATTTAAATAGAGTTGAACGCATAAGTCGGATATTTCATAACTCGGAAAAAATTTGGTATAGATGCTTTCAGTTTTAATACCAAAAGTCGGATTTAACAAGTCCAATGATTTACCGCATGGTAAAATTAGACTAGCATTGCAATCTGCAAACATTTTGGTATCCAACCCTGGACATAGGGGTCTCTTAGAACAAAAAGCTTCCCATCATAAAAAATCGTTCAGGATCATGGACATGTTTGCTTGAATATCAAACTGAACTGAAATCAAGGCCCTTAAGTGGCATTTATCCACTACGAAATAGAGGTTACGCTTTGATATGCCAAGCATATTAAAAACAAATGCCACTCATATTCTCTGAGCATTTTCAACATTCAACATTTCAGCATTTTCAAACCCATATGATTCTTTTTCGACATTCAGCGTGGAAAATTATCCTCAGACAAAATGTTATGAATGGAGAAAAATCAAAATTTATTTACATCTTCTTTCTTTAATACGAGCTTTGCTCAATGTTACTTTGATATGCAATATGTTCATCATCAAATGTTAGTGCACATTTTTGGCTCTGGCTAATTTTATACATTTTAATCAGCTGAAAACACTGATTAAAATTTTCAACAGAATTGATTAGCTATTATGCTACCGTATTTTATGCAACACCTTTAAAAGAAAACGACTAATGTTAAATATTTAACGTTATCAACGATTTATATGAGCCATATCTTATGTTTAAACAGATGTCTAGCTACAACTGTCATGTAAGATTAAACGCCATGATCAGTAACAAATTTAACTGCCTCATTTCTGAAAACTAAAATCCTATTTAACATTTTTAATTCAACAGCTTTAAGATTGCAAAATGTTTTCAACAAAAGAATGATGGTCAAAATATGTATTAATGTAGCATTTACATGTTTGTGATGAATGTGCAAGCAAATAAATGGTTTTGTCATTAAACGAAAAAAAATTTTGCGTTATATATCAAACAGACTTTGGAAAAGTCAATTATCCTTTCTTTGTGGGGCTTATATAAAAGGCGGACCAAATTGAAAGAAACGGAAGGAGGCATTAAAAAAGAGACATCGAGAAGGCAAATGTGCGCCGCAGTAGTAACTAAGTGTAACATGTACAAAAATCATTTTCACTAGGAAAAGGGAAGTGGAAATAGTGTGGAGCTGATAACTGATCCTGTAGATTCTTCAATCTTCTCTAATCCAATTCTTCACCATTTTCAAAGAGAAATACATAGATTTCCTGTGAGGAATTTTAGATGCACACTCTTTCGGTTCGTAAGACATCTGTACGGCTTCACGATACCTGGCTCAATGCTTATGACATAGAGCACAACTTGCTTTTCAGATGCTTGTCGCGTTGTTGTTTTAATAAACCTATATCTTTCTTACCTCTTTCATCTCCTTTGGGCTCATCTGGTTTCAATTCGCTTTCCGGCAAAGGTGCTCTGCAATCTAATGGGGCTGGGACCTCTTTTCGTACCTTTTGTACGTCTTCATTGGTGCTACCACTTTCGTCAGTAGAGAGGTCAGGAGCGTCTTCATTTTCAGAGGCTTGTTTCGGAAGTTTTGTTGGACTCTTTGGTGGGTCAGCAGCTGGTGAAATGCAGCTTATAGCAGAGTTTGCAAGAGATGGTGTTATAGAGCTTGAATCTTGTTGCGGTAAATTCGGAAGCGTTTTCTCCTTTTGTGTATCATCGTCCTTGAGGGTGCTTGAAAACTCTTCTACGCTGTTTACATGACAGAGTTTTTTTGGCGTCAAAATTTCCTCTGAAACCATATGTCCAGCTCTTGCTTTATCGAAATAGAGAGGATTGTTACTCGCTGGGTCAACCTGTCGGTTTGCTCTGAAAGTCAAAGTTGAGTCAAGAAGCTCCTCAGTGCTAAGAAGTGTTTTAAAAGAGCCTTGAAAAAGTACTGGGTGTGTAAGGATGAAGGCGATAAAACGAGCTGAAAAGTCTAAACAGAACTTATTTCCCGCATAGGCCACTTTAAAATCTTTTTCCGGGCGAAAAAGTCCAGGATTCTTCCATATTCTGTCATTACAAGAAACAACTGACCATATCAATCGAGAGTAGGCCGGAGTCAACGGAAGTGGTTCCAAACCTATAGGAAAGAGAACCAGTCTGTTGGAAAAACGTTGCCTGCAAAGAGCAGTGTTGAGTTCTTCTGAGAGTTCTGCAGATTTAACAAAGCATCCTGACATCAGTGGGACGATGATAGTTGCATCGTCAAGCAAGTTGTGTCGAACCTTAGATTTCTCTGGTATCGAGAGATTGACCCCAGGAAGGTAATGCTGCAAACGCTCTGCTAAAAACTCGCCATGTGACGCATCCAAATCGTGGTAGCACAACATAATATCAGTGCTATTTGACTGTCCAGTTCTCCACAACTCGCTTCCGGTAAAGTCGAATACATCTCGAGTATCTAGACCGTCAAAGAACTGCAATCCACGTAATGTATGCTCTATCCGCCAGTCTGATGTTATTTGCTCAACTGATGACATCCTGTGATCTTCTAAAAGCTCAAATTCTAAGAAAAAATTAAAAAAAACTTTGTCTTACAAAAAGAAGAAATACAAAAAACATCACGAAATTGAAATACATTATCTGTTTTCCGATGAGGCTCCTTTGACACAAACCTAGACACTGTTCGTTGACTAATTTAAATGGATAAACAAAATGCATATAGGTTCAGGATTTTGTAACTGCGTTTGAACAAAAGATGTTGCGATTCTTTTTTTACATAATACCGCAATCAATATTCTAAAAAAGGTAACATAGCTAAAAAATTGGAATTTAGCGCATTTTGATGAGACTCCTTTCATCAGATACTTCACCAAATATAAAATGTTGAATAATAAAGAGAACACATACAACATAAAAATAATACTAGTACAGGGTGAGACTTCTTCATCTTAAAAGTGAAGCACTAAGTCACTAAGAGGGTAATGCTCCGAAGTAACCAGAAAACAACAGTCTAGAGAACAACAAGAGATCTCGTCGTATAAACCAGACAACTAGTTTTTACCAAATGGCAAAGTTAAAGAAAGGTTGCGAAGACAAAAAGGGAGGCACTACCTACCTTCAAACAATTTGATCTTTTGGATAATCTCCATAAGTCTGACATGTGTTCTGTCAGACATGTCTCTGCAGTCAATAGGGGTATAGTTGCTACACCATACTGGAAGTCGTTCAACTGGCTCCACTAGAATGGGAATCAATTTAGTGCTGTATGCCGGGTCTGAGTGCAATGCTGACGCAAGGTTGTATTCTTCTTGACAAACTTTTGACTGCAAGTAAGGCGGAGCCAACAGCGTAATCACATAACGAGATGCCTCTAGAATCAAAATAAAGCATCCCAATTAAGATAATGCTGAGGCCAAAAAACATTTAATTACCGAAAACTATTTCAAGATGTAATATCAAACCAGAAAAGCGACAAGCTTTAATGCTTAACAAAAAGATGACAGAACCGTCGCTACGATGGGGCGCGGGCGGTAACACCTCCTTTGGAAAAATGTTTCTTTGTAATGTTTATTTGTCACGTAGGGGTGCTTCATCGGCAATTTTTCAGACTTGTTGGTAAAAGGGATCTGAAAAACACACTTGAGCACAATCGCTAGCGACGGACCTGAGACGAAAACTTGAAAAACTGGATCTTTGAGTAATTTCTAGTTTATTCTGATTCTGGGTGTTCAAATTAGCAGACCATTGACGTAGGAAGCAATTCAAAAGTGGGGGTGGGGTCACATATGCCAAAAAAGGGGCAGCTAGGCACTTCACCTCTTTTTCTGAAAAGTGAAGGGGGAGTGTCTCCTGTGGCGCCCTGTTCCTACGTCTTTGTTACGAACAATTGGATAGATTCGTATAGTGGCATTTTAATGTTTGTAATAGTTGAGTACACAGCAACATAAATGTGCAATCACGAGGATGGCTAGCCTGGGACTCACAGCATAAACAGGAACAATACAAGAACTAGAAATGAACAAGGATGTCATCTCTTTCTCATTTATTTTTCTAGATGCACACTTTAACTACCATTGCCAGTTAGGTGCAACGTTGTGTCACCGTACTGGAAGCGATGTTGCAAAAATGAATATATCTAGTCAACGTACATAACATTCGGTTTAAAATCGACTGTCTTATACCTACTGTAATGTTCTAAACGAGGCTGTTTAATTATGAGGTTATTATGATGTAACACCGAAGTGACAGAAGCACGTTTTATATGAGTGTTACTCTTTGTATAATTGAGGACTCTTCATATGGCGACGAGAATGGAAAGTGTTTATAAACATCAAGCACAAGTTGGCTCTTCTGCAGTGACAGAGTCATGAATGCAGCAAGCAGGAAAGTGACTTAATTTTGCTTTTCATTTTGAGTTAGGCCTTACGTCTGCCCGCACGAGGCTTATTCCGCATAGACAAGGTGTATTTTGCGGACCACGGCACTAGTGCCTACAAAGTTTTTGGTATATTCTACGGACCACACCCAAACGCCGTAATATACCACTATTCTGTTTTTTTTTATTTGTTATAAATTTCTTTTTTCATAAAAAAAATTTCTTACAAGCATGGCCTCTGCACTAGTGGGTCTTGAAGCGTGCGTAACGGAGTTTAATCCAGATGTGCAACAAGATGCTGGTAGCAATCAAGAACGCCGATGGAAACTCTGGTTAGAAAACCTAGAACTGGTGATGGATTTTGAGGGCATCACTGACGCTGCAGAGGGGCCTTCAAAGAGAAGGGCTGCATTGCTTGCTGTTGGTGGCTCTGAATTACGGGAGCTTTTTGCAACATTGACAGTTGCGGATGCAAAATATTCAACCGCCACAGCTGCTCTCGCTGCACATTTCACTGCGAAAAAAAATTTAGCTGCGGAGCGCTACAAATTTTTCTGCACCAAGCCCACCTCCCCAGAGGAATCTCATGATCACTGGGCGACTCGCTTAAGGATCAAAGGTGCTGATTGTGAATTTAATGAGATGGATTTAAATTCTGCAATCACACTGGTGATGACACTGCACACTCACTCCGAAAAATTACAAAGGGAGATAATTGCTCAAGATATGGACTTAAAGAAGGTCCTAGCTACTGCTCGCTCTATTGAGCTTACCAATAGAGAAATTGCCTTCATGAAGCAACACAATATGGAGGCTACAGCCACACCAACACCTGTCTATGCTGTACAAGGAAAGCACCCTAAGGCAGAACATCTATACAAGTCTAAAGGGAAAACCATTGAGATCTGCCGCTATTGTGGAGAGCGAACACCACACAAAGGGAAATGCAAGGCCATGGGTGCAACCTGTAAGAGCTGCAATAAGAAAAATCATTTTGCTAGTGTTTGTGAGTCAAGAAAATCAACAAAGCCAGTCAAAACGGTTGACACAGAAGAAAAATTTGATGAAAATCCAGAGCAAGACAGTTATATCTACAACAATTTTGTGGAAGGACCAACTGTTCTCAAGCTGGATGCAGTCACTACACCAGTTCATGCTATCCAGAGCAAGAAACGATATCCGGATACCATGGTGCAGGTGAAGTTTGATGGGGGCACAAAATTGAGAATGCAAATTGATACAGGTGCAGATGCAAATATCATTGATGAAAGCCTCTACCACCAGCTGCACCCTAAACCAAAACTTAGAAGAACACAAGTCAAGCTCAAGCCGTACAACTCTCCACCCATTCCGGTAAAAGGATCCTTCCAGACACAGCTAACAGCCAATGGAAAGCAGGCCATTGCAACCGTGTATGTTGTTCCAGGATCAGGACAAAAACCTCTCATTGGAAAGTACACTGCTTTTGATCTGAGTCTGCTTAGCATCACTGTGAAAGAGTTAACCGCAGACATGCAAGACATGCACCATGTGCTGCAGGAAAGAAAACAGGGAAACAAGAGTGCCAAGGCCACCACTCACGTCACTCAACACATGTCATATTCAGCTATGGCAGAGCATCTCACCTCTAAAAAGTCTTCCGAACAGCGGCTGGACAATATCTACAAACATAAGCAAGATGCAACAGACAGAGTTAAGGCCATCGTTGATCAGTACCCTGGGGTGTTTGAAGGTATTGGCAAACATCGATACAAAGTTGTGAAGTTGTCCGTGGACAAGTCAGTACCTCCAAAAATTCAACCACAGCGCCGAATACCCTTTGCAAAGAGGGAGCAATTTGAAGCCATTCTCAAAGAATTGGAAGATGCAGACATCATCGAGCCAGTGTATGGACCAACAGAGTGGGTTTCAAATGTCGTGTTGACACCAAAAGCTGATCCATCCCAGTTGCGAATGAGCCTTGATATGACCACAGCTAACACTGCCATCCGGCGCACACGTCATGTCATCCCCACATTGGAAGAACTGCGATACAAATTAAATGGAGCCAAGCATTTCACAAAACTAGACATGCGTCAAGGCTACATGCAGTTCGAGCTGAGCCCAGAAAGCAGATACATGACAACGTTCTACACCCATCAAGGCCTGAGGCGTTTCAAAAGGTTAAATTTTGGCACCAATTCAGCTGCTGAGATTTTCAATGAGGAAATTCGTCAAACGCTGGTGGATATTGAACATGTTGAGAACATCTATGATGACATTATCGTGTTTGGAAAATCTCAGAAAGAACATGATCGAGCACTTATGCAAGTATTACAGCGCCTTGATGACTGCGGTCTAACACTTGGCATGTCAAAGTGCAGTTTTAACCAACCAGAAATCAAGTTTTTTGGCATGACTTTCTCATCAGCAGGAATGTCACCATCACCTGACAAAGTACAGGCTCTACATGATGCCCAACCACCCGCATCTGCAGCTGAAGTTCGATCCTTCTTGGGAATGGCTAATTTCAGTGCTCATTTTATTCGCAACTACTCTGCTCTTACAACCCCGTTGCGGTTGCTCACTAGAAAGAATGTTACTTTCAACTGGACCAATGATTGTCAAAAGGCTTTTCAGTCAATTAAAGAGGCCCTCTCACAAGACACCACAATGGCATACTTTGACCCAACACGAGAAACAAAGCTCATTGTAGATGGCTCCAAATATGGCCTTTCTAGCATCTTGACACAACTTGAGCCCCAAACACAACAATACAAAGTAATCAGATACGACAGCAGAGCGACAACAGACACTGAGAGTCGCTACTCACAAATTGAAATTGAGAGTGCTGCACTAGCATTCGCCATGCAGAGAAACCATATCTATCTACATGGCCTTCAAAATTTCATTGCAAGCACAGATCACAAGCCTTTGTTACCCTTGTACAACCAGTACAAGGCAGAACTTCCGGCACGAATCCTGCGGGACAAGTTGAAGCTGCAAGATTATAGCTACACACTAATTCACGAGCCGGGGAAGACAAATCCAGCTGATTACCTTTCCCGGCATCCAGTTGTCTTAGCTGATGTGTGTACCGTAACAAAGAAATCCATAGAAGAGGATATGCTTTACATTGATGCAGTTGTCCGAGCCAACCTTCCCAAAGCTGTAACAAAAGAACACATGTTAAAAGCTACACTAGAGGATGAAACATTGACAGTTCTCAAAGAAATGATCTCACAGGGATACATCAGCAAAGAACAGAAAAGGAAATTGGCTTCATATACACATATATTTCCAGAGCTATCAGTAGTGGATGGCCTAGTGCTCAGAGGTTGCAGAATTGTTGTTCCTGCCAGCCTTTGGCAGTCTGTGACAACCCTTGCTCATGAGGGACATCAAGGGGTTGTGAGAACAAAGCAATACTTACGCATGCATTTGTGGTTTCCGGGATTAGATAAGAGGGTTGAAACAGAAATTGCACAATGCATGGCATGCCAGGCAAATACAGATATTCATCAGCAAGAGCCACTCAAGCCAACAGAACTACCCACAGAACCATGGTCTAAACTTGCAACAGACCTATATGGTCCATTAGACACTGGTGAATACCTGCTGGTTGTACAATGCCTGTACTCCAGATTTCCTATGGTCGAAATCGTGCGTTCAACTTCTGGTACAGCAGTCATACCAGCAATGGACAAAATTCTCTCAACATTAGGAATCCCAGATGAAATAGCAAGTGACAATGGGCCACCATATAGCAGTGAGGAATTCAAATCGTATGCAAGATACATGGGTTTTGAGCACAAAAAGAAAATACCATATGCACCATGGGCGAATGGCATGGCCGAAAATTTTATAAAAAACCTAGGAAAAATCATTCGCTCCTCCACAGAAGAGCGTCTAAACTGGAGACAGGAATTACAGAAATACCTGAGGGCCTACAGAGCTACTCCACACACAATGACAAAGCATTCTCCAGCCAGTCTCCTTTTCAATGGACGAAGGTATAAGACGCGTCTTCCAACACCTACCAGTAAGAAAATATTGCTTTATGACAGAGAGGTGCGTACAAAGGATGCTAGGAGCAAAGAAACAATGAAGCAGAACGCAGACAGCAAGAGTTATGTAAAAGAACTAGATATTAAAGTAGGGGACACAGTTCTGTGTCGACAAGCGAAGCTCAACAAGAAAACCACACCTTTCAACAACGAGCCGATGATTGTTGTGAAGAGGAAAGGCAGTTTAGTTACAGCCAGAAATGCCACAAGAACCATCACAAGACATATTACATTTTTCAAGAAGCTACAAAGGCTGGATGAGAACAAGTCAAGGTGCGAAGGAGATTATACCACACAGCCACTTTCACCTGACACTGATGAAAGAGAAGAAAATGTCATTCCACCATGAAGTGCCAATAGAGAGACCGGTGAGAATAAGACAACCTCCTGCTAGATACAGAGATGAAAACTTTCAGACTGAGTTTTAATCCAACAATACAACAGACACAATAGAACCATGTTATGTTATGTTATACTTTATCAATTATGTTATGTTATGTTTTGTTTTGTAATTAGGGGAGGAATGTAATGTTCTAAACGAGGCTGTTTAATTATGAGGTTATTATGATGTAACACCGAAGTGACAGAAGCACGTTTAATATGAGTGTTACTCTCTGTATAATTGAGGACTCTTCACCTACCAATACTTTTGTACAGTTTTACTTGCCATGCTACGCCCGTTTGCAACTCTGTTATGTCAATGAATATGTTCCACTCTGGATAAAACCGGGACAGATACCGCTGAATTACATGGGCTACGTCTGAGTTTTGGTGGGAATAGGAGATAAAGACATCATATTCATTTCTTACAAAAGGTTTCGCTACTTTTAGAGTTTGGGTTTCTGATTCCAAATGTTTTATCTCTGCCAAATGCATTTGCAGCCAATCTGTGAGGGACTTGCAAGCTTGCGAAATTTTATCTTGATCCGCAGTTCTGTGAAAGATATCAAGTATACGAATTGAATATCTACTCATAAAAGAGCAGTTGAAGAGTTCAAAGATTACTATTGGCATATCATGTCATAAACTTGAGCACCGACGACTATGTTATTATGCCAACAAATGTAGAGGGGGGCATATAGCTTTCTTTATATTGTATACAAAATGAATGTTTCTGTTCTTTTCGTTTGCATCTCTCCTCAATATCAATTTTTTTACCATTCCATATTTTCTAGGGTTAGATTATCTTCTAATGTCTACCCGTTACTGGAGTAGAAAAATCTTAAAAATATTATGTAAAGTAGTAAAATTTTGCCAGTATTTATTGAGTTTTCAGTTATCAAGAGGACTATTGAGGTCATAAATGTCAAAAAGTAATATCGGTTCAATTAAAGATTTGACCCTGGCAGAAATTAGCCATGATATGTTAGAATTACCAAGAATATAGAGAAGGGGCGCAGCCCCCCTTCAATAGGTAGTAGAGGGCTTAGCCCCCTGAGTCCCCCTCTTCTACAGCCCTGACTGTAATATATATTTATTACATATTTTATTTTGCTACTGTAACCTTGTAGACATGTGAAACCATAAATATAGCAGTATCGTGGAAAAGCTGGTCGTGCCTTTCTGGTTTGCATCTGGGACCCCGTGTTGACAAGAAATACCTGAAAGGCGCACTCTAGTTTTAGAGGGTTAATGGCCAATAACAAAAAAGGCAATTCTAACAAATCTGAACGATGTTCAACTTTGTTTAGAAGAGAAACTTCCCATCAGAGAATCCAGTAAGAATTCCATCCTAAACAAAAGATCCGAACTTTATCAAAATGCGGACATCAAAATAAATTTTTCTTGTCTAACCACCAAAAAATAATTACATATATGCCCCTTAATTAACACCTTCGGACACTGAAACTACCGATACCTCCAGGGCAACTTAACGTAATAACACTCATTGAGAGAGTAGTTTAACAGTTGCCTGATGGTTGCATTAAGCGTGAAACTTGGAGTAGCAACTTAGAACCATCATGTTCTACACAACAAGCGCATGTTAAATAATAGACATCTCAAACAATCGAATATATATAGATGTAACTTCACCTGCAGTCTACATATTGTATAAGACACATGTATGTTGGCATGTCATCAATTGAATCAGTGTAAAAGGGTGCTAAGTAATCTCTCTTCATATTTCTGGTGCAACAAAGAGCAATGTTATATTGTTCAATACAGGCTTCATCATCTAAGAATCTTGGACTCAGTATTGTTATTACACGTGCACTTGCCACCATGACCTAAAATTGAAAATAAATTCCTTTATTTTTTTGGAAAAATAAATTTTGTGGACCTTGATAGCAATAGGTTTTTTGCAAAAAATTCATTTAGGGAAACAAAGTCTTTCAAAACTCTTAAAATCCTCTTTTAACACAACATAAAAATTATGTTCGAAATGTATCAATGTATCAAGATATATTAACCTTTAAATTTCAAAGGATTTTTATGCAATAAATTCAGAGACTCTCATTCTTTAATCTGCTCTCAATAATTAAAAAAGAAAGATGTTTCCTAACATTTTAACAGATATTTTCATCTTGGGGGGGGGAGGCACCTTAACATGTTTGAAGGTACGGGGACGTGCCATTATTTAAGGGTACCGGAATTATCGGTATCACTTTTTGAAATATGTGTGGAGCTATGGGTACCATTTAAAAAAACATGCAGAATTATGAGTCCCATTTTGGGAAAATGCTGCAAAATTATTAGGAGGGATATCTAGCATTAACAAAATGAATGACCAGTTGGAAAAAAACTATGAAATATTTGTAATATTGAGATTTTGGGCAAAGCTCATGCAAAATTTATTTAATGATTTTTATGTGCTTTAAAAACGTTATTTGCTTTGCTAAATAATGGGCATAGCTTTTATCATGTTTGCAGAATTGTGGGTCACATTTTTGCGAACATTTGAGGAATTATGTGCCCAATTTTCTAATCAAAATGGCACGTCCCCGACAAAAATTAGCTTTAGCTTACCCCCCGAGATTGACATATTTCGAAAAACTGTCAGGTATGCAACACAATTTAAAAAGGACCAACCATAAAAGTTACGTAGGCCTCAAAACGCAAATATTGCAGACCTCGCAAATAATAAATAGCTTACGAAAGGCTCTTAGAGATTGTTTATATGACCAGCTTTTTTAAAAATCGATGCAACATAGTTAGCACGCTTGATATGAAGCTTTAAATTGGCTTCACAAGGAGGCAAGAGGCTCAGATCAATTTTTTCTTCCCTTATTCAAACTTTTGCATGAAGATCTTGTTACGTAGCGTGTTGACTGACAGTCATCCTTGAAAGAGCTCTGTGCTTTCCTTTTGCCCTATTTCAATCCCGCTAAACACAAAAGATGGCGCAATAAGGAAGAACGCCAACAGCAAATTATACGAAGCTGCCATAAATGACCGGAAAATCTAAAGGTATGAAGAACTTTCACTCGCAGCGAAAATGAGAGCATGCTTGATCTTTTTGCTTCTATACTCAATTTTTAAAATGAAAAACTGGTTACCTGGTTGACTAGTAATGCTAAATTCTAAAAGTTCTCCCCATGTGGATATTTCAGACAGATTCTATGTCTATATTGCATGCAACAACTAGGGATAAGTTTATGTACCTTGTAAATTTCTTCTTGCCATGAAACATTCTGATTGAGAGTCTGATGCTTGGTAAAAATTCTTATGGAGTTGTTGGTTTCTTTAAGGTTTTCAGTAACTACATTTGCCAGTTGCTGGTCTGCATTATTGTATGAAAGATAGACATCATACTCAATTGGGTGCACCTGTGTTGTAATAATGTAAAATAAATTCCTGCAACATTCTCTAGAACTTAATTGACAAATAGATTTATTTATGATAACATAATGATATTTTTTATTATTATCAAAACTATATGCTAACAAGTACAAAGTTTTGATTAAATTAATAGAGTATTAGTTTACATCATCATTAAATTAGTAAACAGCTAAACATAACTTGGGTGGAAACCTCTTTGCATGCACTACCAGATTTATTACCAAGAGAAGCCTCTGGTATCCAGAAAAAGTCATCTAGTGGCTTATTAGAGCTTATCAGCGAAATTTTGAAATAATTCTTCCCTGAATGCGGAGACCTTCCTCGTTTGTAGTGATGCACTTATGGTATTCTAATGTACGGAAACCCCCAAAAGATGAACCAAACTGATGTTTTTTATTTTGCATACATTTTCTTATTTTAGGCCGGGCAAAAGTGATAATCAACGAAATGTTGTTAGTCCGCAGTGCAGACTTCCACATTTTCTGTATGCTGCTGGCTGGTCTGTCTTCCGCACTGGACACGCGGAAGTGAATATTCATGATATGGTTTGAGAATTTTGGCGCATTTTGTTGTTATTTTGCCATATTTGTTTATGTTTCGCAGTATTTCGCAGTATTTCGCAGTATTTCGCAGTATTTCGCAGTATTTCGCAGTATTTCGTTTCGTTTCGTTTCGTTTCGTTATGTTTCGTTTCGTTTCGTTTCGTTTCGTTTCGTTTCGTTTCGTTTCGTTTCGTTTCGTTTCGTTTCGTTTCGTTTCGTTTCGTTTCGTTGATTATAATAAGCCTCACTAGGTGGTATACTTTCTCATGATATTGTCTTTGTTATTCATATTTGAAATTTACATGTTAGAATTTTCTAATAAGAATCAAAGTATTCTCAAAGCAACCAAAGTTATTTTATTCAGAAATATCATTACTGTATGGCTTTAATAGTGCACGAACAAATCATATTGAGTCCAATGTAACAACTTATTGTAACAATACCTTTGATTCTTCATTCTCTTTGGCCATAATCTCACCCCATTTAACCTTTAGATCTCTGAAGTATGACAACAAGGGATGTTTGTCAACTCCACCTAGATTTCTTTCATAGATAACAATTTTCAGAACTTTTAATGGTAAACCAATTTTCATCCAATGGACAGCTGCTTCAACAATTAGACGAAGCATCATTTCTTGGTTGTAGCCCTTGAAAAGATAACTTTATATAATATGCAGAGTTTGATAAGGATTAAATTTAGAAATTGAATACTGTATATACCTTATAATAAAAAACTTTGTTCATCTAATCTCATAATTTATTACAGCTACCTAAGGCCTTCATCAGGCCTGGCCATAGGACTTTTAGCAGGGGAGCAGTAAACAGGTGTCCTAGTTACTTCCAGGGGAGCTAGCTACTTGTGGATAAATAAGTATAGAAGCAAAGGAAAAATTGACAGGGAGAGCTATTTACTTTTTAGAGCAATTTAAGAGAGCAATATGTAGCCCCCGTCCAGCATTTACGGAGGGCCTGGAGAGGAGGAAGAGCTGAGGCTCTCCTCAAATGAAACAACCTAGTAACAAGCGGAACAACCCAGGAAAAAGCAGAACGACCCATTAACAAGCAGAAATCAGGATTATTTCATTTATTCCATCTTTTAGGACATATATTTCAGATAAACATTAGATAAATTTATCCAAAAGGATATTTTTCAATTAAATATTCATCAATAATGACAGATGTTCTATATTATTAGAGGGGGGGGGGGCGGTAAATAAAAACCTCGGCCTAAAACTGGCAAGAAGAGGAAGATTGTGGCTGCTTTTCAGCACAGAAGAAGTAGCCGCACCATACTTGACATGAAAAATATTAAAAGGGACTGAAAATAAACTGCCTTACATTTAGTGTTTCAACTTCATACATGATTTTAAGAACATCCTATTCTTCATATCTTGTCGAACCTTTTGAGCACAATTGTAACATTAATTTGTGTAAAATTCAGAAAGCTCTGTTTACCTGATCTCCAGAAGCTAAAAGTGGCATAATGACTTTAATGTCCTTCTCCTTACACATTGAGATTAGACATCTGAAAACTTCACCTACAACCATCGGAGGTCTTGAATTTTTCTTGAAACTACCCTCAAAGCAAAGTATTCTGCCATAGCTGTACTTCTTTGCCAAAGGCTTAGACCACCAGCATGAAAATAAGCGTCTATGATCCTCTTCTTTATCCTTAGATAGTTTCCTTACACTTATCTTTAAGTCACTTTGCAAGGCACCGATGACAGATGTTGGTGTGGGAATATAGTCATCTATATAAGAAAATTTGGTTTGAGCCTTTAAGAAAAATAAGCCTGCACTTGAATTAGCTATACATTTACCATAAAAGCTCCACAAGATAAATAAAACAATAGCTCAGATTACATGCACTTGGAATTTTTTAATTGCCTAAGACATTGTGAATATTAAGGCACTTTTTGCTCTATGTGTTAAAATCTTCTTTCGTCATAACGTTGCATGCAAACACAAGCTTTCTAAAAGTAGGTTAGTTTTCGAAATTTCAAATGAAGCACTACCCTGACTAAACTGGCTCCCCCACCATGCTCCACCTGGTGTGGAGGGTGGGTGGACACTCAGCAGAATTGAAAATAAAATCTGTCAATCCACTCCAATTATGGGTCAAATAGGGAAATTCTGGTCAGCAGCAGCAAGAATCGAGCTGTCAGCGGATGATCCATGGACAACGGGAAGATCTTGTGTCCTTGTTAGTTGGACATTGCTCAAGTTAGCTGAGAACTGCGCTAAAGAAGGCAACATCAAACTACTTTAGTACTGGTGCCTAGAAAATATTATGCACAATGTCAGGAACAAGAGAACAGATGGTGTTGGAAGATGAGCCCCCCCCCCCAGGTGTGAGGACACCCCTCAAGCTACAGGGGAAGAAGCTCCTCTCCTCGATGCAGCTGGCTGGGATTGCTGAGCAAAACCCAACTGGAAGCTCTTCACCTGAGATTGTTAAAAATGCTACGAGATAAGTGCGCTTTACCAACAAACATAGAATTGCTACATGAATGCGAGAAGTATATCCAGAAGGAAATTAGAAATCGTTAAATCAGAAATAGACCAAACATCCATAACAACCATGGGAATCAGCAAATTCAAATGAATAGGAAATGTTCACTTTCGATCAGGAAATCACATGGAGTACTACTCAGGTCATGAATCAAAAAGAAAAGCGGGGTAGCTTTCATCATAAAACAACAAGTGGCAAACTGTGTGATGGGATACAACCCGGTCTCCGACAGTCTGATCCCAATTGAATTGGAATTGAACGCAGGCTCAGCATGGCAAGAACAGCATTAACAAACCTGAAAAACTCAAGCGAAGCAATGACTCATCAAGAGAAACAAGACCAGAATGGTTGGAACGCTGCTCTTCCCAATAGCATTGTATGGTTGTCGAAGTTGGATAGTCAAAAAGCAAGATAAGATACAAATTGATGTCTTTGAATTGTGGTGCTTGAGGAGAGTGTTGAAGATTCCACGGACAAGGAGAGAAACCAACAAGACAGTGATTGATAGAATGGCAAAATTGACTTTAGAAGTGCGTATAATAAAGCCTACACTGACTTACTTTGGTCATATAATGAGAAAGGAAAACAGTTTAGAAAATAATCTGATGTTGCCAATGTGTGAAGGGATTTAGAAGAAGAGGAAGATCATGGAAAAGATGGATTGATGGTGTGGTGGGAGTGACAGACAAACTACTTGCGATACTGAAAGAAGATGCGAAAGATCGCAATCAAAGGAGAATGCTATTTAAATACTGTTCGGGCCATCTTCAAACTCAAAGTTTTGCATTATAAAAAGCCTTCACCTCTACCGCAACAACTCATGGACAAAGTTTTGAAGGTCATGCATGGGTCAAGCATGTTTTGAAGATCAAGCATACAAAAACATCTTGGCCGAGCATCAAAGCAACTTTTTAAAGGTGATAGGGAGGGAACAACTATATTTATTTTTTTCAAAGAAGGACAATGGTATCTGAATGATAAGGAAGTTTGCGGGGCCTTCTTACTTGAAACTCTGAGAGCTCTGAGACTGAGAGCTTCTCGCAAAGTCGCGTTGAACTTTTTAGTTTCAATGCATCCTTTCCATCAACTCTTTTTACCGAGTTGCACCAACGAAGCTTTTTCAAGGTTCTTTCGCGGGAATCGAAAAAAGGAGGTCGCTTCTGATTACCATCAGTGTTGCATGCAAACTGTTTTCCAAGAGATCGCTCCTTTTCTTTCTACCATTCTTTAATCAATCTCTTTTTCCTCTATGCCCATTTTCCATTAAACTTTCGATTAAAATTTACCGCTTGTGGCCATCGGCGTGATCGGAATCACTTTTCTCGTTTTAGATCGCGCGCTTTCATATGCTCATTTACGTCGTTGCGAAAAGTGGTCTGAGGAAAGATGATCAGAAGAAAGGTGGCTTTGGACTTCCAAAGCAAAAAAAAATGTTGAAGATCTTTTGAAATGTTGCAACCTAGCCAGAATTTGTAGGCAAATTTGAGGCATTTCACATTGACAGAATTTGTAGGCAAATTTGAGCTTTTCAGGACTGTACTGAAAAGTTTCACAGTCTTAAACCTTTTCTGTGAAACTCAGGCTAGCCTGTATTTGCACATACTGTGCATTTTGTTCTCTTTGATTACAACATATTAAAACTCTTTTTGTGCAGTCATTAAACTTTACAAGATAATTAGCAAAATTCTTTGAAATATTTGTCCAATAAATGCTATCGATCATATCATCAAATTCAAATTTCATTTCGTTAAGCAACATTCTTACAGCGAGTATATTAAATATCTATTTACTTGTTGTCATAAGCATAAAGAATAATCAAAAGATTATAAAAAGAATGTCCGTGAGTGTTGCCTAGGATACAAACCTGAAAGGTTATCGAGCCCAGTACCATATTACATACGCTTGTGAATAATTATTCATATTATACAATTTGAATTTCAAAAAATTATAAACAACAGGAACAGAACAAAGTTACATGAAAGAATAGAAAAGTCAGATCAAAAAGATTTTATCACTTGTTCCTATGATTAAGAAGTCAGGTCACGTCAAGAAGTTAAAAGTATTAATTTCAAGCAATAACGAACAAAAAATTTACCTGGGAATGCTGAGACAACCAGTACGTCAACTTTATCTTTTTTATCGAGTTTTGTTATACTGCCAAAATTTAAGTGAATTTCACATGGTCCGTGGTTCGTCTCGACTTGAATTTTCTCTTTGAGCAGCAAGGCAGCCATATTGCGCACCTAGCTCGATAGCATTTGAAGTGCCCTCTTCGACAGAGATCTCTAATAAAAATATTTGTTTATCTTGTTCTGAAACTTTCTTGCTAACCGAAAGCGGAAAATCGTTCTTTCATTCAAAAACGATGCTCGAAAGACTTTCAGCAATGCAGGATTGCGAGTCTTGTCCTTTTTCCTAGATCAATTTCGAGTCAAATTTTCCCCTTTCATAACGTGTTTTCGCCAACTCTTTTGAAGTTTATATTACTTTTAGATTTTGAAATGTTTTAGTTTTGAAAAGCCTTAGACAGTGCTATTACTTCAGCGAGAAATGATTTGATTTCATTTGATTTAATTCAAATTCTGCCACAATACAACAACTTGTTACATAAGTTATAATAAATCAATTACAGAAAAAAACAACAACAACAACGTTATTAAAAACACAAATCGAAGCAAAATTCTTCAAGGAGGAGGCAAAACTCTATAAGCAAGGAGTGAAGGCCCCCTTTTTGTTGCAGCGATCTAAATATTCGTCAATAAAAGTGTCTCGTTGAATGAAAATGCTACACGGACTAAACAACCAATTTTGCAAAGTTCAGTGACTTTCAAATAGTTTCTAGAATGTAAATTTTCACACATTTTTTTAATTAAAATTTTATTTGTAGTTCTTATTTCAACTGGTAGATTGTTCCATGATATGTAATTTAAAGTCTTTTAAGATAGGAAGAGTAGAATGTAAAATATAAGGTGTCTGTTTGAAATCGCCCCCTGTTAACCATTTGTAACACAGTTTCAAACATAAAATAGAGTTCAAAGTGATGACTTAACAAGGATCTATAATTTTTCAGAATTTACAGTATAGCCAGTGAAAAATCAATCGAATGTGCTACAAATTGGCTGAGATATGGCCAAGGGAGAACTTTAAGTTTAGAGTAATTTAATGGGGAAAGAATCCGTGCTCATTTGTCACATATCACCCAGTTTCGATCCTTCTAAACCCAACATAAAAATTTATAATTAATTCTTCTTGGCCATTGTACACACTTGAAACGCACATGTAGAGCGGTTGATGGCCTGGGCACGGTGGCCACTGGAATTTGTTGCTTGGAATTGCAGAAAAGATGGCTTATTTAAAAAGAATTTGGTTTTCTAGGCATAAATGAGAGAGAATTTTTGTTGCTAACAAATCTGATTTAATAGCTCAACATTAAAGTCTATTTTATCTGTAAACCCCGTTTTTGAAATGAAATGACAGAGACCTACATCGTTTTGGGAACGAGGCGGGCATTGGCACAGATAAGTTGCGGGATGCCAGTGCAATTGGTTCCGTTGATGCAATTCGCCGAATGGTGTACCGAGTCAAGTAACTCGAAATATAAATCCATTCATTCTTTCTTTTCTATACAGTGGAGTCCAGCTGCGCAGATTCTTAAAAGAAAGGAAGAAGACCGAGGAAAAAGTTCGAAATAGCAAGAGTTCGATATACTGTAAGTTCGTTTATTTTGTAAAAGCGAGAAGTTCGACATAAGCGGGGTTCGCAGTAGCGAATTTAAACATCTGTTGCTTTCAGAATTTTATCCATGAATAGGCATTATTCAAATAACGATAACTATTTTCAGAAATGTGTTTTTTTTATATCTAGAACAATAAATACTGTAAATATTGAGAGAGAAATCTCTCATATCTGTTCTCTTATCGATAAATAGTTAAGAGCAAATGAACAATAATTTCATTAGAATAATAAACCAAGTTGAATATTTTTGAAATCATTTTTAAATCACAGGTAGAACTCGATCCTCATTCTACACAAATATCTAGACAACAAGTACAACAACCAAAAAATAAGAGCAAAAGCTGCATGGTTTAAGGAATGTCAATGAAGCTTAAAATTTGTCCACCAGCCACAGTGCAAAAAGACCAGTTCTAGTTTAAAGGAATATACGCACTAGAAATTAGATTACAAATAAACTTTTCTATTCAGGGGAAGGAGCAGTCTACACTCTATTTTTATATAAGAATCAAATGATTTGTTGGCAAAGATCAGTCTTGTTTTTTCATGAATAATTCGAGGCTCCGGTGTCGTTCATGTTGCTTTTATTTTGCATCAATACTTCCACAACTACATTTCAAAAATTGTTTCTAAGAAAACCTAATAACAGTTTTACAAGGTATTTTTAGTAGCACGGGTAATCAGCTGACAAAATATATCCTGTACTATTAACAGAAGATTAAATTTTCAAAAACACATCGTTTTTTCTTCTTATTTTTCATCTAAGGCTGGGTTTGTTCTCAAATTGGTCTAATTTTTGGCAAGTCGAGCCTCGGTGTTCATAAAAAGTATATTCTTATATAAAAATTTGTATATCAACATCTTTCTTCCAGTTTTACCACCGGTCTCGTGACTATGTCATGCTGGAAGGCAAAGAATGGACTTTGATCAAGCATGAAGTGATAATCCTAATAACAATATATAGCTTCTATCTCAAAGGCAGAGTGACACACATCTACTGACAACTTGAGCCCAACGTAAGATACACGATCTTCTACGGATTAAGAAATATGATTCAATACTGTATCTGTTTCCAGCGATAGTTAAAATGCAGCTTGACTAGAATATAATGATTTAACAATGCACTCTAATATTAGTATTGGCCATATAAATTCGCAAACGGACGATTTACTGGTAAAATGGGCTCTACCATGTCTAGGTACAAAGCATTCTAACGTTTTTCTGACATCTAGTGACGAAATTCATCATGCTTCTTCTGAGGTCAATCCACAGCTACCACTTCTTGTCTTTCTCCGTTGCAAACATTCATTGAACTACACTGTTTACAACGAATAATACACACGTCGGTTATCTTCTAAATCGTTTATTCGTGAAAAATCGAGAATAAACTTTATTACGTTAAATTTGAGCGGGTATAGATTTCATGAGATTGGACATTTCAGGGAACATAAATTTATGCAAATTGGAAAACTACTATCTTTTGTGTGCGTTAATTAGCGCAGTGTGAAACACGTGATCTCACATTAATACTTACTCTCTTATCCTACCTTGAGATTCTCCAAGTATTACGGGATAATGCAGTATTAGTATTGTTAGTATAATGCAAAACTGTATTAGTATTTCAATAGATATTCAACTGGTAGGTTGAAACTTGCACTTCTTTCGCTGTCAAATTTCTTGTTATTTACATCGTCAGGAAAAAATGTGATAAAGCACACAACTTAACACGTTACTTAAATCACTACAATAGACTGCTGGCGATAAATCCTTGTACCAAAAAGCAAATAAAATACTAATTAACTAAAATGACAGTTTGGTTAATAAAATGGCCATAAACTTTCAAATTATCTGCCCAGTCTCCCTTAGGAGTGTCCTAGAAACTCCTTTGTCAACAAAAGATGTTCCTCAATGGGAGCGTATCTTTTCTAATATAGGATCAAAGTCAGAGTCTTGCTTTAACTTTCAAAAAGTTAAAATGTGTATGCGTATTGAATAAAGCAACAAGACAAATATTCGTAGAATATTGATTATCACAATAAACAATTTAAAGCAAAATTACTCAAATCGACAAACCCTGTACTTTGAGAAGTCAGTTTCAACCATTTAGTAATATCCTGTTATGCAGTTTACTTTGTAAGTTTGAAATCTCTGTGGTAAGTACTTTATAGGATTTGTTACAATTAGTTTATTGTTTATCTTTAGTAACATTACCTTGATCGAGCTTGATTTAAATAGAGTTGAACGCATAAGTCGGATATTTCATAACTCGGAAAAAATTTGGTATAGATGCTTTCAGTTTTAATACCAAAAGTCGGATTTAACAAGTCCAATGATTTACCGCATGGTAAAATTAGACTACCATTGCAATCTGCAAACATTTTGGTATCCAACCCTGGACATAGAGGTCTCATAGAACAAAGAGCTTCCCATCAAAAAAAATCGTTCAGGATCATGGACATGTTTGCTTGAATATCAAACTGAACTGAAATCAAGGCCCTTAAGTGGCATTTATCCACTACGAAATAGAGGTTACGCTTTGATAAGCCAAGCATATTAAATACAAATGCCACTCATATTCTCTGAGCATTTTCAAGCCCATATGGTTCTTCATTCAGCGTGGAAAATTATCCTCAGACAAAATGTTATGAATGGAGAAAAATCAAAACTTATTTACATCTTCTTTCTTTAATACGAGCTTTGCTCAATGTTACTTTGATATGCAATATGTTCATCATCAAATGTTAGTGCACATTTTTGGCTCTGGCTAATTTTTTTACATTTTAATCAGCTGAAAACACTGATTAAAATTTTCAACAGAATTGATTAGCTATTATGCTACCGTATTTTATGCAACACCTTTAAAAGAAAACAACCAATGTTAAATATTTGCTCAATGTTACTTTGATATGCAATATGTTCATCATCAAATGTTAGTGCACATTTTTGGCTCTGGCTAATTTTTTTACATTTTAATCAGCTGAAAACACTGATTAAAATTTTCAACAGAATTGATTAGCTATTATGCTACCGTATTTTATGCAACACCTTTAAAAGAAAACAACCAATGTTAAATATTTAACGTTATCAACGATTTATATGAGCCATATCTTATGTTTAAACAGATGTCTAGCTACAACTGTCATGTAAGATTAAACGCCATGATCAGTAACAAATTTAACTGCCTCATTTCTGAAAACTAAAATCCTATTTAAAATTTTTAATTCAACAGCTTTAAGATTGCAAAATGTTTTTAACAAAAGAATGATGGTCAAAATATGTATTAATGTAGCATTTACATGTTTGTGATGAATGTGCAAGCAAATAAATGGTTTTGTCATTAAACGAAAAAAAATTCTGCGTTATATATCAAACAGACTTTGGAAATGTCAATTATCCTTTCTTTGTGGGGCTAATATAAAAGGCAGACTAAATTGAAATAAACGGAAGGAGACATTAAAAAAGAGACATCGAGAAGGCAAATGTGCGCCGCAGTAGTAACGAAGTGCAACATGTATAAAAAATCATTCTCACTAGGAAAAGGGAAGTGGAAATAGTGTGGAGCTGATAACTGATCCTGTAGATTCTTCAATCTTCTCTAATCCAATTCTTCACCATTTTCAAAGAGAAATACATAGATTTCCTGTGAGGAATTTTAGATGCACACTCTTTCGGTTCGTAAGACATCTGTACGGCTTCACGATACCTGGCTCAATGCTTATGACATAGAGCACAACTTGCTTTTCAGATGCTTGTCGCGTTGTTGTTTTAATAAACCTATATCTTTCTTACCTCTTTCATCTCCTTTGGGCTCATCTGGTTTCAATTCGCTTTCCGGCAAAGGTGCTCTGCAATCTAATGGGGCTGGGACCTCTTTTCGTACCTTTTGTACGTCTTCATTGGTGCTACCACTTTCGTCAGTAGAGAGGTCAGGAGCGTCTTCATTTTCAGAGGCTTGTTTCGGAAGTTTTGTTGGACTCTTTGGTGGGTCAGCAGCTGGTGAAATGCAGCTTATACCAGAGTTTGCAAGAGATGGTTTTATAGAGCTTGAATCTTGTTGCGGGAAATTCGGAAGCGTTTTCTCTTTTTGTGTATCATCGTCCTTGAGGGTGCTTGAAAACTCTTCTACGCTGTTTACATGACAGAGTTTTTTTGGCGTCAAAATTTCCTCTGAAACCATATGTCCAGCTCTTGCTTTATCGAAATAGAGAGGATTGTTACTCGCTGGGTCAACCTGTCGGTTTGCTCTGAAAGTCAAAGTTGAGTCAAGAAGCTCCTCAGTGCTAATAAGTGTTTTAAAAGAGCCTTGAAAAAGTACTGGGTGTGTAAGGATGAAGGCGATAAAACGAGCTGAAAAGTCTAAACAGAATTTATTTCCCGCATAGGCCACTTTAAAATCTTTTTCCGGGCGAAAAAGTCCAGGATTCTTCCATATTCTGTCATTACAAGAAACAACTGACCATATCAATCGAGAGTAGGCCGGAGTCAACGGAAGTGGTTCCAAACCTATAGGAAAGAGAACCAGTCTGTTGGAAAAACGTTGCCTGCAGAGAGCAGTGTTGAGTTCTTCTGAGAGTTCTGCAGATTTAACAAAGCATCCTGACATCAGTGGGACGATTAGAGTTGCATCGTCAAGCAAGTTGTGTCGAACCTTAGATTTCTCTGGTATCGAGAGATTGACCCCAGGAAGGTAATGCTGCAAACGCTCTGCTAAAAACTCGCCATGTGACGCATCCAAATCGTGGTAGCACAACATAATATCAGTGCTATTTGACTGTCCAGTTCTCCACAACTCGCTTCCGGTAAAGTCGAATACATCTCGAGTATCTAGACCGTCAAAGAACTGCAATCCACGTAATGTATGCTCTATCCGCCAGTCTGATGTTATTTGCTCAACTGATGACATCCTGCGATCTTCTAAAAGATCAAGCTCTAAGAAAAAAAAAAAAAAATATGTTTAAAGTCAGGAAATACATAATCTATTCATGTAGATATTTCAATGCAAAAGGGAGAACATCTAGAGGCTCTTTTGACACAAACCTTGACACGATTCGATAACTATATTGAATAGAAAACACAATACATATATATTCAGGTTTTTGTAACTGAGTTAGAGCAAAAGATCTCGAGATCGTTTGAATACATCTAATACCAAATTTACTGTTCTAAAATAGATAATAACGCACAAAAAGTGGAATTGTGATGATACTCTTTCCATCAGGTACTCCACCGAACAGAATCTTACATGCAAAATAAAAATAGCAATAGTGCAGGGTGAGACTTCTTCATCTTAAAATGTGAAGCACAGTACGCTAAGTCTCTATGAATATAATGCTCCAAAATAATCAGAGAACAACAGTCCAAATCATATAAACCAGACAACTAGTCTCTACCAAATGGCAAAATTTAAGAAAGGTTGAGCAGATAAAAAAGGGTGACTCTGCCTACTTTCAAACAAGTGGAGCTTTTGGATTATCTCCATAAGTGCTCTGTCTGACATGTTTTTGCAATCAATAGGGGTATAGTTGCTACACCATACTGGAAGTCGTTCAACTGGTTCCACTAGAATGGGAATCAATTTAGTGCTGTAGGCCGGGTCTGAGTGCAATGCTGACGCAAGGTTGTATTCTTCTTGACAAACTTTTGACTGCAAGTATGGAGGAGCCAGCAGCGTAATCACATAACGAGATGCCTCTAGAATCAAAAGAAAACATCCAAAGTAAGACAATACTGAGGCTAAAAAACATTTAATTGCCGAAAACCATTTCAAGATGTAATATCAAACTAAAATAATGATAAAATACTAATGCATAACAAAAAACTGCAAAGAAGCGTTAGTTAAAACTCTATAGCCAATAAAATGATTTTGGAATGTACTTATTCAGCTATATTCAAAATAAAAATTGGTTACAATAAGGACGCCACCGTTCATTGCCCTGAATATATGTTATTTGTGTGTGTATGGTATTATTTTTTCAGCATAACTCTCAGTGTAAATAAAGATTGTAATGTGAGAGGCGACTCAGCAATCAAGGTTATTTTGCCCCCCCCCAACCAAACAGTTCAAGTTAATTGTGTATTGTAAGTAATCTATGTATCTCAAATTTCATCGTCATAAATAAAACAGCGTTATTTCTAGCTTCCTCTAGTTTGAATATAGTCTTTGTCACAGATTGTATACTGCGAGAAAATAAGGTTTGTAGACAATTTGAGAAATTCGTATTAGCATGGACAATTTCTGCATTTGTTATATTCTGGGTTGCTTGCGACGCAGAGTGTAATTTTCATATACCTACCAATACTTTTGAACAGTTTCACTTGCCAAGCAACGCCCGTTTGCAATTCTGCTATGTCAATGAATATGTTCCAGTCTGGATAAAACAGGGACAGATGGCGTTGAATTACATGGGCTACGTCTGAGTTTTGGTGGGAATAGGAGATAAAGACATCATATTCATTTCTTACAGAAGGTTTCGCCACTTTTAGAGTTTGGGTTTCTGATTCCAAATGTTTTATCTCTGCCAAATGCATTTGCAGCCAATCTGTGACGGACTTGCAAGCTTGCGAAATTTTATCGTAATCCGCAGGTCTGTGAAAGATAACAAGTATGCGATTTGAATATGCACTCATAAAGGAGCAGTTGAAGGGTTCACAGTTTACTAATGGCATATCATGTCATAAACTTGAGCACTGAAGACTTTATTAAAATGGCAACTGCGGAAACAAAGTAAATTTTGCAAATTACAGCTAAACGTTCAAAAAATTGCATCAAAGTATAAAAAATATGTTCATGGCACACAACTGGTCCAAAATTTGCCTGCCGACAAATGTGCCTAATCTTAAAGATGTCCATTCTAAGCAACTCATGACCGGTCTTTCCCATTTAAATGTTTAATTTGATTTGCAGTCTAGTCGTGGCTTAGCCTTGACAGGATCTTTTCCCAAAAATGGCATAACATTGCAGCCATAACCTCACCTGCAGTCTACATATTGTATAAGACACATGTATGTTGGCATGTCATCAATTGAATCAGTGTAGAAGGGTGCTAAGTAATCTCTCTTCATATTTCTGGTGCAGCAAAGAGCAATGTTATATTGTTCTAGGCAGGCTTCATCATCTAAGAATCTTGGACTCAATATTGTTATCACACGTGCACTTGCCACCATGACCTAAAATTGAAAATGAATTCTTCTTTTTTTTGGAAAAATAAATTTCGTGGACATTGATAGCAATAGGTTTCTTGAAAATTCATTTAGGGTAAACAAATTTTTTCAAAACTCTTAAAAGCCTCTTATAACAGAAAAGTTATCTTCTCACAAAAATTATGTTCAAAATGTATTAATGAATCAAAATGTAGTAGCCTTCGAAATTTCAAAGGATTTTTATTCAATTCAGAGACTCTTATTTTTCACTCCTTTCTTAACAACTAAAAAAGCAAGAAATTTCTAAATACTTTCACAGATATTTTCATACTTCAAAGATTGTCAAGTATGCCACACAATTTAAAAAGATCATCAATAAAATTTTGTAGGCTTTAAAACGCAAAAATTGCAGATCTCACAAGAAGTTTACAAAATGCTCTTTGAGCATTTTGTTATCTGGAAAAACATTAAAATAATCAAGAGATTGCAGCAATGTTTTGCCCCTCAAAGAGTGCAGCTTTCATCAAGTGTTAAACATTTTCCACATAAATAACAGTGAAAATTCTACCAATTTTGCAGGAAGACAAATTTTGTTTGCTAAGCCAAAAGTCTATTCTAAGGGAAATATGAAGCAATAAGTTGCAAAAATACACATGCAAAAAATTAGCAAAAACAAAGCAAAAATAAACACGGAAAGTTCAAATTTGCAAAGAGAACATTCTTCATTGATGACAAAAAATAACAATTGTTTTGACTTCTTACAATTTATTTTAGTTTAAAATCTGCAGAACAGAAACCGAAACCAGACCACACTGACCACTAACCCCAGATCCATCCACAGTATATGCAATATAATAGCAAGATACTTGCAAGGGGTTGATAGGGCCACGGCAAGGACACATTTTTTTCAGAGAGGCAAGGGGTCACAGCAACTCCAACAATGTAAAGAGTTAATGTATAATTTCTCTGGATACTATGAAATAATATTGGATTTTACTGTGATATCTATGTTAAGTAAAGCATTCTTACAAAAAAGTGGATGCTAGTCTGAAAAAGGCTTCTGGATGATTTACCCTTGGCCCAACATGTGGAAAACTCCAAAAATTGATTGGTGCGGTGTGTGGGTTAAGGTCAGTGTGTATGGATTTGGGAAGGTGAGTTTTGCTGTGTAAATATTGACAGTGTCAGTCTGACAGTTCAAGATGGTATTTATAAAAAATTGGGTGTTGCGAAGCTAACTCTTACAATTTTAATTTGCTTCTGCCCCTACAATAAACTTTGCTCATATATGCAACAAATATGTAAAAATCCTAAGTTTCATGGTTGTCATATAAAAATTTTTCACAATCTTTATATTTAGATTACTTAAGAAAAATACTGTTCATATCTGGGAAACCTTTTTGTGTGAAATCTAACCAAATGCAATGCCAATATTCTTTTTTTAAACTTTTATTGACCTTTTTGAATAAAAGTATAGTTTTCACACAACAATCACATAGTTTCAATTGTACTTTTTGATTATACAAAGTATAACTTCCTTTGCATTGTATGGTGACATTAAAGTGTCTCTGTCAAAAGTATTTTGATTATGTACCTTGTAAATTTCTTCTTGCCATGAAACATTTTGATTGAGAGTCTGATGCTTGGTAAAAATTCTAATGGAGTTGTTGGTTTCTTTAAGGCTTTCAGTAACTACATTTGCCAGTTGCTGGTCTGCATTGTTGTATGAAAGATAGACATCATACTCAATTGGGTGAACCTGTGTTGTAATAATGCAAAATAAATCCCTGCAACATTCTCTGAAACTTAATTGACAAATAGACTTTACATCACATGTAGGCTGTTTTCAAATAAAGTTACAAAAATTTTCAGCAATAAAAAAAGCCATTAGAATACTTGGAAAGATACACTCTATTTCTTAAGTTTGTAGACTTATTAAATGTTTTTGGATTGATATTGTCATTTAAAATAACAGTTGGATGAAATTAATAAAAAATACATCATAAATTAGCAAATTGCTAAACATAACTTGGGTGGAACCTCTTTTCAGGCACTACCAAATTTATTACCAAGAGAAGCATCTGGTATCCAGAAAAGTTATCTTGATAATAGACTTTTCTATAAATTTTCTTTGTCATTCATATTTGAGATTTACATATTATTAAAATTTTCTGATATAAATCAATGTTATCTCAAAGCAACCAGGATTTCTTCATTCAAAATTATCATCATTGCATGGCTTAAGAGTGTATGGACAAATCAGATTCAGTCCAATAAAACAGCATATTGTAACATCAATACCTCTGGTTCTTCATTTTCTTTGGCCATAATTTCATCCCATTTAACTTTTAGTTCTCTGAAGTATGACAACAAGGGATGCTTGTCAACACCACCTAAATTTCTATCGTAGACAACAATTTTCAGAACTTTTAATGGCAAACCAATTTTCATCCAATGGACAGCAGCTTCAACAATTAGACGAAGCATCATTTGTTGGCTGTAACCCTTGAAAAGATAAATTTGTGTAACATGCAGAGTTTGATAGAGTTTGATGCACAAACTGAATACTCTATCAGGATTTTGCCAGAAAGGTGTGCGATTGCTCATGCCCAGCACTTTCCAGGAGTGCAAAATATCACATGCCTTCTTTTATTTTGAGAGAAAAATTCTTAATGATAGGTTTTGTGGGCTTTTGAAACGAGTTAAAATGTTTATCCTTCCTTGGTAGTATTACTTCATGCCACTTCAAAAAGGCTCAACAATTATTGCAGGATTGCAGATTAATTAAAAACTTTTTGAAATAACCATAGGACTAATCTACATGGAATCCAGATGTTATGAAACTCAGATACTAGCATAACCAATTTTCCAGTATGATAAAAAATGCCTGGCCTCTTGAATTCTGCCTAAGCCCGTACAAATCCCCTTGGTATAACCAACCCTGCGAATAATAAATACTTTTTATTACAAGCCTTTGTCATAATTTTCCTCAATAGGACAAACTTTTCTAAAAATGTTCACCCATATTATTTTGGTCTACTTACTCCCTGTGTTTTTTATCACTGTCTCTTGGGGGAAACATAATTGTCATCAGCAAAATATACATTGGCAAACATGCACTTTTTATAATGCTAAAAATGGAGACGACCTTTGTACACCTTTCAAGGCTTTGTGGCATTTCAGTGAACAAATCCAAAAACAAAAAGATTATAACATACATTTTTGTCCCTGAAAATTAGGAGGACATTAAGTGTGGTGAACAAGATTTTCATGTTTGATTGCCAGTTGAGCCAAAGTAGCAGATTTGCTAATTATGTGATAAAAAGTAGCGAGTTTGCTGATGTTGCTACCCCCCCAAACCCTCTAAAGACTTCGCTATGCTCTAAATCTAGATTTTGGCAACATTAAATTTGATGAAAAATGACCCATTATTATATCTCATGTATATACTTAATGGATTAGCAACATCTGGCCAATGAAGTACATAAAATAGCTGTCATGCTTGATAACAGAGGGCCCTCGGGGGCATGGATTTACACACAAAAATGGCCATTACCACCAGATGAAATTGAGGCCTCAAAATCTCTGCTAAGGATTCATCATTGAAGCTGATGAAAACTGCTTATGGCAAATGATCTTCTGTACTTGCAGTGCTGTGTTTTTGCTGATATATTAGATAAGCTCAGTTTATACCTGTTACGTCACATGCCACCACACAGCTTGATGTTATCAGATGTGCAGTGGTTAGCATGCTCGCTTTATTTTTCACACGAAATCTTGTGTATATACCATATTATCAAAGCTTTGATAATCCCATGTGAGAATTTATTTCCATAGATAATGTGTATTCTATGTTTCAAGCAGGGGAGCAGTAAACAGCTCTCCTAGTAACTTCCAGGGGACCTATTTGAAGATAAATAAGAATAGAAACAAGGGGAAAATTGATAAAGGGAGCTATTTTCTTTTTAGAGAAATTTAGGAGAGCAATCTGTAGCTGACTTCAAGCATTAGAGAAGAGTCTTCAGGGGAGCAAGAGCTATGGCTCTCCTCAAATGGCCAGGTCTGGCCTTCATGGAACTTATCAATTTTACGTATTTTGTAAGGATATAGATGTTGATGATATTATTTTGTTCCTAATTTCGTTTAAGCACCCAATAAAAACATAAGTCATAACCTAGCTAGTAGATAGTCAGCAAGACATTAATACTTGGGACATATAAAAAGGATGTCAGCCTAAAACTGGCAAGAAGAGGGATATCATGGCTGCTTTTTCAGCACAGTAGTAGCCATGATCTTCCTCTTTTCAGCACAATGTATCAATTTCATACTACATAATTCTAAGAGGATCCAATTTTTTATATCTTATGATAAATATTATACCTTTTTGCACACAATTGTAACATTAATTTGTGTAAAATGCAGAAAGCTTTGTTTACCTGATCTCCAGAAGCTAAAAGTGGCATGATGACTTTAATGTCCTTCTCCTTACACATTGAGATTAGACATCTGAAAACTTCACCTACAACCATTGGAGGTCTTGAGTTTTTCTTGAAACTACCCTCAAAGCAAAGTATCCTGCCATAGCTGTACTCCTTTGCCAGAGGTTTAGACCACCAGCATGAAAATAAGCGTCTATGATCCTCTTCTTTGTCCTTAGATAGATTCCTCACACTTATCTTTAAGTCTCTTTGCAAAGCACCAATGACAGATGTTGGTGTGGGGGAATAGTCACCTACATTAGAATATCTTGTTTGAAAATTTAAGAAAAATAAAAAATATATTTTCAAATAAGCTCATACATTTACCATAAAAAGGCTACAAGATAAATGAAACAGTTAGCTTGTTACATGCATTTGGAATTTTTAAGAAATTGGTGATTGCTGAGACATTGTGAATTATATGAAGGCACTTTGTGTTAAAATCTCCTTTTGCCAATGATGTTGCATGCAAATACAAGCTTTCTAAAAATAGGTGCAGTTTTAAAATTTTTTCATGAAGCACCATCTACCCTGAATTTGAGTAACTACCAAAAGTTGACTAACATTGCAGTCAGAAAAAAGGAGTTTGAAAATTTGTAGATTTTAGAAAACATATTTAGTTTGTTTTGATATTACCACTAGATGGACAAATGGGCTGTTAGCAGATGGCCGGAAGAAAGGTGAAAATTGTTTCTGGTAAATTTTTTTATAAAATTTGATGGGGGTCGGCATTCAATCAACAGTATATTACTGCCTGTTCTGAACTCTATTTAAAAGCATTTCACAGTCTTAAACTTTTCTGTGAAATTCAGGGCAAATAATGCAATAGCTCATCTGAGCTCCTTTTATTTTTATTGAAAAGCTTTATATTTATAATTAATTTAGTTATTATGTAGCCCATAATTAAAAGGTTGAATTTAATGAATTGAATTGGCTAGCCAGTATTTGCACATGCCATGCATTTCGTTGGCTTTGATTACTTAAAATCATATCACATTACAAAAACAAATCAAAGCTCTTTTTTATGCTGTCATCAATTATAAGATAATAACCAAAATTCTTTGAAATATTTGCCTAAGAAATTTTATGGATATCCTATCATCAGATAGCATTCAAAAAGTTTTTATCCCTTTTACTATGATTAAGAAGTCAAGTCACGTCAAGAAGTTAAGAGTATTTCACTCTGAGCTCTCAATTTTAAGCAATAACGAACAAAGTTACCTGGGAATGCAGAGACAACCAGTACGTCAACTTTATCTTTTTTATCGAGTTTTGTAATACTGCCAAAATTCAAGTGAATTTCACATGGTCCGTGGTTCGTCTCGACTTGAATTTTCTCTTTGAGCAGCAAGGCAGCCATATTGTACGCCTAGCTGGATAGTATTTAAAGTGCCTCCTTTGACTGATATTTCCAAACATTCGTATCTACCTCAAACAAGAAAAGCTCATACAACTCTTGCCATCCGCACTTCCCCGCCACATGTAAACAGGGAACTTTATGTCGAAACCTTTGAGTCTAAACCTGACCGGGGGTTACACTCAAACCATACTCAAACCATAGCTACAGACACAAAGGTGTTCTTGGCTTCTTGCAGATTTTTATCAAATTTCTGTTGCAGCTGATAATTTTTGTCGATGAAAATACCATGAAATGTTACTACACTCTTTCTTTTTATAAGAACCAGGAAAATTTTTGCAGGGCCTCGATGTTCTTGATTTTTTGATAAGAATAATGGATTATTTTATAATGCGAAGTTTTTGTCTTTTTACTTCGTAGACGAATGTTTCTATGCTTAACAAAATAAGAATATTGCATGATGCAATTCTCGATAAATGATGTCACTCTTGACACTCTTGATTTGAGACCCCCGTAAATCTCAAGCAGCTCGTGATGAGGTCATTTGTTCGAAGAAATGTTTACTTAACATGAAGTACTTCACACATTTGCTGTCTCATCTTGACAACGAGCCGACAAGTGTGTAATGTATTTTCGGTTATTGTTGATCAATCTAGTCTTTTCCTTTATTTGGTAAGTATAGAAACTTACAATGCTATTTATTTGTATGTGTTTAAAAGTTGTAACTAATTTTCATGGTTAAATAGTGACAGAAAACATTTTTTTCATCCAAAGAACTAAACTAACAGGTTAAATGTCAATGTGAACTTTGTGCCCCAATTTTGGTAGTCACGATTTTACACAGAAGAGAAAGGCCTGTCAAATTTCTAAACGAAGAAGATATGTATATGCCCGTTTGTACAATCGTTTTTGTTTGCAACTTTATTGAATGACAAGCTTTTATTGCTCGATATTTTACGACAGGGGTGGATAGGAGTTAGCTCACACTTGACAGGGTGCTATTTTTCCTCAAAGGCGCACAAACTTGGGGAGGGGTAGGGAGGGGGGCTTGACACTTTGAGGTCACTTTTTTACAGTTTTTGACGTGTGCTGTGTGGTGTATGCTGAAAAAATGACAGGAACCTGCTGTGCATTTGTGTGTTTTATTTGTAATTAATTCGATTGCATTATGATCATTGATCAGGGGTTATGATAAGGACAATAGCAGTATTCACGGATAAGCGCACATCTTTAGAAAGTGTGCACGCTGTTGATTTTTATTTAAAGTATTGACAGTCACTAGTTGCTTTTAGAAATGCGAGTAGTATTAACGTTGATTAAGTTTCGAAGAGCCTTTCAATTCATTTCATTTCATTTTTCATTCTTTATTCACGGTAACCCCGTCGGCAAAGTCCGCTTTTCAGGGGGCCGTGAAAAAAAATTAACATCTTCAATCTACAAGTAAAACAATCTACAATCGAAAATAAATAATTTAATCACAATGCTTCAGTAAAGTTAAAATCAAAACATAATTATCATACAAGCTTTAAAGTCGACGTTTAAAAGCATTTAAAAAGGACGCTTGCTTAACCTCAGAATCAAGGCAATTCCACACATGTACACCACGATATGAGAATGATTTTTGCCCATTACTGGTTTTAAAAAGAGGGATGCGTAAGTCAGTCTCAGAGTTTCTCAACTCGACAGTGCCCCGTGATGAGTTCTTTAAAGAAATATTTGAGAGATATGTTTGTGCAAGACTATTGAAGGATTTGTAAACGATCGTCGCTGTCTCTCGTTTTATGATTTCAGCGATATTAGGCCACCTTAACCTTTATGTAAAGGCATCAGCAGGTGCTTCATAGCTACTGTTTGTTACAACTCTGGCAGCGCGATTCTGTAACTTCTGCAGTGTAAGGCTTCTGGATTCCCCACAGCTCCCCCACACAGAGCAACAGTAGCGGAAATGCGGTTCAACGATACCATTATATATTTGGCTAAGAATTTCTTGGGGTAGTATTTTCTTGGCATACTTTAAAAACCCTATGGCACGAGAGACCTTAGCACGCAAGAATCTAGTGTGCTCATCCCAAACAAGATCTTGATCAAGCTGAATTCCCAAGTATTTAGGTTTCTCAACAATCTCAATCCGTGAGTCACCTATAGCAAAAGAGGTAAATTAGGTTATCTGTATAAGATGCTCTATAATACTACTGAATTAATTGCTCTTATAATACTACACTTGTATTGTATGTTACCAACTTAAAAGAAAGCTTGGTAAGACATCGCTGATTATTCCCTTCAGAACATGACCGAACATGTTTAAAGTTCAGGTGAAGTGAAGCCAAAAACTATGTATGGTAAGATTAGTGGCGGTAGTGGCTAACCTGGAAGGGTTTTGTGTCTGCAGTCCACTTATTGCTTTAGGCGAAAAGGAACTAGATGACACTTTCTGAAAAAGGAAACTTTTTCGTTTACTGTAAACAGGCCCACCGCTATATGGGCTGTGTCGTCGGGACTAAAGTCATATTTGGGGGGGGGTTGCTTATTGTGGTGCTCCTTTATTCAGTACACTATCTAAATGAAATATAGTACAGTTTGACAATTATTTTGGGCTCCAACCCCCAAGTCTCTAGTTTTTGACGGCCTTGATAGGGGGACATCTGGGATGTGAGACCCCCGTGAAGAAAGATTCTATTGTGAAAACGAGTCAAAAATTTCATCGTGACAAATTTTCGTCTCATTTGAAGTTTAGTGGAAGAAAATTTCATCAAAATGTTAGTCTGAATTTTGCCCTTGCAAAATTTTTTGTGGTTAACGTTAATGCCAAAAATTAACTCATTTCTACTTTTGCTATTGTTTTCGCAACATTTTGTGCAACAGCCTTGTTGTTTTGATAATATTCCTTTACGGTTTTACGGTTTGTGGCCCTCAGATCAACACACACAAGGAAAAAATAGGTGAGACATAGGATCTCCCCTAAAATCAGGAAACTACTATCGAATTTCGAATATTGGCATGGTTCTGTTCCATCCATGCAACTCGAATTTTTGCCAGAGTTGTAACCAGAGTGAATATTTAAGGGCACTGCCTGCCCCTCCTGGAAGAAGGCAGGAGGGGCAGCTGCCCCTGGTTACAACGGCATTTAGGTCATCTAAGTTTAACAAAATATATTATTTTATGGTTGTGTCGCCAGCTAATATTATAGCGTGGGTTATAGCTTTAACATTATAGCAATGCAAAGGGCAAATCGCGAATGTATATTAAAAACAGGAGAGATTCCAGGCATGAGTCTTGTGGAACTCCATTTTATCCGTTACGGAAACAATAATTCTTGAGGCAATTGACCACACTGTTGAATCTTTCCTAGGACTATTCGATTTTGACAGCGTCAAAAGGCTTGTTTCTCGGTTCACAAAGAAAATCCAACTTGTGAGATTATGTAATTTTTTCATGTAAGTGTATGTGCGTATGCTACCACACCACTAAGCAACCCCAGCAAGCAATTACAATTACCCCGAAGTTATATGCCAAAGCGATTTATCAAAAGGCCTGTCAACGCATTGGTCGACGGGAGAGAGAACTGGACACCACTCTATTCCTAGGACTCGATTGTCTCAGCACAACGTACCAGTCTTTGCGGATTTAAGGAAATAGGTCGCTTCAGTGTGCTTGAAATTTTCATGATAACTCCATAGATAGAATGACATGATTAAGTCTGTCATACTGTTTAATTAGTCAAACGGCACACATGAGCGTAGGGGCAAAGAGAAACAGGGCCCAATATTTGTGCCCCATTTCTTGAAACCAATTTTCAGTTAATGCAAAGGTCTGAACGAGTAGCAATTTGACTTTATTGTTAATCGGGCAAAAAGAAAAGTAACTTTTCGACAAGAAAATCCGAGTCTTGTAGATAATAAATTAAATTTTAAAAATCCACGTTGAGATCGGCATGGGTATCTCAAAACGACGAGACTTGGTCACGTGCTGTTTCCCTAAAGTATTATTCAGCCAATGATGTTTAATCAGTCGTCTTGTGCCTGATTTGCTTAGCCTCGAGGCAGTTGTTTTGCAAAGTGCAGCCAAACGGTCTCTGCACATTGTAAATAATTGATAGCGCTCGATCGTTTGAAAGGGAGGTCTGAAACCTGTTTTGTTTATGGCATTTATTCTTCATATTTCGTGCCTGATTGGTAAGAGTGTGTCGCTTTGCTTAGTAGTCTACAGTTGCGGCTTTTTCATTCAGTATTTCTCTACTTAGTCTACACTCCAAATATGTTAATGTTTAACTTAAACAAAGCTCAATAAATATTTATTGAAAAAGTTCTAAAATATCAAAATATACACCCTTTTAGGAACTGAGAAGGAAGTTCAATCAACCTTTGGTTCAACGAAGATGAGTCAAGTGAGTAATTTCTAAATTCCTAGAAAGGCCAGTTCCTTATTAGATTTCGCATCTCGGAAAGATAAGAAAGGAAATCATACTTTATTTCTCTATGAATGAACATCATTTATTCCGCTTCTAAAGTTTGGTATCTTTGACGTTAAATTGCTAAAAAATTGGACAATACAACATGCAAATTCACAGTTTCATTGGGTATAAACATAACCGGAAAAATTTAATATAAATGAAAGCAGAAGCAGTCTAAAATACGATATGGAAGCCAGGATAGAAACTTGAAGCTCTCCGTTTGAAAAAAAAGATAGTTTCGTACAGACTGGACTTGGCCTACAAAAAGTTGAGATCACGAGTGTACCCGGACGATTGATAATACTCGCTTGGCGTTGAGTTGTTTACATTTACATTCCACATTGTTTACCTTGTTTGGAAGGCCTATGAGAGAAACATAAATATGTCCTTATCTACTGTTGAATCAGGGACGTCACTAAGTTTTATGCTCTAGGGGGTGCTCATGTCCCATTTTCCGGCAAAGTGGGTGAGCCATCTTTTATTTGCTGACAAATCTGAAATTAGTCGAAGAAGCAATCCTTCATGCCAAAAACTGATCGGTTTTTGCAATACAACTTTTTTGAAAGGTGTGTCACACCCCCTACGCCACATCGTAGCGACGGCCTGTGTTGAATTGCCTAGGAAATTTTGTATCATTAAATCTTTTGAAACGAAATGGTGTCCTTAACTCAAAAGTTTGTAAGGTGCAGGTGAATGTCATACCACAAATATTTGAAGACTAGTAGAATTACATAATACTCAGGCAAGTTGTATTCTTTTAAAACATCTGTAAAAGTGAGGTTTTCGACAAATTTTCTTTTAGCTCCCTGATAACGTGGTAAAAATGCCTTTGGGTGGATATGGCTAATAATGGATCTTTATAAACATGTGAAGTTTTATTTGAAATATTTCGATACCTAATGCAGAATATTTTACAATGACTAATGTTTTGATGGGTGAAGTTAGGCCAGTGCGCTAGAAACTGCCAAGGCTTGTTCAACGTTGTCATTGCGCGGTTAAAATGTAGAAATAAAGAAAAATTGACCGAGTTTTGATCCGAGAACAAGAACACAGATTCGGCAACATGCAAGCAACAACGAAGTATGATATCAAGTGGTCGTAATGCATAGTCTCTTTATTGCTAAAAGAAAAATGGGTTTAGGGGGTCGCGGCTATCTTTGAAATATTGTTAATGAAGAAATCATTAACTTTGTAGATACCTTACAGATCAGCAAACGACCTGTTTGCCAAAGTTGTGGAAAGAAACCCGGGTCAGCCAGAATTTCATCAAGCAGTCAAAGAAGTACTCGACTCAATATGGGATTTTTTGGTGGAAAATCCGAAGTATTTTGCGTATGGTCTCATAGAAAGATTTCTGGAGCCAGAACGAATAATTATCTTCCGTGTTCCGTGGGTAGATGACCAAGGAACTGTGCATTTGAATCGAGGATATCGGGTCCAGTTCAACTCCTCAATTGGACCATACAAGGGTGGTTTGAGATTTCACCCTACTGTCAACCTTAGCATCTTGAAGTTCCTTGGCTTCGAGCAGGTCCTGAAAAACAGTCTGACTCAATTACCATTGGGTGGAGGGAAAGGAGGTTCGGATTTTGATCCAAGGGGAAAGTCCGATGCAGAGGTGATGCGGTTTTGTCAGTCGTTCATGACAGAGCTAGTCAAGTACATCGGACCCGACACTGATGTCCCTGCTGGAGATATCAACGTCGGAGGGCGAGAAATAGGCTATTTGTTTGGACAGTACAAACGAATGAAAAATGAGTTTACTGGTGTGTTAACTGGCAAAGGTTTAGAGTGGGGAGGCAGTCTGTTGCGACCAGAGGCAACAGGATATGGGTGTGTTTACATGTTAGCAGAAATGCTGAAATACAGCGGCAAAAGCATCAGTGAGAAGTCTGTCGCCATTTCAGGGTCAGGCAATGTGGCCGTTTTTGCAGCTGAAAAGGTTATCCAGTTGGGTGGAAAAGTCCTTACCCTTTCAGATTCTGGCGGCTCTGTTCATGCTGCTGAAGGAATAAGTGCAGAATGCCTTGAAGAAATCAAAGACTTGAAGTTTACAAGGCGCGGGAGAATCGAGGAAATAGCGCGGCAGAAAGGCTGGGAATTCTACAAAGGCGAAAGACCGTGGAAGGTCAAGTGCGACATTGCGATGCCCTGTGCTACACAGAACGAATTGAGTAAACAGGATGCAGAGCAGTTGGTTAAGAACGGGTGCATTGCGGTTGTAGAAGGAGCCAATATGCCAACTGAAGCTGATGCTGTGCATCACCTTCAACAAAACAACGTGCTGTTTTCACCCGGCAAAGCGTCTAATGCCGGCGGAGTAGCGGTCAGCGGTCTCGAAATGAGTCAGAATAGCATGCGCCAATCCTGGTCAAAGGAAGAGGTTGATGAAAAGTTACATCGCATTATGGAAAAAATTCATGCCACTTGCATGGAATACGGCAAAATTGGGGACCGGGTTGATTATGTTAGGGGTGCCAATATTGGGGGATTTATCAAGGTTGCCAATGCAATGCTGAGTGAAGGGGTTGTGTAAGCTTAAGGTTCGACAAAGGGGGCTTGCTAATAATACCAAATAATAATGCCAAAGAATCAATCATCAATTTGTTAGTTCTATACTCTAGTTTAATGTTTGAAATTTTAGCCAATTGTATAAAGAAATTGAGTATTACATTACTTCTTCTGGCTGGTTACAGAAGTAAATTCATACAAGTAATTTCATTAATCGTATCCTGTATTTTTTCATTTATGAGATAAGAACTTGAAATTATATCATGTTATCCGAAATATCGACTCTTTTGTTTGCAGAATCTTTGTCGAGCAAGGGATACTATGAAGAAACAATTTGGACGCAATCAAAGCATTTTATAATTAAGTTCATGAATCCACCCCACTCTTTGAAAGCAAAACGATGCAAAAAGTAATGAAGTTTACCCTAGATTTTCTAAAAATAGCATTTACTTACGCAATGCCAAATAGTGACAGTATGTAAAAAAAATTCCATGTAAGAGTTCAAGCAGAATACTGCGAAGGAGCATTTCAATACTGCGAAGGAAATTCTTGCTGAATTCCGTATCTAGAGTTATCATCAAACTACTTGCTCTACTCAATTTGCTCTACTCTCTCACTTATAATAGATAATACTAAAATGTCAGGCTGTTTATATTCTATTGGTCTAATCATATTTAAGAGATGTTCCAAACAGAACCAGTTGTAGTCCCTTCTTAGTAGTTTCAACGACGCTCAAAGTCCTGGACATCCGGAAAGGCCAACTAGATTCCGGATGATACTTTCTAATCCAGGCTGAAGCTACCAGCTGCCCGGTATGTATATTCACTTATAAACTGGAGCGTCCACATGGAATTCCCTGGCCCTTTTCAATTTTTCAAAAGTCTTGCTTTGAATCAAGATGGGCGTTGTTATAGAAATACCTTCACACTTGTAGTAAACTCGACAACAAGGCATCTCGTATCTTGATTCTTAATTCATCGCTTCCATGGTTTATTATGTGAGTGGTTCCGTGATGTATCTGAATAACTGCATCTGCATCAGGCTGCAAGGAAATAATCACAACCTTTTGGTACCGCGAAAATTGAAGAAATAACGGAATAGCGGAAACTTAGAATTCAAAAGCTCCTTCCTTCCAAGAATTTAAAGGTCGGGTAAGAGGTAAACAGAAATCTATATCCAGATGCGGGTCAACGAGGAGAAATGGTGTGTTTTATTGGTTTCTTATTCAAATATGCTTCCATGATATGTTTCGGCTTTTCCGTACTTTCTAGAAATTATCAAAATCGTTTTAAAGAGGTATAGCTGCTTACAGGGGCAGTTGAAAATACAACGAGCTATATACATACAGTCTTAAATTATACGGGCAGAAAGTTGTTTTGTGCAAGGAAAACTCTTTAACACAAGGTAACAGTTTTATTTTCGTTAGGTGCTTTTACTGTGTTACCCTTTCCTGTAAAAACAACAACAAAACATTCTTCTTTTGAGACATTACACGAGAAAAAGGTACTGATGATATCAACATGCTTAGAATGAAGAAGATGGTGCAGAGAAGAAGAAAAATGTCACAAATGACTCAACAGATGACTACATCTTCCAAAAGGGTGTAAGCTTGCTAGACTTCCTTGTTGTAATGACGTTTACTTGGACAGACAGGAATGAAAATGTAAACAAAATTCTTACTAAATGTATGATATATCCACCATTCTCTTGTGTATCCCACTGGGCTCCAACAATGCCATTCTAGACGATGAACGCAAAATACTTGAGAAGGGATACTAGCTAACCTTTTCATATCCGGAAGGGCCATATGCATAAATAACAAGAAAAAGTTGGCACTGCAGGGATACCAACTATACGCGATGAAACAAGGCAGTGCCGCATGAACCGGAATTTCTTAGTTATTTTATGCAAAATTGTTCCAACACCTCTTCCCCGAAAAAGGAGCGCACTGACTCTTCAGTTGATGGGCGATTCGTGTGAAATACGTAATTCATTCAAATATCTGGCTTACATTAAAAACAAAGGTGAGCTCTGTCGCTAGCTTTTATCCAAATCGATCCCATTGTTTATAACAACAATATCTCTGGGTAAAAATACTTTCACTGATAATTCACCAAGTACTACACAGAAGAACCATGCTGATAAACGTTACCTCTTCCAATGCCGCGATTAACTGATCCACTGAAACATCACCAAACAGTCTGTTACCCGTGCTTGATCCATATCTACGGAATGATGACAATTTTTAGCAACAAGATCGCACTTGCCATTGTTGGTTTTAAATCTAGTTATCTGTCATAACTGGCTTTCTAGTCAACTTAAAAAATCAATTTGATTCGTAACAGAAGTTCTAAGTCAAAAGAAAAATTTCCAAAGACACAAAATGGAAAGTTGCCAAACAAAAAAGTGGAGCAAGTGAAGATACCTTGGAGGGGGGGGGGGTATGGTTGAAAGCTTAAACTAGAAGCAACAGAAAGCATTGTAACATATATTTGCATTACATACGATTTTTTGCTTGTATATGAATTTAGAGTCATCTTGTTATCACGTGTGACAAGAACTCCAGACAAAGAGGAAATGGCAACACCAGGCTCGACTTCTTTCGGAGACAGTTCAGAGCACAGCTGAAAAAGAGCAGTAACCCTTAAACAATTAATAACAAAACAATTCTCTAAATAATAAAGAAAAAAGACCTTTTCAAGAAAAATATTATGAGGAATATCAAAAGTCGAAAATATTCCATCTTCGAACAGGCTGACTTGCAAGAAAAACACTCAAACGTTTGGTAGAGCAAATGCTACACAGAAAAAGGGAGCTCATCAAACATGAAAAACTGCAACTTATCTATAAAACAATTATTTTATACTATTCGAAAATACAATAATACTCTTGCTTTAAAATGGTGTAATAGAATTTACAATAAGCGTGAATGACATACCTCACTAGACAATGCCACTGTTTCAAATTTTTTCGGCACTGCAAGACTGATTGTATCATATCTATCGTACGGAGTTAGTTTGCACTCCTTCAAGAAAAATAGTTTGCACACAGAACAAAGAGAATAGCAATGTTACATCCAGTGAAATATATACTTGCTATAGCATTTATTAGCATAAAGTAATAAAACCACTCAAAGAAAAGTTTCTCGAGAGTCATTCAAACATTTTTCATTCACCAGACTCCACTGATGACAAAGAAAAATTGTGTATTTGATTTCATCAAGTCAATACGAATTAACGGAAAACATCCTAGCAAGAGTTACCATGACAGTTTGTATAGGCAGGCTTCTCTGCCAGTAGTTCGTATAAACTCAACTTATATTAACTTACCATTTTGAAAGACAAATTTTAAGCTTTACATTATCGATACATTAAAAGAACATACGTAGATAAACTACAGCAAACTCACACGTGATTCCAAAAAATTATCAAGACGTAATCTCTTTTTGAAATATTTCTTGATATATAAGTTTTTTTAAAACATAAAAGCGCCTGAAAAATTAACTTACCACGTTGATCGACAAATCAGTGCGGTGTGGTTGCAACGGAGGAGGTTTCAAATATTTTGCAGGAGCAATCATTTCCTTGGGCTTGAAAACAGAATCAAAATTCGTGCACAGTTAGGACATTCTACAGTGCAAAAAAGAGCTTCTAAAGGTATTCATTGGTAAATGCAGGAAAATATGTGCAAATAACTGAAAAGATGTTAGCAGAGTTTGCATTCCATCCACAAGAACTTCCAAATGAGATGGAACACAATAAGGCTTTCAGATCTCTACGCCACTTTTTCAACAAATCCGTCTATAGGGTGAGATGGGTGTTGGAGAGTTACCTAGATAATTACAAAAAATATCTTTGAAAAAAAAGAAACTCGGGAGCTTTGAAGTACTTAATTTATATTTAGGTAGTTAACATATTGATTAAAAAACGTAAAGAGCTTTAGATGGAAGCTTACCGTGATGAATGCTACTTTAACCCTGAGATTTCTTACATAGAAGAACAAATTTATACATACCCTAAGGTCTTTGATCAATTTGTTGACTTGAGTGAAATTGAGTCGAGGGTCGATCGGACAATAGCAAGCCTGAAGACACGCAATTTTGCATTAGACAAAAATGAAATAATACGACCCAAATTAATTTAGGTGAAAAAGCAGAATAGCAACAATATGCCCAGATTTCGAGTTAACGAAATGAGTTATGTAAAAAAGAGTGTTTCAATAAATACTGTTAGGATAAAACACAGATTTGAAAAGACATACCCTCATAGCTAGCGGTTGAAATGGACTTAGGGCTTCTATGTATGGAAAATCTGGTTCTGAAAAGAAAATCACACACAGATAGCAGTAAGATATATAACAGCACAAAATATAATAAGCTCGTTTTTTATTCAGCTTCTAAAGCGAATTTGTTCGTGGAAAATTCATTTTCTTTATAACATGAACTTAAAGGTAAGTAGCCACCTGTCAATCAAGTATAAGCCAATCAGCAAGCACCTGAGTGGTAGTCATTACATACCGATGAATATCACTGTGTTGTTTGATGATTTTCCCCACAAATTCATGAAATGAACAGCATCACCAAACCTCAATGAAGGATGACCAGTAAACACAATGCAAGGGGTTTTGAAAGCACTGCTAAATCCATCTAAGATGCAAAGATGTTATTATTAGATCATCGCATCAGTTTCAATGAGATAATCTTAATCCGTGCATTACCAGCTTTCTATATGTTGGATGTCTTAAAGCACTTTTCTATAAACAAAAATTGTAAATAGCAACAATTCAAACCAAAGAAAATGACAATATTTTGGTGGTACAAAACTTGAAAATGGCTTTGAAAAAAGCAAACATTTAGTAAACTAAAGCTTTTCGTCTGACACTCTTCAGACTTTAAAACGTCAGAACATAGATCGAAAACTCTACGCTAGGAAATATATAAAGAAAATGAATTAAAAATTAGGAAACACATCTTAAAATTTGACAACCATCTCTATCAAGATTAAATAGTGAATGATTATGAATAAAAAAAGTTCCTAGTTACCAAGATAAAATAAGGTGATACAAAAATGCCACTGATGTTGTTTGATAATATCATTTATAATTATATATCACTTTTATAATTTATCATCACAAAAATATAATTTCTAACAATAAGGCGGATATCTAATGATGCTATAATATTATGTGAAAGAAAATAAAAAGATTGGGAAAAAAGCAATAAACAAATAGCTTCATTTCGATTAAACAAAAAATCTACCTTGTAAAGATTTGAAATGCCTCAGTCTTCCGGTTTTTATGTGCTGAAAAGGAGGATTAAAATAATATCGTTAATAAAATAAAAAATAAAAACAATATCGTTAACATTCCAGAATAACAATAAGACTAGTAATGAGAAATTAATTTGAATTTTTATTGACAAAAAAAAATAATGGGAATCACAGAAAATTAAAGGTGCATAAATTACATCTAAAAGGACTATGAGGCAAACCACTTATAAGCTCGTGTCATAACAGGTGATGGATTTTTGTCATGTCATCAATAACAACTGAGAAACAACGCTGATGAGCCGGACAATCAAAGATAAAAATAGAGAACTGGGATTTTGGCAAATCAGAATCATCCTTGTCGATAATGATAGCAAAAAAAGGTTATCAAGACTTTCACAAACACTGTTCTTAAGCTATCAAAAACAATTCTTAGCCAAACAAACATTTATGTTATCTACTGCAGATCTTTGTAGAACTATTATGGATTCAAAGCAAACCTCAGCATGAGTGAACGGTGATTCCGGAAGATACACTTTCGACAGCTTACTCTGACATAACCTTAAACGAAAATCGTTATGCTACTAGATCACACAGAAGATGCTTACGATTTAATTCACAAAGCAGCACACAATTATTGGTTCATTCTGGGTTAAAACCAAGAAAGGGCACCTCACAGAGAACCTCAATGGAATAAATTGACGGGGTAAGGACTAGCATGGAAATATTGTCTGCGTTTAGGGTACAAGCTTTTCGAGGCTTGTGGGTCTCCTCTGACAAAAGAGGCTCATTTGAGATTTTTAGATCACTGCTATTTTAAAAACATTGCTTAGCAGTTAGTTTGCAGCCAAACTTTCCTGCGTATAAATGCTCACGTTTAAACACGGGTTTTCAATAGCTAACAGTAGGCTTCATTTCATACAATTTGGTAGTTGTATCCAGCATTTTAGAATGGTAAACGTAAAATCAGAGAAAATAACTTTCTTGTTTTGCCTTTTGTGAACTTCAGGGGTCTAACCTATAAAAATGGCAAACAAAAATAGCAGTTCAGAGGGCTAGGCATGCATACTATAAAAGAAGGGTTTGACCGGGTACTGACCATTCAGCGTAAATATTGGCGTATGCTAAAGAACTGTCTGCCACTGGTGAAATGAAAAATATTGGAACAAATGACAAGCCAGAGCCATCGAGGAAGGATACCAAGTATTCAAACAGATCATAGATGACCCCCTGGAAGTCAAGAGGAACACATTAAACATCTATTTAATAAAGAATATATGGCTAAAAGGGAAATAAGAAGAACATTGGGTACTGAGATTCATTGCATTAGAAAATAAATCCACACTAGTAGAATGACCTTTTTAAGCTCATTGATATTTAAAAAATGGTCCACTGTGCTGTGTTCATTCTGGGGTAAAACCAAGTGTTATATATCACCATTCTGGTGATATATTATTATAAATGATATGAACAAAGCAAAGTGGACCATTTTGGCAAAGTGGACCAAAGCAAAGTGGACCAATGCTTATAAGTTTCTCATATTTAATTTGATATCCAAAGCGTCTTCTTTCTAATTTCTCAACTTCCAGCAGCATGCTTTCCTAAAAATGTCTTTTCCGGTATCATACAAATTCAAAAATTAACTCGTAAATCTAGAAGACTTGTAGACGTTTGATGGAATACTTACGGAAGGGTACGACGGAATCAAAACATTTCCACCATTTTTTAGTGTAGCCGCTGTCATAAGAAAATAATATATCGAATGAAGGGTAGCTGAAAAATGCATATGAGAAATTCAAAGCGAAGACAAAAAGGCAAATAAATTGTTCTGAAGAAAAGGGTGATTATTGACCTTTCATTGGAGGGAATGATTATTGACTAACATTCTAAGTTGACTAACAGTCAAAAGCAGAGCTTGCCAATGAGCCTTTACACAAGACCAGGAAACAGCTACTGCGTATTAGTAAAAGAAACACTACATTGGATGCATGCTTCTCTTTAAATACAGGACCCTCAATACTGATAAAGTCAGGCCAATGAACAGAAAAGAAATAGAAACTAAAACTCCAGAACCTGTCTGAAGATGAAAGGGGTTAAACGTCTAGACTTTCATCAGAAAAGTAACCACAGGTTCCATAAAAAATATACCGATAAAAGCAAAGACAAAATCTCCCTAAGGCAAAATGTGAATTTATTGAATAAAATCAAGCAGCTCTTTACTGATTAAAACAACGAAGGTATATGAATAAATAAAATACTTAGGTGGTTGCAGAATTCTCGTAACATTCCATCTGGATTAACAGTGGGGGCTTCAGTCAAGGAATTCATTATCATGATGTCACTAGATTTTAGTCCAGCTTGATCTAAAGGTTGCGGATGCGTCGAGAAAACAGATGAAGCTGAGACGTACGAAATCTGAAAGAAAAAGGCCTCGAATAAGGATCGAATGATAAATATTGATCAAGATTAAGACGAAATCCTTTGCACAAAATAAGCATTTCCATAAATAGTGAACCCTTAGTAGCAATGGATCATGGAAATCCTTAGAAGTCCTAATCGACAATAACCTATCATGGAAACACTACATCCAATGAAATGATGAGAAAGTTGCCAAGAGTCTTGGCATTATGGCTTAAATTAGACTTTGTGTATCAGAAAACACCCTGATTAATATATACAATGCTTTCATTTTACCCCAAGTATAGTTACTATGGTATAACTGACTGGGGAAGAGTCTACTCTAAGCATCAGGATCCGGTGCGAAGCAAGCTGAAGGCAGTGTGCGAAATTGCTATATACGCTGGTGGGTCAAGTAAAGGATAAGAAAGACAACGATATATTGTTTAGGCTCCAATTCCAATTCCAATAGAGGACGGTACAATTCCGTAGATTCTAACTTAGGTTCCAAATTCGATCCGTTTTAATTCTGTCTTTTCTAATCAACTTCAACTCAAATCTCATTTCTAACGCATACTTCACGTGTACATTAAATGACAACAACAGCAACAACTACTCTAGTACGCCATACCATACAATTTCTTACAGGCAGTGACACTCGTGGGATTCAAAAAACAAAACGTATCTAGATCTAGTGCAGCTTTTCCCAAGTCATATGGCCTACTAAATCTATATGACTATTACAAGTTGTTCATGTACGTGTCAGCAAAGAACGTAGACGAGCATTTTCAAAAGCTCTTACAATTGGGTAACTTTAGATCAATGAGGTGAATATTCTATTCACCTCATTGCTTCAGACACAATATTCAAAGGAGGCAAGAAATTGCAGGCCAATTAAATATTCAAAGGAGGCAAGCAGTTACAACCGTAAGGCATGTTTTCAGCTGCCGTAGATATGATGTTTGTTAGCAAACATCTTTCATTTTTGATAGAATCATTTAAGTACTGTATCTTGTAATTATATTGAAACATTGCAAGTGTATTTGGAGAATTCTGTTTAAAACAAACGGAGCCAGAGCAATGACTTGTAGACACTGTTAGCAAAACTACGATATAAATTACGTAACTTTATAGACATAAGTTTGTCAACCTCATTTTTCCAATTTTAATCAAAGAGAAACACCAGAAAGCCGCAGACATGACGTTTCTGCATCCAGCAACAAGAGTCCCTTTGAAAATGTTATTCACGTCAAAGGGCAAATATTCTGTGGTTTAATGACGAACGTATTTTACCGAATACGGGGGCAATGGTTAAATTTCTTTCACATTCATGAATAAGAATATTTTAAAATATCTGGATTATGCTAAATATTATTTATTTCAGATCAGCTTTAATAATTTTACAATTAAATAATTTCCGCTTTAAATACTAAGCTTTCACTGCCATAGGAGATCCGTCTTGTTGGATAATATACAAAATAAATCCAGAAAATAAACAATTTATAAGTGTTTTAAGCATCTTTAATAATGTCAAATGACACCGAAATAATGTTAATCAGAGCAGAGAGAAATATCAGACGATTACTGAAAGGAATTATCCGTTAGATGAAAGATTGTGGCCTTTTTTGGTTCGAATCGAATCCACTTCATATTTCCTTAAATCCAATAAATATTTCAACACTAACCTTTCGAAAATTTGTTTGAAGTACCCAGTTGCAACTTCCGATACAAAATCCTGAGCTGATAGGAGTGATTTCCAAAATTCCAAAAATATCCTTATGACAAGAAAAGTTACATCAAATTGAATTACTTTTTAATCTGAACATGACTGTATAACATAAACAACACACACACTGTTACACAAACATTGTCAAAAACAATACAGATAAATAAAAAAGAACAGGAAGAACAGGGGAAGCAGCAATATTAACAAAAATGAAAAGAACAGCAACAACAACGAAGACTTCAACAACAACAAGAGCCCAACAACGACACAAAAAACAATAACAATACCAGCCATAGCAACATTCGACGACAATAAAATCAGTATTCAAATAGACAAGTAGACAAACAGTACAAAAATTTAATAAAAAAAGATATAAAGTTAAAGCCAAAATCAAAATCAAATACTGCTCAGGAGAAATAATCTTTGATTCAATCTAAGCTTTTAATTTCGTTTTTATTACAAAAGCATTTGCCACTTTAATGGACTTTTTGGCCGATTTGCATTATTCTCATACATTTTATAATGCAGCATATTGTTCAAGAGAGTCATCCAACATATCTCTTATACGAAAAATTGAACGAGAATAGTTGTGTTATGCACCTATCATATCGAAAAAAATGTTCAACTTCCATGTTTTCTTCAAGTTCTAAAAGTACACAAGAATCATCATTATGGCCACTCACTATTTTCTCACTGTAATCTAATGGGTGGATCTTTGTAATTGAAGATTTCACATCATGAATGCTGAAAAGTGGAATCTTTGAATGTCACAAAAATGATTCATAAATGCAACTCAAGCTAAAAACTGAGAGCTGCGAAACGCTTGCTAATAAACATTACATCAATTTTTCTGGCAACATATAATCACTTCAAAGAAAACTTTCTGGCACTATGACCAAATGATCTTTTCATAACAAATTTTATAGATTAACCGATATTCATGAACTTAATAATGTTTTGAAACTAAAGCGCAACAAATTTTGGCTTGTTTAGTATTTATCCAAGGAAGTGAACTAAGATGCAGTGATGATGAAATTTCAGAAGAAACTGAATTTTAAAAAGCAATAAATAGAAAAGTTGATTGAAAAGGAAATCAAAGTTCAGAAATATATTGTATAAGCATTGAAGTCATACTTGTACAATGCCTTCCAGGCTTCTGGGTTTGTAAGTTCACTAAAGGGGTGCGGTAGAAATCTACAGAAAAATAAAGATATTTTGTCATTTCAACAATTAAAACAGAAAGTTGTAGATAGATTGGAGATTCAGAGAGGGTAAAGTTGCTAGAAAGGCTTAGCAGCCTTGAGATTTGTCTCTAAAGCTTTCTTTGAAAAAACTCAATAAGGAAACGGACATTGGGCATGGAAACAGACAAAAAGCACCACATGATGGCGCCATACTGATCAGGCCTAAATACTCACTCCTATCTTGATTAACTGTATAATAATTGAAGCAAAATAAAAGGAAAAATAACTTAAAAATAAGATGTACTAAACTTTTAAAAAACTGCTTTCTTGTTGCAACATCATGTTACTTTTCATTAGTCCCCTTTATATGGTCCCTTGAATTCTAATTAATTCATTTTTCTACAAATCCTATTTCATTTCATTTATTTTTTACTTTCAGTACATCAGAGACCCTTTTGTGAATTCATTCTAAAAGATTTTTGAAAAAATGGATTACAAAGAATCAGATTTTTACCCTTCAAGTGCCTCGGCCATTAAATTCCTTGTTGAAATGACTTTTTAATCCAACTCAATGCGAAATAGGTAACAACAGAGTCGGAACGCAGCTATTTTGAACACATGTATGCTGCTCGTTAAAATAACAATGCAATATTTCACAATATATAGGTCTAAAGTTTTCTATATTACACAATAACAGAGACGCCATTATCTAAAAGAAATATTGAACAAAAACGCCCTACTTAATCACTGTTTAACAGCGGTGATTAAAAGGATATCGTCATTAGAACTATTTTTAGCTCTATTGTGGTAAGCTCTATGGGTAAGCCAGGCATTAAAAGCTGTGAAGAAACAATTCACTTTTCAAATTAAAATGTAAATGAGGTCGCTAAAAACGAGGGGGTGATATATAGAGTAGAGAAACCCAATCACTAAGTGAGAAGATATTTAATTTCTCCTCTTTTTTAACTAATTTACTAAATTAAAAAAGCCTGATTTACAGATTTACAAATGACCATGTACAAACAACACAGAAAAAGGTGCGCCTTCGACAGTCTGAAATTGCCAAAATTGCACGGCAACTTGTGTATATCAACGAAATATCACGCTTTCCCTCTTCTAGAAGATTGATCTAATTTTTTTATAATTTTTCAAATCTGTAAATATTTGTAGCAACTAATTAGCTTTGAAAAGCTAAGCTTCTTATTTAATCATCTGACTCAATAATGCAATTAATTGATTAATATTACACTATCAATACATTTGATAAAGTTCTATTGAACGGACGAAATAAAACCTTAAGAAGATTTTTTTTCTAAATATTTGATTCAATTCTTTTATTTGCTAAAAATATGTTTGAGCAAAAAATGCTAAAGATGCTTAAAAATGAAATTCGTCCCAAGGATGATTTTGAAGGCCACATATTTTCAGAGTTGCTTATTCAAGCCTTCGCGATAAGATGGGGCTGAAAACTTATTCTCAACATTCCTTGAAACTACGGGAGGACAGGAAAAATACAGAAGCTAGAAAAATGGCTTTGTTGCATAAGAGTCAAAAGAAAAATTTTCCTTCTTTCGATTATGGTCGCATATTATCATACACAGCCTTTGATGATACTAAAAAAGCTACCGATTGAAACCCCCCGGAAGCCAGTGTTTATGGTCATTTGCTTCCATAATTCATCCAATAAGAGTACTATAGATAATATAAAGAGCACATTGTTGTCGGGAGGAACTTTTCAAGTGTTTGGGTTCCTAAGTTACATGAAAAAGAGCACATTCCACCCTTTAAATGACCCAATAACAGTAATCCACAAAATGAGATAAAACACAATTCGTGAAGTGAATCATTTGTTACCAGCGGAAATTAGATTAAGGACGGGAGCGCCGTTGACGAAGTTGACTACCCGAAGGAAGCAAAATCAACACTTATTTATGCACGGAAAATACAAATTGAGCTGTAATTTGCCAACTTCGACACTTGAATCGACAAAGGTGATTGAACACTCTCGGTGCTGTTAATTCTCCTATGAGAGAAATGCTGGAAAACAGGGTCGCAATTAAAGCACCGCTCGGACAGCAAGAAAACGTGAACCAACATAAACAATCAATTGGTTCGCCTCGACAATACTCAAAAAACGTATGCAGTCAAAAGATACTTGAGGAAAATAAAATTCCTTTAAAAGCACCAGCGGTTCATGTTCGACATATCAGCGATGGAAAACCTGATGTACCTCGAAAATTCTCTTTACCTACCAAACAACATTCTTTATTGGGAATTCCTGAAGAAAAGCGACGACACAGCTCTGTTGAGAAAAACTCTATTTTGTCCCAGTATGCAGATCATAAACACCATGTATCTTCGTCAAAGCCGCATAGAAAGAGTTTACCCGCAAAATTAGCATCATTTGACATCGATGCAGCTGAAGTTTACATTCCAGAGGCATATTTGGAAGCAGCTAAAAGTCCAGGCAGTTTGAGAGAGGAACTGAAACAATTAGGAACAATTGACGAACATTATACAGATCACGAAGAAGCGACAGATTTATTTGATATCATTGAAGACTTTGGCAAATAAAGGCTAATGTCTGGAGAAAATGCTAGAGATTAAGTTATTCAGGATGTGCAAGTCTTGAAAATACGTACTAGATATTAGATAGTGATTATAGATAGTGAGCTAATGGCAATACGCACACCAATGCAGAGATTTTTGTTTACAGATACAAATCCGTTTTCGCAAGCCTCGCGATAGGATGCTAAATTAATCATGTCCCCTTTATGAAACCGTCTTATTGGATTTTGTTCAATTGACAATGAAAATTACAAGAAACAAAAAGGTTAGACAAGCATGCTGTAGGCATTGGAGAAAGAAAAGACAACGGATTCGTTTCATTAGCTATTGAGGCAGACTTTATTTCATACAGAATTGTATTTAGCGACAAAGATCTCGATTTAATCTTATTTTCCTCTAAAGAAAACCTTCACTGGGAAAAAATTTTTTCCGGGATTTGCCAGTGCAGTAGCAATAAACAAAGCTTTTCATTCCGCAAAACTCCCGAGAGTTCACGTCCTGTCATTGAAATTTTCCACTTTCCTTTACCATGTTTTCAAATGGCGAATGCAGGAATGAATTGTCTGCTGAAGACTCGACAAAATTTTTTCAACCCTCGGATGAATTTCTTTCCATTTTCTCTCAAAGCATTCTCTTATAATCAAAGCTAGGACCATTGGATATCTAGCCCATGGCAGCTACTTTAGAAAAATTCAAGTTTTTCTTTACAGCGGGCGTGCCAATAAAGTTGCCAATTTTGTGCGGCAAATTTTCTTTTCCGGTTCATTCCAGTCAAAAGTTTCTTTAGAGGAAAATACCATGCAAGTTTAAGTTCGATGATCTTGGAAGATTATCGAAAATGTTAGCATTAGAGAAGAATTTATCAGTGACACACATCAGAGACTCGAGAGAGATTTATTACCATAAAGTAGATGGAGGTTTTTCAATATTTAATATGTACCCTGTTCGAATCGCGGTACCCTTTACAGAGTTTTAAAAGAGCCACTAGTACCGCAAAATTTGAAAATAGCACAGAAAAGGGAAAATATAAAGCGGACACACTTTTGCGCTTTTCCGTGCTATTTTCAGAGTTTTGAATGTTTTTGTAATGTTAGATTGTAAGTTGAAATCGAATTTTTTCACTATTTTCCTTTCTAACAAAAATATCAGAAATGACTTTGATCTTGATACTGTTGCCTTCGATAAGGGAAGCCACGTGTAAACAGGGATCTTTTGTGTTTTCCTATGTGGTAATATCCTGCTCCCAGCAGTATGATTCTAAGTGCCAATATATATTATACATAGTGAGAAGCTTTCGTCACTAAAGTATGCAAATATCGTTGTGTGAAGTTTTACAACTCCTTCTATGAATGACCCTTAAAGACTCATTGCTAACAATGGGCCTTTGCGAGCGTGGCGACGGTCCAAACAATGGCAGTAATTGATTTTAGACAGTCTAAAAATGCATTATGGGATGCTTACGTAGCGCAATGGCTCATTGTTAGCAATGAGTCTTTAAGCTCAATTGAAAAAGCCTTTGAAGATGAACGTACCTTCTGATCTGCTGGTTCTTCCACATTGACGAGTTTGAGGAATAACCGTTCTCCTTGTAGGCTACCAGCTCTTCCATTAACAATCTATTTCGATTGGAAAAGATCAACACTATATAAGAATTAAAAGAAAGCAAGAAAGGAAATTGAAGAGCATTGTTTTTAGATATAACATTAATGGGTTCTACATCACAATTACATGATCAACTCCACAGAGGTGGAAAAAACTTTTTTCTTTCTGGGAACCTAAGTATCTGGCTAAAAACTTTCTGCAAGATTTCAAGGGGTTAACAAACAAACTTTCTGTTTGTGCCTACAATACTGTATTTAGCTGAAGAAATTCAAGACGTTTATATGAAACTGACTCTGAGTAGGCCTAACTCAACATATTAGATATGGCTTTACTTGATGCATAAATGCACATAAGATGGAAATCAACTTTAGCCAGAAATTTATGCATTTAGTCAATCATCGGGATGGAAAAACCAAAATCAGAAGGCAATAATTTCTAAACATAGTTTCAGAAGAATCAGGGGCAAAATCATTTGAATTGTATGGTGCATTTTACGGAGAAAGCTTAACACAGCCTATTCTTTGACAAGTGTGAAGAAATATATGGTTGAAATGGAGTCCTAATATGCACCAAATTACTTTAACCAAGCATATTAACTTATGATCAATGCTGCTCACACCATAGTACAAGAAATAATTTCCGTGAAAGTAGATTCCAGTCCCTATATTAATCTCAGTCTAAACAATGGTTTGTCTAAAAAGCTCAGCTGCCAAAAAAAATTTTGATGGTGAGTGGTTGAGATTTCTGTGAGATGGTGAATGTGCACAAAGAATTTCTTTCCAATGGAAAGAGGCTATACCCAACAGTCCATTGGCAGCTCATATTTAGATGCTTACAGGCAAGTTGAAATAACATTAAATGCTGATTTGACTTAACTCTTGTCACCAGATTTTTACATTTACTTTAACACTTCAAAACTTTTCTGTGAAACTTTCTGCTAATATTTCCATCCAGAAAAATTTCTGGGAACTACGTTCCCAGGTTCCGATACTTTTTCCACCTCTGCAACTCCAATTCCAAAATTACAGTAAAAGAAACCAGGAACATTGCATTTACCACTAAATCTGCATAAAAGGCCACACTAGGAGTCTTACTGGCAACAGACATGCCCCATAAAAATTCATTCAATTTTTCAAACAACTTTTAGCCTTTAATTTCTGAACTTTTGGCAAATAATTGCAAACTTAGGCCAAGGCATATTGGGTCTTATCAATATGAAAGGGTCAATTCTTATTGAAAGGCTGGAAGTTTTCAAACTCACCATTTAAAACACTATAGTAAAAATGGCAAATCCGAAATTTATCTGGACTTCATGTTCCTTTTGAAAAGCAATGAGTTCTATATTTTCCAATTAAAATCTTCTTTAATCAAAAAGGCATTCATTTACTAAAGTGAGCTTTATTGGAAAATAAATTAGGGGAGATGTTAGAGAAAAGTGAAGGGGTAAATAGAGTAATCAGAAAATTCAGAGTCTCTCTCTCTCTCTCTCTCTCTCTCTCTCTCTCTCTCTCTCTCTCTCTCTCTCTCTCTCTCTCTCTCTCTCTCTTTCCATCAAAATGCTTATTTTTGATTATGAAAAATATAAGTTAAACAGAGTGCATGGACCTGTCATTGCAGTTACATACCTGCCAATTTGAAGAGTTGGTTCTGTAGCATAAACTTTCCCTTTGAACTCAGAATACTGCAACAATTGAAAGAGAAAAATCACAACAAGACATGGGCACAGGTTTTTAATTAAAATTGACAAGATCTGTTTAAACTACCAATAAATGTAAAATTCTTACCTCTGTAATATATGGCAGTGCTAGTATGTTGTGGTAGTTTGAGATCAGAATTATATCCAAATCAGCAAAGTCTACCAAGCCTTGCTGAAGAAATAGGATTATTTAAGAAAAATCATCTTGAGGATCAAGCAGTTTAAAAAGAGGAACAACATTCAAAAGGCAATTTCCACAAGTCCTGGAAGGGGACATCATAACCCTAGTTAGTTAAGGTAATCTAAACAAGCTTTGGTGTAAACAGCTTTCTCTTTGGAAACACTACTTGTGAGACATTAAGTAGTCACTATGATTTGCAGATAACAGACATATTTGTTGTAAGTTAAAAAGAATGTTGACTACTAGGTACACTTCCTGTCCAAAATTTTTAAAATAGTTTTATAATCACACTGTCTTTACATTCTTGCTTCATTTTGACTTACAAAGTTGAATTCAAGTCATCTAATCATGAATTACCTATTTCTTACTCTTAAGTTTCTTCTAATCAAACTCAATTAATATAGTTGTGCATAATAAAAAATAGCATTCGACATTCTACTTCTTCTCTAAAAAGATCTGACGTACATTTCTGCATTCTTATAACAATAATTTAATGATGCAAAGTTTAAATAATACTAGTTAGCAAAAATAGGCATAAGAAAGCATGAATCACCTCTGGCAAAATGAATTCTGGCTCACTATCAATGAAAATGTGATTTGCAACTTCATACAAGTTCTAGAAGACACGATATAGAACATGTCAAGAAACATTTGGTAATATCTAGTTTTTTAAAGTGTGAAATATAAGTTTTCAATTTTAGCCATTCAGTTGGCTACAAATGTATATTATGTGGCCATTATAGGCATAGTGAAAAGATAAAGTACTGAATTTGAATATTACAAACATGAAAAATCATAATTTCAATTATTGTTATTTAAATGAAAAATGTTTAAAGCCCTGCAGCACTGACAAGAAAGAATTTTTGGCACTTTCAAGCATTAAGTCTTTTGGCAAGATATTGGTGTATCCTCACTATTATCATTTACTGCATGCTGGTAAACAATATGAACCAGTCAATTTTGGAGCATTTGACAATATAAACATTATTAGTGAGTTCATTAAAAAGCCTCACCAGCTTGTCACTTTCCTTTACTTCTGACGAATAGCTCTTCCATAGCTTTAAATTTGGCTCATGACAGCTTTGAAAAATAAAAAAGTAAAGTGTATTAATAATATTATAGCAAGATTTCTTTTAACATGAATACTCTCTTAACAGATATAGGTAAGCCTTTCACCTACACACAAAGCCAGCTTAGCCCTAGATGACATTCAAGCTTCTTCAAATATAATTATAACCCTTAAAATTAAAATTCCTAATTTATATGTTAAAATAAAACAGGAACAATGGAAAATACCATATGTTTAGTTGTAACGCAATCAAGGATAGAATAGAAGTATCAGATACTACTAAAAATACTATTGGTAATGAATGAAAAATATGAAAAATATTATAAAATAAAAATATTTCCTATTGAAATACCTCGCTACTTGTTTGACAGGCAAAAAGTACTGCAATGATGATATGTCTAATGCACAATCTAACATCACTGAGACGTCTCTGAACTTCAAAACAAGGCAAGGCACATTTGCCTGTTGGCTCAGTATGTGCTAAAATACAAGAAATTTTGCATCAAAATGATGTAACACTCAAGTCAGATAACTGTTTTAGAGAAAATAACCTATTGATATCAAAGCATGACAGTCGTAAATTTTATGGTTAAAACAACAAACATTATTTAAGATTGATTTTGAATCTAAAATTCTATCGGTATAGTTGTTTAGAAACTTTAAATTTTTTCTATAGTTTCTATAGAAACTTAATTAATAAAGCCATTACATTGTCATTGTTTCTTGATTGAGTGCTTTTCAAGAAGAAAATCTTTTACTAAAAAGGTAGATATCTGGCATTAATTTATTTCATCCAAACTCAAACTCAAACTCAAAATATTTTTTCAACATAAAATTGATTAATTACAATATACCGGTTAACATAATTATACTAAATATACAATATCCAAGTTAATATGGCTGAATAACAATGAATGGTCAACCGCAATATTTTATAGAACAGCAATCCCCTATGGGCTTTTGCCTTTTCTATGCCAAATCCCTTTTACTTGGCAAACAAAGTTAAATAAAGATTTTGCAAGTTACAGAACTGTTGTTTGGTGTGCCAGACAAAGTTGTTTTGTAGGGTGCGTTTTTGAACAAATCATAAATTTTCTTTTATTCCTTATTGGAAAATAGTTAAGATACCCACGAGCTTCATCTTTCGTGTCTCGATTTGTCTACAGTCATAACAGCATGGTTTATAAATCTAATTGCGAACTATCCTCTTGATTTCGCTCAGAAATTAGGCCATTTGCCCTCGTATTCGAATGGAGGCATGTTGGCGCCATAAATTCAAAGCAGTATGCTGAGTTTGTTGTAGCAACATGGCGGACAGATGCAGGTGGAACCTAACACTAATTTAAATCGATCTGAGCATTTATCTCAATGTATGCATTGATGATGTAAGGATGGAGGACTCTGTTTTACTCATGCAACGCTTGCACGAATACATTCGAGATTCTGGATTGTATTTCCAGCTAAAAAAAGCAGCACAGGTTAAATTAGAATGATATATTGGTTAAATATTTATGTCCATTTTCTAGATGATCTATATTTTTAGTTATAAGCAGCATTTTGGCGTGCTGTGTTGAATTCACCATAATTTGTTTTTATTTTTAATGTGAAAATAGTTTTCGTACAAATGTATAACTTGCATGTTTTTCAGGAGCATCCCCTACCAACAACAACAATTAGATTAGAAGCGATCTGTAACAGCAGGCTTATAATAGCCTACATTGCAGCATTTGTTATGTTATGTTATGTTATGTTACGTTATGTTATGTTACGTAATGTTATGTTATGTTATGTTATGATATGTTACGTAATGTTATGTTATGTTATGTTATGTTATGTTATGTTATGTTATGTTATGTTATGTTATGTTATGTTATGTTATGTTATGTTATGTTATGTTATGTTATGTTATGTTATGTTATAACCTTGTTTCCCCAAACCGAATCTCCGATCGCAACAAACTTGCAGAATTCTATTTGGCCGTGTTGTGAATATTCATATTGTGTACCATTTAGGCCAAGCAAGTTTCTTCCATGACCTTTAGGTGGTATTTGCAATCATTTACATGTACACATGACACTTTCACATCAGGGATATTTTATCCACTATCGTGCACCAATAGATGTATATATAGCAAATACATTGGAGTATTTTTAATTTGCAAACCCCTGTTAAGTCTGATTGTCAAGTCATACAGGTTAAATTGGTGGTTGTCATCAAGGAGCCTTGTCTTTCGCTTTTGTGCCTATGACCTCTTAGAACCCTTGGTGGCATTTGTTGTCACTAAGTCTGTACAATCTGCCATTTAGATTTAAAACTGGAGGAAACTCTCTAAATTATGGATGGTTTGATTGATGGTATTTTCAGTGAACCTAATGTTAACCATACCATTGTCCATTATGTTATTTTCGAAGTGAGTCGTTTCAAGCATCTCATACATTTTATCCATAACACCCACTTGATAGCTTAAAGTCAAATCCTGATTCTGCTTCATCAAATATTTCCCAATGCATACTGACAATGTACATGCACATACCAGGATATCAGCTTTTCACTGATGTACTTGTAATGAAAATATCACAAAGATTGCAACCCTGTGCATAATTTGATGTAATCACTAACTTCAATATGTATCTCATCTTTGGTTTTAGACAACAAATAAAGTTGAGAAAATCCACCAGTTATTTTTGAGAATTTTCTAAAAACTATTTTTTGAATTGCAAAAAAGTTTATTGACCTTTGTCATGCATATTTTGTATTAAAACTTTTTCCTTCTTTTTGCTAGGATGAGCTGACCAAGTCAGCAAGCTCTTCAGATATGAAAAAGGATCTTATAAAAGTTTTGAAAAATTCAGGTAAGAAACATGTCTAGTTCAATCATATGTCATTTAATTAATTGCCTAAATATGGTCAATCATATGCCTAAATATGGTCAATTTTTCAATAAAGGCATTGAATTGGTTCTTCTGATACCATCTATAGAGGTTCTGCTTAGATATGAAAAACTCCACAGGAATAATATTCAAGTTTGTGCCCCATATACAATCCTTATTCATTATGAACAGCAAAGTTTTCTTTGTCTTTAAAAATCTTTTCATTCTTATACAATCAGTCAAGCAATTGACTATAACACTTAAACCCTAGTTTTCAGAATATTATTGAACGCTGTTTATTTTAGTTATTTCAAAGAAAGATTAATATATATCTTATAATATATTAATCTATAATATATTATATTAATAAATAATATTTTAGTATCTTATATAGATTAATTTAAGATAATTGAGAAACAGGATCAAATTATTTATGTTTTTTGCATCTCAAAAATTAGATATGTCATGAAACATATGTACCAACTGATATTGCATTTTGGATTATATTTTTTCTATTGCCTTAAATGTATAAAACTTATTATAGGATATGATGTCAAATTGCAGAATGAAGTATTCAGATTCCAAACACAGTAAGTACGGAAGAGCATATTAATACAAATTAGTGTTCTTTTGGACTACAGTACAGGACTAACTTTTGACTACAAGGCTGCCATAATAGTTTTTAAAGCACTGTATGCAGCAATGTTTTGGAACTAGCTATATGCAGACCTCATTAATCTGCGCAAGCAGCACTCGCAGGCAAAAAAGGTCATTCTCAAGAATTATGCAGGCACATTTCTGAATTGATTTTTATTTACCTTAATTGTATCTTTAAACTGTCCTGCTTTCTTTAAACATCTTTCTTGGTATTGAAATTGAACAGTCAAATAGAATATTAAAGGTAGTGGCTGCAAGTCTTTATTACCAAAATGAGAGAAGGTCTTTACTCTAAAGGCGCCATTTGATTCTCAAAAATCAAGTTGGCTGTTTGTCTCTATTCCTATATTATCTCTTGGAGGAAGAGATCACTTGCAATTATTGTATCGCTTTTTCAGAGTATTATTTTATGACTTGTCAAACTCATTCGTGCATAGTAGGCTGAAGAAAGGACACTAAAGTCTTCAAGCTTTTAAGTCTGGTAGCTATCAATTTCTGATGAATTTGAGCAAAATTTCAAGGTAAACCTCCATAGAATTCATCAGAAGCAAAGAATTTCAACAATTTTTGACAACAAAAACAAGCCTTTGTTTCTTAAATTGTTAGAGAGAAAGCATTTTCATAATCAAATCTTACAAGCATGATAAACTCAAAGCTAAAAAATGAGTATCCTTATGAGATACTATGTGTAATAAGTAATTTCAACGAAAGTAATTGGGGATAGAATCTTTCATGGCTATTTTTCATATCTTTGAAATAAGAAAAGACCAGGTAATGTTGAAGTTCTCGCAACCTTTGCCAAGGAAGCAAAAGCAAAGTCCTAAAATTCATAAACCTTGAAAAAAGATATTCTAAACAAAACTGCTCCCTTTAAAGTAAAGCATTTAAAGTAAGCTTTAAAGTAAAGATATCAGAAACCCTTTGATGAAATTTTGAAGATGTTTCTATTTGATGAAATCAATAACAGGGATAGGGCTACTTGACAACCTAAAACAGCCCCTGGATAAAAACTGGATCATTCCCTTTCTTATGTACAAAGTATGATGCTAGCAGCATTTACTATGTCATCTGTCTAGTTTTACATGTAGTTACATGTAGTTCATGATGATATTGATCTGGTATGTTGGTGTAACAGCACTGAGCATAACAGGGAGGTTCTCAATTTATCAATATCTGACTATTAATTGCATCCTATTTCACATGCAGGCAGATTGTTACTCGGCTATGGGCTCGCATGCACAAAATATTATTAATGAGCCCTGGCTACATGTGCAAAAAAACCAAAGTTAGATTTGTAGAAAGGCCAGATGAAGATAGAGAGGTCATTTCCTAAAGCATTTTTCCTCAGAAATCAATTAATTCATTCACCAATAAATCATTTTACTTCAAAGCCCGGCAAATCTCAAGAAGTGTTCTGCTGAAGGAAACTGTGAAAAAGATCCATTGGATTATATGAGGAAAGCACAGGTTAGTTTGAATTAATATATTGAATATTTTTTTATTCGCACCAAAAAGCAAGTTTTACATTATCCTTGCATTTACAAATCTTTACTTCAGTTGAGGCTTGTTTACACTATTAGATAAAATTTGCTTCACGTTTTTTCAGTGATTACAGATGATGAGAGAATATGATTCTCCTTTTTAGCATTTGAAAGCCATATAATAGTATTGTGTGGCATGTATTTGCATGTCAGATTAGAAGGTAAAAAATAATGATGAATGCTATGTTGGCTGTTTTGAAAAAATTTAGTTACTGGAAAAGATATTAAGCAGAGCTGGTACAACAGATCAGCATTCAATTTAGCGAATTAATGGGCAGCTTCTGCTACCATAACCTCTCATTGTCTGGTTGCAGAAAGAATGGAATGCAAATATTTTGATAGTACCTGGCCTTGACGATAAAAGTTAAAAAGTAGCACAAACATTTATTAGCAGTTTCACTTATTATTTGTATTTCAAAAATATTAAGTATTTCTTTTATATTTAGTAATTTTGTTTGTATTTATTAATCAAGTCTTTGATCATTGTTTTCTAGACCTCATGGGAAAAATGTATTACAAAAAGCATTAATAGCATGTGTACAGAATTAGTGCTTCCTCTTGCAAGAAAGGTTAGTTTGAATATGCAATGACAATAAGTTATTGTGGTAAAAAATGTCCAAGATTTTTTCTTGTCATTTCCATAGTGATGTCATCGAAAATACACCTAGTGTATAGCACTCAGTCATGAAACTCATCAAGAGTTCTTGCAGTCTCTTACTGACTCTATAGAAACTTTTCTTCAAAAAGGTATAGGATTCCACATCAGAGCATTACTAAATTTCTATAGAAGCGCTAGATAGCGTTACAATATTGATGCTTCTATAGGAACTTTATCAATTGAGTGATACACTTGTACAGCGATCTATAAATTAAGCTATCGCACGTCAGAATTGCTGTAACAAGCACGACTTGATACATTAAAATAGCATAGAAAAGAAAATTAGAATAAAAACCAAGAGCAAACACTTTTGAAAATTATTGAAAATACCGTGAAAAAAACATTTTTTTACCCGCTTATTTTTAATTGATGCAATCTGTCAAAGATACACACGCTTCCCGTTGCATGACATTGTAGAAGTTTAGGACGTATTTCGTTTCTTTGGTTTTCTGAAAATTTATCAATATTCTTTCTCTGTTAACCTGAAATTTTCTTGAAAGTAATGCTTTAAGTGCCTATTGAGTGTTGTTGATTGAAGGGGATAAAAATATCTTAACTGTAACATTTTCGCTTGTACAGTAAATGATGAACATAAAGGTATATTAGGGGATTAGAACCAATAAAGTGTTTCGCTAACACTCCATTAGATATACCGGATAACTATACCGGTCATGTGTTTATGTTTTTCTGATTGGTGATTTTGATCGGCAACTGGGTATATATTTTCCATCTTGTTTTTTCGGAACCCTGTTTTGACGTTTTATACTCTCAGGAGTGCCAAATGTTTGCTTTTTTCAAAGTCATTTCCAAGTTCTGTACCGCCAAAAAATTATTCACATTTTTTCGAACCAAACATTTATGTTTTTTTCTAGTTGATTTCACTTTAAGCAAAAATTTGCGTTCATCAATTTTTCAGAAATGTCTATGTTTGACGAAGCTAGTGCCTACGGAATATTTTTATGGGCAAACATTTTCGCCTTCTAGAGATCAGTGAAGGACCAAGAAACATTTGCAACTGAATTCAATGCTCTCAGAATAGGCTCACACTATGACGAAGAAGGTACTTGCTTTAGTCCTATTTCATGACAGAAATACAGCTAAGTGCTCGTTCAAAAATGACGTAATGTTGAAAGAACCATTCTCTGACCATTTACGTGCTATACCTGCAATTTCAACCATCTACCTACCATAAATGGGTTACGTAGTTTTTGAACCAGCCCTAATATACTAAAACTATGGCGATATTTTACGGTTTCATCGCCTATTTACTATCAATGACTGATTTCCTCTCACAAATTCACATTTATGATGCTTGGAGTTACTCATACCCCTGCCATTCGTCACATTGCTCCTCTCTTTCACAAATCTTTTGAAATCACACTGGCTATTTGATTAAATATTATGACAATTAAGGCATGATATCGCCTTAATTGTTAAATACACTAATGGGTATTTAATTATGTTCCACATAAACGTTGCTTTATTTTCTAAGTGTAAAAATTCATCAAAGGTTTTTCATTTTATAAATGCGAGAGGTCGGTCAGTGAATGGTTGTCGAGTGGTTAAAAATAAGAAGCGAATTATAGGCATCATTCTTCTTCTCACGTTATTTTCGATCCACAACTAAATCTCGGAGAAGATTCGAATAAAAAGCTCTTTAGTCACTGCATATCGAAAACAAGGTATTATCGAATTGTCTGTTATTGCTAGAAATATTTTAGTGGCTTGCATACTTTCTATGCTATCTTTCTATCCAATCTCATCTATTCTTTTAACAGGTTCGAAAAAACTTCGCCCTGTATATTCATCAGCAGACTTTTTCGAGGTCAGAAATTTTCATATTGATATGAAATTCATGAGCTTCTGTCTAGATTTATCTAATCCAAGATATTGATTTTCTTGGTAGTAAAATATGCAAACAGGGATTTTGTCTTCTCTAATATGAGGACAAATTTTGACCATGAGTAAAACTTAGGGCTCTTTTTGATGTAGTAAATTGATATATCACAACGAACCCCTCAAATTTGGCTTGCTTACGAGATGTAACTTTTGAATATTTAGATAGACTAAATCCACATTAGTACACTAATATTTCCTTTGTCATACACAAAAACGTTGTTCTAACTTCCAACTGACGTTGTGCGACTGATTTGTCAAATATTTCGGTCCTTGCTGGTGTTTTGCCATGGAAAATTATACTGACCCCCCTATCTCCGTAGGTCTGGATATCAATGAAATTTGTTAAACTTTAACTTGGCAAAAGCTACAAAACCATTTCCATTTTTTTATCAATTTTTTTAGAATGATTGTTATTTGAATCTTAATTTTGTGTTTGAATAGAAAGTACTATAAACATAATTATTTAAAAAGCTATTTAAAGTTTTCGAATAGTTTGTCTCTTATAGTTCTTTTCATTTTCCACAGGCTCTTATCACAGTGAAAAATGCAAACTACACGCCAATAAATAAATCGGGGTAGATAATTTCAACAGTTTTCCCGCGACTTTCTTGTGTTCTATATAAAGTTTTAAATTGCAGTTCTGATTCATAACATTCTATCATTATTCTTTGCTACACAAATTAGCCCTTTATTTAATGTTTTGATGAATTATTTACATGTTCATTCAGTGAAGGTCAATGGAAGAGGTGTCTCTTCTAATTTGATGTTTTATAACGAATAAAATAAAGCTTTGAAACGAAACAGGGACAGAAGTGCTTCGCAAAAAAGGACCAGTGGGTAAAATAGGGAGAGGGTCTCTGTCCCCCTTGAGCGCTCCCCTTTTTCTGGAAAACTGCTTGTTGAAATCCAGTGTCAGCAAGTTGGAATAAGAGAACTAGTTCTTTTTTTATCTTGGTGTCAGTTATCGTCTTTTTAGGTATTCTTGACTCACTCTTCATGCTGTTATATTGATATATGAAATTTTTTGAAGTTACTTGTTGTGGAGATTCCTTCTATGATTTTTGATGTTCCAGGAATAACCTGGAGCAATGGCGGCTCATCAAACCCTCAATTAGTGTAAAAGACATTCACGAATTGGTGAGTATCGACTGTTCTTGTATTGTATTATGGATGCTGTTGTCTTGTTTAAAGGTTGTATTGACGCATACTGATTTCTACATTACGAGATGAGAAAACACAATTAATGGCATTTCTCTCAGCCAAATAGATCCTTTTCAAGTTAATTTTGTTTCATTTTTAAAAAATGGGCTTTCGGTAATACTTAGAAAGAATTTTAAAAATGAATTTAATTCTAACGCAAGCGCTGGCTGTTCTTAGATATGATTTCTTGTTGATTTATTGCTGTGTACTTTTTCACAGAGAAAATTATTTTTGCAACTTGATAGACAGTACCCTCAGTGTGGAATTGATGACGTAACAAGCAGTAGCACAGGTATCGCCTCATTTTTGCTAATATTTACCAATCACAGCAAAGATCGATTCATATTGCACCTCAAGCATTAGCACTCTTATAAGAACACAATGTTCTGAGTATAAAACGGAGAAGTTGATTTTAAACATTTTAAACAGTCCAATTACTACCCTTATGTTAAATATAGCATCGAAGTTGCGTTTTGTTTTATTTGAAGTTTTCTATTATTGTCTAACGTATTTCTTATGTATTCAAAAAGGTTCCATCTGTAATTCTCTGGCTTATTATACAAGAAGGTTTAACCCATGTCTGCATTAACATTTATACATGTATCTTACCTATTACAGAATTGATTCGCCTGGCAATTTTCAACTTTTTTTGCCTTAATATTGCTGACTAAAATTTTAAAAAGCATCTAGTAACATCTAGTATATACCTTAGACGTAATGTTATAAAGACTTAACTTAAATGCTGGAATTTACAGCTAATTCTATCAAAAAAATTCGAGAGTTTGTATTTATTCTGGAAGAAAGTATTCTAGTTACGGTTAGATTATTTTGGATAACGGATACGTTAATTTTTCTTGCGATCTTTTGTGCCTATTTCACTTTCAGAAAGCTTTCTTCACGAATGGCAAAAATTAGGAGCAAAAGGTATGAAGTCAGTTTTGAAAATGCAATTGTTTTTGTGATAGTGAGTTAAATTTTCAAGCTAGGTATGGTGTCAATTCTCATTAAATCGTGTTCAAAGGGCTCTCTGCTTATGCGATGTATGTGTGACTTAGTTTTAATTCCAACTTAGTTTTAACTTCCAAGTTGGTATGAACATAACACTACCTTCGGAGCTCTTAATGACGCTGTTGTTTATGGGTGCACTTTATTATGTTTAAAAGCTTAAAAATATTTTTTAGAATTCAATTTTTAAATTGCTGTTAATTGAAACAAAGGGTTCTCTCTTTCCGATTACTTTTTGAGATCATTCCCCTTTCAAAAGTCCCTACCATTCCAAAATCTATCCCTATTCTAAATTATGTTACTTTCTATTATATTTTAAGTAAGGATGTTTTTTTTAGAATTTTCAGTTTGAAACTGAAACTATTGAATTTCTACCTGTATTGTAGTAACTATATTATTTGTTATGCTTGCTTTCTCCGTTTAAATAATAGTTGTAAGGAAAGGACATAGCGCTGCTGCAAGGCAATATGCAAAACAGGGCTGCCCAACTGGTTTAAGAAAAAAGATTTGGATGTGCATTCTTGGGATGGAAATGGAAAACTTGGTATGTTTAGATATTTTTCTACGTCGAATAATATCTTGTCAGGGACTCATAGAGTGGGAAAGTGTTGACCTCAAAAATTCATTTTTCAAAACGTTTTTGGATTTTGAACTTATAACATAAAAGAACACCATAAAATACCAATAAATGTCTAATGTCGGTTAAATCTGTTAAAGTTTACCTGAAGTGTGACCACACGAGTACGGGCTGTCCTCCATCAAACCACTATAATTTGGCCCTGGTTTTAAAGCTCATTAGCAAAGTCAGATCTAAGTGAATATGTACCAGATTGAACTAATCATGCATATTAAGAGGTATTGCATCGTTTTTTTATTCTTGTAGCAAATGTTGAAGAATTTTAAAAATTTTATTTATGACGTCATCATTTTGTCTCTCTATAGCAATATGCTAAAGTTTTCCCCTGATTCTAGAAATAAATTAACTTTTGGGTCTTCAATTTTTTTATGTTTTTATTTAAAGTTTTGTGACATGTTTAGCACTGTCTATCAACTATGCTATAACAACACTTCAAACCTTGTCAAATGCTATTTGATATAATCTTCAGCTAAATTTTCTTTCCGCAAACATTTTATTGTTCGGAACCCATTACTCAATAAGATACATGTACTTTAAGACATGTACTTTAACATTTCCTTTTTGCTTGTTTTTTATCGTTTCCGCAAATAATGATTTGTTGGATTTTGAGGTTTCTTGTTCAATGAATTTCTTTTCTATTTTTCCAGATGTTTTTTCTCACTAATTCCTTTTTTCTACCATCCATAAGTCCCATAAAACCAGGTTATAAGCTTCTTTTGAGTTTTAAAGTACCTTAACTTTCGTTACCTTAGAAACTTTAACAGTCAAGACTTTGTAATTGCTAAGATAAGCAGTCGACTTAAATCGAAAATTCTATTTTTAATTAAAACACTATTTCTATACCAAATCTCTTGGTTTTCTCTCATCAAGCGAGAATTAGAGCCACTGTTTCTGCGATTCAGAAACTAGAAAGTAATTAGCTCTAGGTGCATGCCTTACTGCGTATTAGTTTATGGATATGCCATAAAGCGCAGAAACCAGGGGAGAGGGTGGGGGAGGGTGGGGGTTGGCATGAGGGACACCATCAAGAAGTTATAGATGCTTTCTACACTCTTGGTGTTTTAGGTTGATGCGTGACATCTGAATATAAAAGTCTTACTATTTATTCACGGCTGGCTGGAGTAATTTAACGATGACTACCTGAGGCTGTCTCTTAAGGAAAGGTCTTCTGATTGACATTGGAACCCATTTCAGTTGAACGAAATTGAATTCTGTAGGCATCTCAGAAAGCTTGACGCGGTCACCAAATTGTGTTTCTAACGTTTTTCATCCCAGAAAGCTTTTTTCTGTATTTCCTTTCGCTGCTTATAGATGTGCAGATGTAGTAGTTTTAGACAGTTTGCTGCAGTACAAGGACTAGATTTTGTTTTTTATGGAGAAATGTACACCTTAAACTTGTATCGTTATTGGCTAAACATTACAAAGAGCTACAAACATTTGGTTGCCATTCAATGAAAAATCAATTCTAATGAAGAGCCACCCTCATCTGTTACTCACTATTTACCTATTTTTATTATTTGCACATGTTTTTTCTGTTAATTGCGACAAAATATTAAAGATTTTTGGAGCCTGTACTTAGAATAATGCTTCTTTTTATCATTAATTTTACAGCCATTTCCGTCGATTGTTTATTTACTCATTTCATTTTTTTGCTGAATTTATCTTTCTTTTTAGGACATGTTGTACTACGAGCAGTTGAAGAACTTTGTATTCGAATACGATTTGCTCGTTGACAAGCTAATTATGAAAGTAAGTTTGCTCTTAAAGCCTGTTTCCATTTGATTCTCTCTGGTCGCACGACTTGGCGAACGCGAATTAACAAAACAGTGAAATGGTGAACGCGACTAGTGTCTCAGAAGCTCAAACGAGTTGAAAAACTTAGCGAATGATCGCACTTTCGCAGCGAATGTTTCGCGCGTAAGTGGTGAATGGCCTTTAAAGGCCTTCTTGCATCGAATTCTGATTTTTTCCATCAACTGGAGATTTTTAACCAAGTTTAATGTTAGCCACGACCTTAAGAGATACAAGTACTCATTTCTTCAGCTTTCTGTAGCTATATGTTTTTTATTTCTGCCTTAATTAAAAAGATTGTGCGTAAATTACGACAAAGAACTTAATTTAGTTATTAAATTGATATTTATCCAACAGGAGGCCGTACAACCAGCGGTGGATATTTAGGATGGTTTCGATTTGCTCAATTATGATCAACTCTTTGTTGATGTGAATAATGTTACATTTGTAACGTTGTTTTATCCGAATACAGCTGACAGAAATCGTGCATTGTTCTAGAATACTTTGTTGACCGAAAAAATTTAACATAAATTTACTTTTTCTAGCTCAGTCCTTTCCATCTTTAATTTTAGTGCTTATGTAGCATTTCCTTTTTCTTTCTGTGAGTGAAAGAGATGTGAAATTCACTTTTGTTTTATTATCATTTGCAGGATGTTAGGCTAACAACTACAAATGACGATTCTTTTTTCGTATTTGAAGACATCATTTATCAAGTTTGTATTCCTTCTTCCTTGCATAAATTCGCAAGCTTCTGAAACTTGCTGATTTTTCCAATACAGTTATACAATCACTAATGGAATTCTTAGCTAGTTTTGCTGAAGATTTTGCAACTATGTACTTTTTATTAAACACCAAACACCCCTCTCAGCGACAAGCCTCATTTCCGGTTTAGCAAGTTTTTATTGGATATTTTGTCCATAATTCATTCTTGGCTCAGCTCTGTTTGATTTTGGTTTTGCATTTAATTGTTTTTCAATTTCTATTTTACAACATATTTGATTCTTGTTGTAGCTTTGCTTTGTTCCTGTTAGTTCCATTTTTCTTAACTCATTGCCCAGAATCTTCCAAACCCAGAATCCGGCGGAAAGCCTATTCAGTGTATCTTCCTTCTTACAAATAAGTATGCTATGATTCCTCTTCCCAGTGCTATCATCAAATTTTGTGGCAAAAAAGGCTTTTGTAAAGCTTTCTGTTTGCAAAATCCTACGTATGAGTACTTCATATCTTTTTGTAGGTTTTGCTGATATTCAGCCGTGATACATGGCTGCTTGAACGTTGTAACTACATCAACTCGTCTCCGCCCAAGTCATACGTAAGAGGTGAGAATATCTTGTAGTTCTGCTAAATGTAGCCAGTGGTCTAAGTCGTTTTGTGACCTTGCAACCTGTGGTTAAAATGTTTCACATCCCCCAATGTTTGGAATTCTTTGAACCAATCAGAAATTTGAGGGTTATCGGAATTTCTAAGTTGTATTTCCAATGCGTATTTAATTTGTTGTTTATCCATCCTCCAGACAATGCCGTTAACGCTTCGAATACTTTTTTAAGAAAGATTTTGAGAAGACATAATTTGGATGCTGCACTGAAGTTTCCTTTCTCTGTCAATGCAATTTTTCACGATCATTGACTATGTGACCGCCTGGACTCTATGATATTGTTATATTCTGCTTGTTATTAATAACTGAAAATGTTTACTGAAAAAACTAATGTGCTTTTGCTTATATGAGAAATTGAGCTTGCCATTTTAATGATATGCAGGAAATTTTGGCATTCCTGAACTTCAAGTAAACTATCCTCCAAGTGGTATGTACGTTTTTATTCGAAAAAACTGTTCCTTGTTCTTTTGTATCGTAACTAATCGCTAATGATCTTTTTAATGTGGGCCTGGCTGGTCGGTTTCTCATTGCTGCCATTTAGTTAGTATTTTTTATGCCTTATCGCGGTTCTCCTTTTATACTCAAGCGATATTTCATGGTTGTATTGAATTTGGCAAAGTCGATAAGGTTTTGTCGATAGAGTTGGTATCTCACAGCTCGGTATAAATTCCTACATTTTCTTGGCCTTTTGCGCACTGGAATTAGGCTTGGTTTATAAATGGCAGCCACTTTATCAAGAAAAATAAAGAAAGAATACAACATAATCACTGTAAAATCACAATCTACATGTTGCAATGAATGTTGCAGGCAGCTTATAGACATATGAACATCTAGACATATTCACTGGAGCTAATTGAACTCAAAATAGTGCATTTTAATTACACATTTGAGAAAAAAAATCGTGTGATAGTCATTTCAACTATGCCGGAAATGATGATTTTGGGAGCATTTTTCCTCCCCCTTCCGCTATAGATAGAAAGGTTGGGTAGATTTGCAAAGGTGATTTGATAAAAGGCTGCTCAAGCCAGAAACTCCAAGAATTCATCTCACCTTCTATACAATTCAAAAAGTCATTTTCGAAACAATGATTTTCAAGATGCCCTGGTTAAAACTCACAAATCAAATTTATTAATTTTGAAAATATTTTATTCTCGAAACGAAAAAAACGAGAAAGGTATAAACAAAGTAGTGAAAATATTTTTTTCAAGTTAACAGCAAATGAAACTGATACACATGGCATACCTAATAGTTTGGAGTTGCAGAAGTAAAACTACATGTTTGATCTCTACAAGCCTGTTTCGTGAATAACTCACTCTTCAGAATATGTTGATTTGCTGAAATATTCCTCGTATAAATACAGATAGATGATGCATAAGATTTCTCTACATTCTGCTGAGATGCTCTGAATCTCTGCGATAAACTATTTCTGCCCCATACATGATCTTCGGTTGGATAGGCTTGAGTAAACAACAGTATTACAGAGGCTGCGAATGGCTAGCTGGGAATTTTTGCTTGTAGTGGAGCCATAAAGTGGAGAGATAAATGACCATCAATTATAGATTGTGCGTAACACGCCTTTCTATAATCTTCAAGCTACGGCTATGCAATAGAAACTTAGCTTAGGCAGCATTTCATGCTGTTCGTTAAAGTTATTCCTGCTCGACTTTGCAACTTTTGTAACTGACTAAGCTCTGTAAAATGCATTTAGTAAGCATTTAACGTGTCTTTTACCATTTAGCTGTTAAGAAGATTGTCAGAAACGTCGATCTATTCTTTAATTGTTTTTTTGCGACAGATTATAGCAGTTTGAAAAAGTGTTTTTTAACGTTGCATTTATGATATGATAGGCGCATTTGCCTTCTTTGTAGGTGTCATTCCATTCCACGGGTTTGCTATGTATGGTAAGATAAGTTTACGAGAATTCGATCTATAGAACTGGTTTCACATTCATCTTTCTTTCTTAGAACTGCCTTCAGTTCTTAGAACTGTCAGTTGTCCTTTGTCAAACCAAATGGCGAATGTTTTCCTCATTTTAACTTTCAATAGTTATTACCTCAAATATTCATTTCGAAAATAGGGATGGTATGCTTGTGTTTTCAAGCTTTTTTTCACAAAGTCGCAATTCGAGAAAATTGTCAAAAGATTATCTACAGACAGACTTGTCTGCCGATTCTGACTTCATAGTAAACTACGTTTCAAAGTAATGGATAGATATCTTAAGAAAACTAATTTCTACAGTCTTTGAAAGGTTTGCCAGTTTCGTTCCCAGAATTCCCTTTTTGTAAGAGCCTTTTTCGGCAAATTCTTATTTTGAAGAGATATTGGCATTATCTAAACCAAATTACAAGATGATAATTGTTTTGCAGTTTATTCTAAAGGCATGAATTCGCATCTGATCGGTTTTTTTCTTCATACTAGCTGCACCATTATGCTACATCTATGAAGACCCAATGACATTATATTATGTTTTCAGAGAGCTGTACTTCAGGTATTCCCTAGTTAAAGAATATAGCATTTCTGTCAAAGTTAATTCTGCATCATGTATCCATTAATGACATTATGCCCCGTCAGTCTACCTGTCAGAGTTAACAATAGGTTTGGCAGTGCGTTTACGGTCGATGAAGCATTGAGGCTAGAGTTACACTAAACCGGATTGCTATCGGACCAGAGCAGAGCGGAGTAACTTTTACTCCGGACTGATATTTGGGGTAGCAGTTACACTACGATGCTCCGCTCGCTTATACGCCTGCATTCCTCTGCATTTCCGGTACACAATGCAGTGTACTTTTGTGAACTCATACATAAAATGCACTAGATTAAATTATTTGGACATCTTTTCGAAGCTGTGTGCTGTTGTAAATTCGTTTTCAATAACTACTGTACAAAATGACGAAAACAACCCTGAAAACTGAGAGGGAAGTTTTGAGGTTCGTTGGACGGATAGCGAAATTGCGTTGCTATCTGATGTTTTTAAGTATGTGTTTCGTCCGAGGGCCACTTCACTGAAATTTGGGAAGATGTGAAATTTAAATGTGAAAATGTTGGGCATTATCCAACAGCAACAAAATGCAAAATTTTTCTAAAAGCTCACATACTTCAGATCGTCGGATTCAACAATGAAGATTCATATTCATTTAAAAAATATATTTAAAGATTTCATTTTCAGCGTTAAATATGAAGTAGATAGGATGAAAGTTTTGTTTTTTCAAAGAAAAGTTCAAACGTTCAAAAAATTATCTTTAATGATTTGGCATGACACATCACAAGCATATTTCGCTGTATCATATTTAAGTTATTTCTTTACATTTTTATTTCAACTCTGCTAGACATCAACCCGTTTTTGGTTATGGATATAACCTTCTAGGTGATTTTATACACGGTTGCGAAAGTGCCTAACTTGTCGATTATTGTTGATCTTCAACCCCGTAGGTATTTCTGCCGGTTACACGTTATCTCTTCAGACAGTCAGGTATGCCAGTAGATACCTTCATTGTTGTTTGTTTGTTACATAGTTAATTTCTGCATTTTTGTACATTAATAAATAATAGGCCGCTGGTATTTGTAAAATGAAGCATGATAAAGTAGAATGAGGACACAGATATTTTGCAGCTCAACAAATGAGACTCATTTTCATTTGAATTTTGAATTTTTTTGACTGGCAAGCTTAACCTATTACTACATATAGTGCAATTTTTATAGAATGGACATTGAGTAGAACATTGCCACCCTCTGTTATGGTGCGGTGTTCGTTGTCTGGAGGCTACCTGTACAGAATAATATAACAATGTAATGATTCGCTTCCTGCTTGAAGTATCCTTTATTTTACATTGTCCATTAATTTATGTTTACATGTATATGTGATGCCTTTTCAACTTTTCGACTGTTTTATTCTTCTCTTAAAAGCTATTTATTTTTTGAACTGTTATCGTTGCATCAGTGTTAGAAAACAATGCCACGTGTACAAAAGTTAACAATCTTCCACTGCGGTGACTAAACCTTCTTGACGGAACGAACATTCTAAAAAAATCTCTCGCCAGAAAACCTTATGCACAGCTTTGTTCTTACAGGGAGTACTAGCTTTATGCTCATTGTTTGAGAATCTGCTCCAGTCTCACGAACCATGGCTGTTTAAGCATATATTGGATATTGGTGGCCAGCCGTGAGTAGATTCAATTTCTTTAAAGCACATATTCAAACATAGATTTTTCTTGTTTTCCTAGGTTTGTCCTATTTTGTATTTAATGCTCATATTTTGTATTTAAGGCTTTCTTGCATCACGATATTGTGCCAAGCTGCGTGCCTTCTCAGTTCATATTTTGTTACATGGCACGTTGCTAACAAACTGTATTTTTTCAGGCTGCGGATAGTCTTCAACTGGATAATGTTTGCTTTCTCTGGATACCTAGCAACTGACCAGGTGAGTCGAGAAACCATTTCCTGCTTCCTTCTTTATTTTTAATCGGGCGTAACGGAGGCAAAACTACAATACCGTGATCCTCGGGGCTTATTTATTGTTGATATTTTTGGATGGGGGGCTATTCGAGGGTGGGCTTATAAGAGGGGAGCTTATAAAAATAAAGTAGCTATCAAGAAGACATTATTAAAAGATCTTGTATATTTGAGTAGGAATTTCTTTATTAGCATTTAATCAATTATTACCAAAAGTATGAATTTTTGTGGTAGTTTGATAAAGCACCAAAGACAACCTCAAATGGCAATAATCAACAAGTCGGGGGGGGGGCAATTCGAGGATTTACGGTAGCAGTGGGAGCTTACTCGAGGGGAGGCGGCTTATTGACAATTTGTAGTTCTAGAGTGGGGGCTTATTCGAGGGGGGCTTTTTTGAGGAGCTGGCCATTTCAAGGATTTTCGGTATATTTAATTGTTCAGGTCTCCGCGTAAAATATTGATGCAATGATAAGATGGATCTAAAAAACAAGCTGTTGAGGCATTATATTGTTTGTTGGGGGATGATGTTGTTTGTTTTCACTGCTCTGCCATTGGATGATACACTTGATCTATATTTAGATCTTTATGCGTTTAGCTAATTCCAGCTTCAACCTTTGCTAATACACTTTGAAGGCATTGAGTCACAGTAAACAGGTGACTATGATCTCATGTGAGTTTGTTTATCACTGTTTACAACTGACCGTTGACGTAACCGTTTCCAAGACCAGTACAAGGTAGCTTCATGTGATCTGTCTATTGTCCGCGAATAGTAATGCAACAGAAAAATCATAACTGGACGTTTTTGGGTATACCCTCTTCTTTTATCATGGCCTAATGTTTTAAGAGTCTGCTTTTAGAAAGTAGGAGAGATTTAAGAATTACTCTTTTAGACTTTTTCTTTTAAAGAACGACACACTCCTTGTAATACTCTTTCCATGTCTGCTTGCAGTAATCATAGAGCCAATTCTTTGTGTGATTGTGTATGGTTGGATCGAATAGCGACATAACTTATCTATCTGCATATTCCTTCTTCTTTCTCTTCTTCATTTTATCTCATTCTTTTCAATCTTTGTTGACTTGAGTATCTGTGTGCTCTGGTAATTCCGTTCTAATATTTCTTCCCATCAAGAGCTTTGCAGGTGGACGAGTAGATCTATTGGCTCAAAAACCTGTAACAAATATTATTCTTGTATATCTTCGTCACCAGATATAGCCTTTGTAGCCGAAGTAAATTTTGATTTAAGAACGAGCCTACCTAGTAGACATCTTAATTTCCTGCGGTGCTCGTCACGTCACGTGACACTACCATGATACATACATCACTACATTACTGTTTTGTTTGCATCGTGCTAGTGCCTTGCAATCAAATGTGATAATGCAATCAAATACCAGGTGTTTGGAACTGACGTTAGCTCAAAATACTTAGAAAGCTTTATCTTATCATTCCTTATTGCAAATCCTTATCATAAATGAGATCGATGTATAATTGATACAACCAATCTAGGTAATAGGTTACCAGTATTTGCAGTTGAAAATGCAGCCGAAATTTGAATAATTTGTACATCTAAACAGAAAAAAGTTAATTTTATTTAGATTTGTTGAGGTTAACCCGAAGTTGCCAAATGTTTAGTTTTTGATGACTGTGGAAAGCGTTTTTTAAAGGTGTATTGTTTAGACCAAAACACCTTGTAGTCTTCCATCACTGCCTCAAAACAAATTGTGCTACAAGCCTGTGTACGTGAAACGTAAGGCTTTTGACTTTTTAACAATGAAATAAGAGATACTTTCTTATTCTCAGGTGTAATCCAAATACCTCCTTGGTCTCCATTATTCGCACAATAGTAATTTTGATTTAACTAGGCTAAAATATTGTACCCGTCGGTGCAACTATTTTTCGTATTTGACTATCGAATTCATGTCAAAGTCAGTAGTCGAATCTTCAGACGGCCTCAATGTTTGCATCTAAATTCAGCCTGCATCATTTCACCAAGGTTTAAATTGTAGGGATGTCTCTTCCTGTAAAGTCAGAATGTAGATTTGGTGCCAAAGCACCCTCATACATCATTATTTCTTGTCATATATTTAATATCTGTTTGCCACTTTATGGCCTATATGATTTGTTCTTTTACTTGTAAATTTTGTTGTTATGTTGTGCTGTTATTTTGTCGTAACATTGCAACAATAAGAGAGTATATATGATGTCGCATATATCCACGCCAGGGAGTTACACGCAAGCTTACATAACTATAAGTATGCGCGTTTCATTCATTTTTATGCTTTTAATGACTCACGAATAAAAGTCTTACACTATTCTGCTAAACTTGGTAAACAAAGAATTCAACTTTTGACCATAAACACCAAAATACCGCATTTTCTTGATTTTTTCTGTTGCTTGCTGTTGAATAAAATATAACTTGCTCTTCTGGATTAAATATTCTGTGTCTTCACATCGTGCAAAAGGTTTTTTGTTTTTTACAGATAAAGTGATATTGAAAATTTCACTTTTTTCGAAGTAAAGATTCAATAAGTCAGCTAGTTTCTAATCGCTCTTTTTTATCGCATTATTCCTTTTCATTTCCATTTTGAGACTTGAAAGATTATCGCTCAGAAGTTTGCTGTTTTCTTTCTTTCCAGTATTTTCCAATATTTCAGGTACTAGACCACGTTTTTATGAATCTCGTTACTTATTGATGCAAGGAACCCCAGTGACTAATTGCTAACTCAAAGATGCTGTGATGTTTTTGCTTATTTATCTCTTTCTTCCTTAAACATTAGTTATTCACTGTGCTAAGAAAGAGTTGCATTGTGTCAAAGCTTTTTACGACCAATCCCTGTTAACAGTCTTTTGAGCTTGTTTTCTAATTTTCTAGACTTTCTATGCTTTGATTTTAAATCAGGTAATATGTGCAATTTTCTAGTTGTGTGCTGCGAGAAATATTTGAAAGAGGATGCAATTGTACACGTTCCCGGCGTGTCTAGTGTAAGCACCCGTGTCTTTAATTTCTTTGAGAATGGGGTTCAATTTTTTCATATATCTAGGACATAGAAAATAGAAAAAAGGGTGTATGGTGTGAGAATCTTACTGTAGTTTCTAACTTTTCTTTGTTTGGCCTTATTTCAACTACTCGATTTCAGGCAAAAGGGTTTAATTTTTATTTGGTTTCAAAGAAAAGAGGAATCAAATTGAAATCAAATAACAGAGATAGGGGTCAGTTTTCTAGACCCTCGGACACGGGCACTTACACTTGATAGTTTGAGATGACCCGCCAGTTACACGTTCCAGAACCATTGATTAAGAGTAAGACTCAAATTAAGTTTAAAAGCAAGTCACTATTGCTATCAAGGCAACCACAGCTCATTCGATTTACTAACAAATGGAACGAACGGACATGGTGTGTTCCCACTGTTGTTTTTCAATCTCTCTTCATGACAGTTCTAATGAATAGAACATTTAAACAGAGTTTGGATACAATGGAAGAACTTGGTTGTATTAGGCAAGCAAATGAATGGTACACTAGAAATATCGGGTTTTGCTTTAGCAAATCTGGTCGCATGAAGACGAGGTTGATAGAAAATCCGGTGGATAAAAGCAAAGGTTTTCATTTGTTAAATTGCTGTCCCATAACAAGTAGAGCGAGCGATCATTAATTGCTATGGAGCGGCTATCACCAGGATCAATTTTGCGTATTCATACAAGCAGTCCAGCCTCTTTCAACCATCAAAAGTGGAGATCTCCTTTAGAGTTTTCTACAATGAAATGAAGGGGAAAATGCATCTCCCAGCCGCAAGTACCCAGCGTCCCAATTTCCCCCACCTTATCGTCATTACTAGTAATTATTTTGGCGCCAAATTCATACTTGAGGTGCTCTCGCCTAAATTGCCATTATCTCGCGCAATCTTTTGGTTTTTCATTCCAAAAGCCTGGTGTATTTTCTTTTGGAGGTCATTATCCCACCACCTGCTCAAAATGTGCTTCGGGAAACAATATTGTATTCGTTTTGACAGCAAAAATGACGGATAAATGGCAAGATTCAAGCCCAACTATATTGATTCTGTTGACTTTGCACGGTAAATGTCTCGTTAACGTCTTATCGTTTGGTAGAAAGATCTGACATGACGTTTATCAGGAGTTGTGATATAATTACAATCTTGCTGATGTGCAGAGGCAACATATCAGGTCGTGCAGCTCGCCAAACAGTGTATTCAGTCAGTAGATCTTTGTTAGGATCCTATTGAGTTTGAAGATAAAAGAAAAGCGACATATTGTTGTTAGATTAATAATGCATGAATAGATTGGAGCTTATCTAATTGTTCCTTTGTTTCTAATCTAGTTTTGCAAAGATTCCAGATAATTTTCCACTGCGTGCTGTTTGGCTGTAGCTAGACAGTGCAAGGCAATGCATGTCACTGAAAAAATTGTTTCTTCTGCAGACCTTTGTTTATTTCTATAAAGTGCAAAACCGTAGAAACCTGCACATGAAAACCTTCTTTGAAAATCCTGTTGGCTGAAAAGTGATATTTTTGGTAATTTTGATAAGCCAATTGTTTACCTAAATATTAAAAACAGATCTTTTGAAAAGAATCAAGACCTTCAATCTCTGTTTTCTGAGATCGAACAAAAACTCCCAAAAAATGTTCGACAAGAGATTGTTTTGGGATTACTGGCGTTATTATGCGATTAGAGTGTTTACTTTGAAGTTATTGGGATTATTTGGAAATTACTCTGTGATTAAATGACACGATTATTTTGTAAACATTTGAAATGAAATGAAATGAATGTAAGAAGCTTAAACTAGGTGCCTTGTTTTGCCAACTATTTGCTAGTATTCCGATGATACTTAAACGTCTTTTCAACGGGGGGAGGGGGGGGAGGCGGGGGAATTAACAATTTTACTATAATGCTATCCAACAAGCATTGCATTTTCTCAGTTCTTGAAGTAGATATGTTAAACATGTGAAGGTAACTCCTGGCCGGCTGGTTGATTTTTGCAATTGCTCCACGTTCTGAACTGGATTTAGCGTGTGTTGTTTGTGGCAGCATGTATAATTATACACTTAACGTGTTTGCATGACGTAGGTAAGTTATTACTAATAACTGGTACCTACCGTATTGAATGATTTAACTGGCCAATTTCTTTCTGCAAATGAAGCCGCCGTGAAACTCAAAAAGCTGTATAATTTCTGTTGCCTTTTACGGAGAATATCCTATCCTGCTTCTGGGGTTCTCCTCCTCAGTATCTAAATACTCTATTGTTTATATCAGCGTTACCAAACTTTATCAATAATTACTTCAACGACACCGCGATCGATTCCCTGACGAGCTTCAGAAAAATGTTTTTGAGCGAGGATACATATTATCCCTGAATTCATGAGGCTCTGGTACCCAGGGTAATTACGATCAAGAATCATTTAAACTGCTATCCGTTCTCTTCATCAAAAATGCTACCTCCGTTTACTGGAAAATGATTCTAAAAAGAAGGACCCTCTTGCCTTTGTCGGCCCCCCTTTGCTGCCTCCTTCACTGTTGCTAAATCCTATTGGCAAATCCTTTATTTCAATTTGTTGTTGTAGCAATCTGCATCTCCCTAACAATTTTGTTTTGATGCCAATTGAATGATGCAGATCTTAATATTCAGTCCGTCAATTTTGGTTAAAGCCTTTTGGTCTGTATTTTTCCTGCTGTTCATAGTTCCGAGTTGGCAATGTCAATTTTTTATCTTCATATTTACCAATAATGGACTAAAGAGTTGGAATCTTCATGTTCAAAACACACTGTGTCGAAAATTTCATGTTTCTTGGACAGACAGGTCATGAATTACGTCGTTTTCAAATTTAATCTTTATGTCTTTATGTTCAAAACGTATTATTTCGTGACTGGGCAGTCAAAACGACACGAAATTCCTCATTCAGGCAATATTTACCACGAGAATTTCAAATCTGAGGTCCGTCTTTGAAAAAGGTATGTAAATAGGGAGATAAAAAAATCAATGACGTCAACTCGGAAGCGAATGCTATCTCACCTAGCCGATCAGCTAGTCAGATTTCGCTCATAATGTCATAAATAGTTGAACCTTGTCAAGGTCGAATAACACAAATCGAAACCTGTTGAAGTTGTAATACCTAAGCCCTATTTACATCGGCAGTAGTAGTTTTAAATACGATGTTTTCATGCTGCTCTAGAAACGAGCTGGAGATTGCTTGTGAGATTAATAATTATGTCGTTTAACGCGCGATACAACGTACACTTTGTACAAATATGACTGTGTTCTCCTGTGCATTTTTTATTCAGTGTTTAGAAAACAGATGTTTAGATTTACGTCACTATCCAATCTGCTTTGCATCGATAATCGGATAAACATTGTCAAACACTGTTTTTTGAATTGGCGTTAAATCGGCTTGTTATTCTATCGAAAACTTTTGCATGCTCTCCAGAAGGTTGTTTTCAAGTCTTCAGTATCAACTTGCTCTTCATCATCCCCCCGTCGCAAACAAATCCAATGGCAGTAAAGTTCTTAAATTTGACATTATTGAAAAAATCTAATTGACTTCTGATCACCTATTCAAAACAAACGATGAAATACTTCTAAAATTGACTGAAATGACTCAAATTTGGTACCAGTTTGATGCACCGTCGACTGATATTTTCACATTTTTAGGTAATAATTTTTCAAGTTATGTTGTCCAGTATCCAATATTCTAATAACTGGTTTTTATGACGTCATCTCTCAGAACTCTATGGTAAAGTCAATGAGGTGGGCAAAACAGAGTTAATAAAAGAGGGCCTTATAACTCCGTGCAAAGTGATCTTTGTGTTTGTTTTATAGGAAAAGTTTTCCTAAACCACAATAAGTACTGTTACATTGAACCATATCACTTTGTATTTGTTATACCACAATTACCTCATAATATTTTATACCCGAATCTCGGCTTCTGCATTTAAGCATCTGCCTTCTGTCCCTTTTAGATCTAGGCCGTTCTCTATCGTATTTTTTGCTAAACAAACTTAAAAATTAGCAAACCTCTGTTTGAACATCTTGGCAGTATTTATACAATCCTCTTTACTTTTCCCATTTCTATAAGAAATTATCGCGATATTCAAGATGCTTTTTCGGTTTTTCGACTAAGACTGGAGATGTTTACAGGTTATTCACTGGTATTTAAACTGCTGGCTTAAGAATCTTTGAAGAAAAACCATCAATGATGGACTGACAAAGGCAAACCGTTTTTTATCTGATTAAACTTCACTCTTATACTTTCATCTTCCCTTGATACATTTCTCTCTCCCTAAATTCGAATTTAAAATGACTTAAGCATCTCTTGATTCAAGCCTATGCATATTTCTGTTGAAAAAGAGCCGGAAAAGAATATATGTGCAGAATGTAGGTGCAGAATGTAGGTGCCTTCTTTTCAAATGCTGCCTAGCCTACAATGCCTGCCAAAAGTCTTGGAACACTGACATCAATTTCCAAGGTCAAAATCAATCATCCCCCTCTCCCCTACAGAACAATGTTGGTTTACTATCAAGCGGGTTAGGATTTTGGGAAGCACTTTCTTTTGCGCTTCTTTTATGATATTTCTCTAAAATCATCAACATTGTTATAGGGGGAAGGGGGCGGAAGTAGCAATTTTTTTTCATGAAAGGAATGAAAGATATCAAATGCAGCGTAAATTGCTAGGTGTTCCAAGTACTTTTGGCAGTCATTGTAGATTTACTGGCCGAAAATAAACGCGGCGTGAAACTTGTTTAGAATAGAGAAAAATACTTTTAGAATGAAAATCTGAATTTTCTTGATTAACGATGAACCCGTCGCCCTTTTTGGTTTCAAGTGTTTCCAGTAGACAGAAAGGCTTCTTGGGGACTTCCTGTTTTCTTGGGGACTCTCTGCCCAAACATTAGTCTAGTTTTGACAAGCTTATGACGTTGACAGTTATAATGTACAAGCTCCAAATTATTCACACAAGACCTACGCTCTAGCTATCGTTTGTAGAGAACCAATCACATGCGAACCTTGTTCGTTATATTGTTCTTGTCTAATCCACTTCATCCACCGAAGGCATCACATTTCATTTTAATATTTTGTTTATGTATTTGAAAATAAAAAAATCTTTGATTCTAGTATCGCGGTTTTTTTAGATTTATCCGCTTCAATTCTTCTGTAGGAACTTCGAAAGCGGAAGTAGTGATAGCCCCATTCCCAAACCTATAATGCTCTTTACAGCCCCTGCTTTCCTGCGCTGGTGCAAATATATACTAGGTTTTAAGGGCACATTTCGGAATAGAGGGAATATTGACGGGGGGGGGGGGTTCGGGGGGAATCCACATGGCTCTATGATCGTTTTTTGAAGACCAATATCCAAAGAGGAAAGCGATTTCTGCAAAGAAATAAATGTTTATACGTCATTATTAAACCACAACGAGTTTTATAAATCCAAGACAATTTACTATGATCTTGTTCTACATTATCATTTAATACAATATTCAAACAACGACAACGGGAAAATACATTCATTAAACCCAACAACAATGTTACTGTGTTTCAAAAACATAGTTTTTAACAACAACGATTAAATGCCATCCGAACTCAAAAGCAAATACAAACGATATTTGAGCAAAGAACAAAATTTGTTACATACAACCGTCAAAATATAAAGACTGAAACTGTTTTCAAAAGAAAGTATTTTTGCTCTCATATTATTGAATATTCAAATATGGCTTGGTTTCCTATTTCGATTCAGGGGGGTGATACCTAGACATCTTCATTGGTTTTTACATTTCTGTTGCAATCAAACTACCAAATATATACAATATTATCTACACAAAAGAATTTGAACAATTTAAGAACAATATAAATTGTATTTGTCCCTAGCGCGAAATTGTTGCTTGTTTTTAACAATTAGCTGATGAAAAGATGTTAGTTTTCTCACCTTGCAAGTGAAAAGGCCCTCATAATCGTAGCGAAATGTCCCTTCAAGGAAGACCCAATATTCATGTCAAAGGCATAAACTAACGGAAAAAATTATGTACAACATTTCGTTACTAATATTATTTCAGTTTTAATATGCACTCTTGAATGGGGCGGATATCATATCGCTATTGTTATTGTAGAGCCATTCCTCTACAGGCTGGCTGTTGAAGCCTTTACGATGCTTTTTGTATCTCCAAATACGATCACTTTTCAGTTTCAGACGGCCTTCCGCTAAGGCCTTTTCAAAATGGCTTAGCCTCAAGTCGCGAACCTCCTCGGTGTCTTCAGACACCTCTTCTAAATCCTCTAGCCTCTCAGTTCGCCGAGCATTAACTGGTAAACCAATAAAGTCAAGGTCAATGGCTTTCATTTTGTTTTTACCGCCAGCAATCACATCAGATAGACCTTCCAAATCTTTTTGTGAGAACGGGGTAAGAAACCTCACTTGTGAACGTCTTGCCTGTGATTTTGTCCTGGGTACTTTCAAGGGTTCACTATTACTTCGAGGTCGTCTTTCAAACAGTTCTTCGCCCTGATCGGGTTGGGGGCGATCATATCTGTGTGGGTTCTCACAACAACTATAGCTTCGTGTACGCTGCACTCTTTGGAAAGCACGTGCATCGGCCACGCATTTGGTCGGAATACTGGTAATCCTGTCGTCTACAAACCTCACTGTATCGTCCTCTTCGCCTTCATTTGCCTCCATTTCCACAAAATAGCTGCTACTGGCTACGACCAATTTAAAATATTCGAGCTGCCTTGTTCTGCAATCCCCTAGGTGATTTGCATGCGGACTGCCACTACGGTGTTTTCAAAACAGACTGCTATCAAAACAAGTCTCCCGTCTCTCAATGGATCGTACCAGACACGTGAACAAGCGAACACAAGCAAAGATCCTTTGCCAACTTGAAATACGATAAAAGGGCAGGTGGCAGTGACAACAATAGTGATTTTGTGTTATCATTAGCTTTCTTAAAGTCGTGCCCTAACGCGCCCGTTTTTCCAAATAAAAGTAATGTACCCCTAATTGATGAGAAGGGAGATGATTTGACTTGGGGATTTCAACTGCAATCGGTAAATAGCAACTTCAGATAAATGTTGAGCTATCTTTGAATGACCGTTACGCATGAATAAGTGATTAAACAGAGGGCAAAGAGAATTATGTTGTCGATATCAACCATGCATTGTCAAATAAATCAGCTCTAGCTTCTTAAGTTAGGTTACATTGTATTTTTAGCTTCAATGAATCTGTGTTCACTCTTTCACTGGGTCTGTTTATGCGTTACTGAAAACTTAATATGCGGGACTTTTAATCTTTTTAATGTTGAGAAACTATTTAAGATGAAAAATTTTAAAGCAGAAAATTATTTCTGATCTACAATTTTGGCTTCTCTGTTGGTGAATCGGAGACTTTTTCTAATATCAAATTAACATGAGAGGTTACAAAGGGCTCTCTTATTCTACCCGGCAAACATTTACCCACTCTGTAACCCCTTTAACTTTTTGCTGCTTCCCTCATCTCCCCCTCCCCCCAAGAAAACACAACTTTCACTGTTTTCACTTACTGGTTTGCAATGAATTCTAGGTTTATTGCCATTAATAGTTTGAGTCGTCGCTATGAGTCTCTGTGGTACCATGGTGCCACGCTTCTTTAACCGTTTTCATTTCTTATCATTAAACGATAATTAACGAAGGCAAAAGGAGATTTAGAAGCAAAAATGTGTGGTTTTGGATGATTCATCATTGAATCGATATTTTGCGAACCACAAACTACATCTAATGCAACAGTCTCGATGGCATTTTACCGACGTCGCGATGTCATGAATTATATTGTACCTCTCTCTGCTACACAACGCCAGAACTGTGTAAAACGCGAAGAGGAGGTTTAGAAATAATGTGGACTTTCATTAATTATAACCGTCCAGAGATCTAATCCGATAAAACGTACATCGATTTGAATGGTCAATGAATTCTTTAATAGACACAGTCCTGTTACGCTGTTGCTTATTACACCCTTGCAGCAAGGGTAGTCTTGAACACAGGCCAGGGAAGTCAATATTCCGAAAGCAGCACTCGGGACTAGTTGCCAGGGGCGAATTTAAGTAATAACGATTGGGGGGGGGGGATTAGACACTAATTTTGTAAAGTAGAAACTGGCTAATTTTGGCATTAAAAGGCGATGGCTTAGCCCCCTCGGCCCCCATCATTAATATTGTTTAACAACTATGGATTTATTGTCTATGGCACGTAGTCCCAGTCAACTTTCGTCATGGAGGTACTCTTAAATGGGATAAAGAGTCAAATCACTAATGAACCTTTCGATTGTTTATGTTGGGCTTTCCAATTATTTCTTTTTTGAAAAACCTTCGTAAAATCTGGTTTTCACTTCACTATTATTCAAGCAAACAATAGTATAGTTTCAAGCATGTTTGACTAAAAATACAAATTCAAAGATACCTTTCTAAAAGGTTCCAAAGTTTAACATACTAATTTGATTAAAACATTTAGGAAGAGATTATATTGTTGCGTAAGTCACCTGAAAGTAACTAAAATAGAGCTAAATAGAGCCAGGTGCCTTGTTTAGTTCATTCTTTATTACATCGACAGAAAATGCAATAGATCGATTGAAAATGCTTAGCAGCTAGTACGGATATCCCTAATGACTCGAGCTAGAAATTTAATACAGCATTCAGACGAGTTCGCAACGCCATGGCACAAATGGGGCGAGATTTGTAATTCCTCTGGTGCTCCAACAAGGTCCATTGTTAATCAAGAAAATTTAAATTCTCTTTCTAAAAGTACTTTTCTCTATTCTAAAGAAGTTTCACGGCAAAAATTTCAAGACCAAACAAGTTTATGCAAACTGCAAAATCGTTATGGAAGTATAGCTGAATAAGATTTTTTTTGAAGCGATAGACTCTTTTTAAGAACCAGTAAATTAAATTTCAGGCTGGCGTTTCTAAGCTTATTAAAAAATCCGAGTAATTGTTCTGAATATCTTCTTAAATAATCAGGATAAGCAGTTCAATTGCTAGCAAGTGCGCTGGATGGGTGTGCCCAGGCCTCATTTGCCAACAAAATGAGCAATATGAGTCATACATCCTTTGTTTGCCGACAAGTTTAAAAATTATCCGAAAAAGCACTCCTAGATGGCAAAAAACTCCTCGTTTTTGAGATGCAAGATTTTAATGTGGTTTGATAACATTGTTCAAAATCAAACTTTACAGTCGCTCAGCTTCAGCCTGTTCTTAATTGTTCTTGAACTTTTGACCAATTTGAAGGCTCGTGTTATTATAAATTGTTCTTATAAAATAGAGTGTATGTAGTCTACCCAATCACTATTATATTACCCTTGAGATAAAGGATATAAGTCATGGGACATTTTTATTTGAATACCTTATTTTTGGTGTCGATACACTAGCTTTGTAATATGACGAGAATCTACAAATGTAAGCAAACAGAAACGCAAAAACTGATCGTTTTTGCGAACATCCACAAGGTCAAAAGCAAACAGAGACTTCATCTATCTTGTAAGAAAAAACAGTGTTGAACTAACATCGTAAGATGTGAAGCAGATTACATTTGAAAACGGGGGCTGCAAATGCTTTTATCAAAAACAATCTTGATGCGTTTTCTAACAAGAATTAGAAGATTTTTACCAAATGCAGCTAAATTTCGAAGCGGCAATTTTCGTGGTTTAATCGTCGTCTGTAATTGACTGATGCAGTAATGACATCAAGCGCATTTATTGTCTAACTTTATTATCTTGGTGCGGAAATTGAAAAACAAAACATTATAGAATATCCGTAGTTATGCAACTCAACCCGGTCTGTAAAAAATGGATGAGGTGTGACTAGGAATGAGTTGAAGTGTTACTTAAAGATTTCTTTGGTTCTGGCTTAATTTTCAAAAAATTTCCAAGCCAAGACAAAATTACTGCAGTTCATTTTGGCGACATCTCAGCCAACTTCAAATATGTTCAGCTATTTCATAATAAATATATCCTGTCTAATCTTAAATCAAAGATTTTGAAAGTTACTTTTGACTCCACTATTCTGCTACTTATCAGTTTAGTTTCAGTTCGTTCATTTAAAATTCCACTGCATACAAATGCAATTGAAATAATACAGTACGTGAAACTATCAAGTGACAGTAGATAAACAAAAAAATTTAAACTTATAAATCTCATCAGCTATAATATAGATTCCTGGCTGTCCAGCTTTATACAGCCTACTAGTTCATCTGCTCTGATAAGTGGTCAATGAATGCTCCGTGTATTTTTTAACAAATTAATTGTTGTAAAGGCACAAATAAGTAGTTGGTACAGCATTGCAAAGTGGTTCCTAGATCTTTAGAAATACCAGTCAGAACGTAACCTGTGTCTCCCTTATTCATTTTAAGCAAGATGTTATTTACTTATCGTATCTACAACTAGCAGATTAACCTAACCATTCCATTGTTCCCTGCCGAAGAATCAAACATAAATCACCGAAGTTTGCCTGAAACCAGAATGCTTTCTTGGAACTTTCGTGGAGAGTTTGTTGATAAATCTTCAAAAATGAGATTCTATTAAGAGCAAAGAACTTTAATTTTGTCAGAGTGAGCTAGGGATCCAGTTAACATACGACTCTCACGAGGATTATCTGGCAGAGAAATAACGGGAATTGCACAAAATATTCTTCGTGAATATAAGCCGTCTCAGAGCGGTAGAGAAAATGTTAGACTTTCTCCAGGAGGGGGCCTCTTGTTTAGTGAGAAGACAGCTGGTGTTGGGGTTGGAGAAAGTGCTTGGGAAAAGACTATTTTCCTAGCAATGTAAATAAAGGACCGGGCTTAAGCAAACTAGCAGAAAGGAGACAAAACAGTTGGCAAAGAAGCGAGAAGGAAACAATAATGAAAATATTGAACAACGAACATGTTTCATTAATTAACGAAAAATTACATTTGACATTGGACATTTTGGTCATAGAAAGTATTCAATTGATTGTACAGTTGGTGTTACATGAAAGAAAATTTAAAAATATCTATAAAAAAGCCCAGAACTCCAAAATCTATCAAAACTCTATCAAGATGACGGTTTGAATGTCAAGAAATTGTTGACGTAGAGCAAAAATATACTTCTGTTATCTAAATTCAGCATTAAAGCTAAAGCGAATCTTTTGAGAGAAGTGTCATAGTGTACATTCTTGTAAAAATCCTTAAAAAACTCTTTCAACAATAGAGTTGTCAAGTGATGACGTCACAAAATAAGAATTTTAATGCGTTTTCTATTATAAGAATTTTTGAAGTTTTTTCCCATTACCTGAAAGAGCATCATGAAATATCTCTAAATCTGCAAAATCAGTTAAAGGTATTACGAATTGGCTGAAATATGTCCAGATGAGCACAAACTCCGGTCCCATCAAAGCGCTGTAATTTGGTCTCAGTTCATTACTCATACAGTAAAACCACGTATCAAAACAGTAGGCCCTATTTTTCGCGGCCAGTTCAGAAACAGTCTCGTTGAAGGAACAAATTCCATTATCAGCGCTGTTGGTTCCGCGGATTGTTTTTCGTTTACTGTTGGAAAGAGAAAGAAGTCGCAAGGTGCCAAATCAGGTGAATATGGCGAGTGGGTCATCAACTGAATTGAATTTTCGGACAAAAAGTCGATGGTCAAAGCAGCTGTGTGAGCAGAAGCGTTGTCATGATGCAAAAGTAGACCTCTTTAGCCGGCCCTTGTACGTTTATTTCGCCAAACTTCTAGAACTTGTGGTATGCAGTAGTTAACATACCAATCCGCGTTTACTGTACGACGGTCTTCAAGTTGAATGGTTGCGACATGACCCATCTTTGAGAAAAATGACGCAACCATTTTTTTGCCGACGCTTCTGGATCGCCGGAACGCTTTGTCTCTGGAAATAGAGGAGGATCTGAGCTTTCATCGCCTGTCACAATGTCATAAATCCGTTTCGACTTACCTTCATTAAACTTTTGCAGCATAAACTGGCACCAATTGACGCGCTGCTCTTTTTGCTCATCTTACAAGCAATGTGGCACCCAGAAGGCAGCCACATTCCGAACTTGCAGGTTTTCATGCAAAATTGTGTGCACTGCTGCTGATCCAATCTTTACGCTACCCTACATCATAGAATAAGTCGCCATCTTGCCTTGGCATTTTTTCCACAGCGGCAACTGTGCCTGGCACAACAGCAGTTGGGGGTCTCCCTGGGTTGGTCTCATCTTTAAGGCTCTCCCTCCCTCTCTTAAATTCTCCCTCTCTTCAAGGCGAATGATCTCCAAATGTCTGCAGATGTTGGGCTAGGCACTCTTATTGTTTCAGGCCCCTTTTAAAATCATATTAAATCACCACGCGAAAACCTTTAAAGCTCCATTTTTAACAAGTAAGAACATCTAAGGTGCTGAAATTCAAAACCATTCTATTTTTTTCCCGCGCTTGAAATTAACAAAAATTACAAAACAAAGGTGAAATAGATGGTACAAGCTATGAAAAAAATTTCAAACTCATATCTCAAGCGGGTACTGAATATCTCAATTATTTTGAAATGACTCTCGTAGCATGTCTGAAAACTAAGAGAAACGTAACTCAAAGATAAAGCTTTTCGACCTTTATGGGCATCTTCTTGTTTTCTTGATTGAATTTATTTTTATTCATGCCAAACTTAGTTATTTACAATAATTGTAATTACATGTATTTAAAATAGCATTTTCGGTCCCTCCCTATCAGGGGCGGATCCAGAGAAAATTTGAAGGAGGGGCAGTTGGTAGGGGGGGGGGGCGCTGAAAATCTTTCGAAAATTGGTGACGAGTGTACGCTGTATACAACAATTTCAGACCCTAACTACTGACAGGAGGCTCTCTATTCACTTTGTAAGGGAATAATCACAATATTTGTTGTATACTTTGAGGGACTCCTTGAAGTAAATAAACCGATATGTCTCAGAAACTTAGTTGCCCCCTCCCCCTAAATTCGCCGCTGCTTGCTATTGATTGAAAAACTTTTAGCGTTCTGTTTTTTAGTGTTTTTATTTTGTGTTTGTAGTGTTTTTAATCTGCAGCTCATCAGATTGTTGCTTGCTGTTTACATACGATCGAGCTGAAACCGAAATGGCAGTGGCTACTCAAAGTTGTGGGAATGAAAAATATACTATTATTTATTATCTTTATCCAAATTAACCCACTCACGCAAACACTTTTGTTGTAATTTTATGAATCAAACTAGCGCTACCAGCAAAACTACAGAGCGTGAAGGCTGGTTGCATGAGCACAAAGTTATCCACCAGTTCATTGACTAATCAACATGAATGAATACCACCATGTTTGAAAACAAACTCAAGCCACGTTGTTCTAACAATTTCTATACGTAGTAGCATCAGCTGTTAGCTTTATTATTTTTATCAGATTATCAATTGCGCATGTGTTTCTGTTATAATTTTCCCAATTCGCGTCTGAATTATGATTAGAACAGTCGGAATTCATTTAAAATATGCGGATAATTTTGTCTCTAAAGCCTGACTACTACTCGTAGTAGATCACTCACATTTTTAACTTATTAGTAGATAGTTGTAGCTGGTCCCTGCAACGTATGCCATTGAGGAATGCCAGAATACAATATGGCACCAAATGCACTCCGGATTAAGTATATTTCGCAAACATTCAAGCCATCGTCTACTAGAAGTAGAAACAAGTAAATACATTATAATGAGTGATGTTTTGCTCTGGGTTTACAACCTTCGCCAAAGCCTTGGAATACTAACACCAGTTTTCAAGGTTTTCTATAAAACGATGTAGGTGATTAGGAAGTACGATTGTTCTTTTGACTTAGTGATTTGGTGAAAGAAGTGAAAAATTTTTAAATAAAACACAAATTGCCCGGTGTTCTGGGTAATTTTTGCAGGCATTGAAGATGGTTCGTGATCATTTCTGAGGATCACAGCAATTCTCTCAACATTCAGACCTACAGGTACTCTGAAGCCTAATTTATCTGTTCGATAAAATGCAATTAACAGTGATAAACATACAGTGGGTTCCCGATATAACGAACCCTGAAGGGAGCCAGAAAATATTTCGTTATATCGGGAGTTCGTTACACCGGGAGAAAATGTTTTTTGGGCTTTTCGCCGTTCGTGCCTAAAAAACCTTTGGTGGGCTTCTTTAAGCTATCTCCAACTTCTGTGCGCATTTGACTCTAAGAAACTAATAAAACGGGGGATAAATGAAAAAATATTCCAGATGAAAAATTTAGGAAAAGTTCGCTATATCGGGGGGAAAGATTATGAATAAATAATAAATTATTTGTTTGAGGTTGGCGTAGCACAAGGCTAATTAATGCCAACCATAATTTATACAACAGCATGAATAGCTAAAACGAATAGATATCATAGAGTTGATGGTGACTCTGCCCCCCGCCCCCATTGAGCCGAGAGCTCCTGCCTCGCAAAAGCCACCCCCAAGACCAGCCAGCCCCCGAACATCACCCAGCCTGCCTAAAAGCAGCAAAAACGCCGCCGCCCCGCAGAGTTCCAGCAATAGAAGAAACATAACTTATACCGCGACAGCTAAGACCACTCAGGACAACACCGCCCCACCGCCTCCTGACAGGCCGAGCGGCACCCGAGAGACAACCGACCCCCAAGGAGGGCGGCCCCCGCAATACGGCAGTCTGCAACCCACCATAGCGGACAGCAGAGGCACCCTAAATATAGCCTATATTTACAATATAACTCTTACATAATCTACAGTTGTATGTAAAATTCCAAAACTTAATATCCTTTTTAAAATGTTTTACAGAGCTCTCCAAAGAGAAGTCTCTCCAAAGATTTTGTCCTAGGAAGCTTGTATTTTCTAACTATAGGCTGTAGTCCTAGGTTTACTTGCACTTATGTTGTTCGTAACTCTTAAGTTATAATGCATTTCTCTCTCCATTTGTGAAGAAGGGACCTAAAATTTGGTTCGTAATAACGAGAGTTCGTTATATTCGAGGTTCGTTATACCGAGAGAATTTGTAAAGAGTTCGTTAGGCAGAATCCAAGGGACCAGGCATTTAGTTCGTTATACCGGGAAGTTCGTTATATCCGGGGTTCGCTATATCGGGATTCCACTGAATTTTCTTTTTTTCTGTCCTTAAGAAATGTCTTCTTCGTCATTAGAGATCTTAGAAATGAATACATCAGTTGACTAATGAATAATTTTTTATATAAGAGTGATATTTCTTTAAATAGGTTTTTCCAACTTAAAGATGCTAAAAGGGATACCAATGACATTTTGTTTGAGAGCGTTACTGAAATCATCCAAAATAGTCGTCAACGTAGAAAAAGGTTGTTCGGCCTCTGCCCTCTTCTTTATGAGTAGTTGCATCTATGCTCTCTTCTTTTGCGATTGAAGAAAAGTTTTGCTACCGATAAATTAGGGTCAAGAAGGAGGCAGAGTTTCTTTGTTTGATGTCGGTTATCAAATGGTAATCAAATGTGTATCTTTGTACTCTTTGTGTCTTATTGTACTCTCCATTTGACATACAATTAAAAATGTACAACAACATCGTCGCTAAATTTTCGCTAGTTGCGTAGTGGATTGTCTTTTAATTTTGGTCACTAGCAATTTCACATAATTGAATTGATCCCTTTTGACAGCATTTAGTATTTCTGAATGTTGTAGATTACTAGCACGACTTTGTCTATGATACCTGTGCCGCATGGTATGCCTAAATTGCAGGTGCTACATTTTTGTGCTTTATTTGCCACCAGTGCAATTTGAGATGCCGTTACGTCCAATGCCTTTTCATATTCTCTTGTTGTAGGTGATAATTATTTTCAGCAATCTATTTGATCAACCTTTGTGCTCTACCAGGTGGAGATATGTATTTTGAGCTAATAAATGTATGTAAGAGATTCTTTACCCACAATCACATGATGAAAATGCAATTGGCTTGAAACTCTGAGTTGCATCTCAGAACCGTCCTTTTCTATACACTAAAGCTTTATAATGTGCTCAAAGAGTTGTTTTTGCCAATATCTTGTCAAGCAAATCATCATTTTTCAGATAAGTCTATATTTACAAAAAATAATGAGTTGCATTGTTATTCCAAATGCGGTGCGATAAGATTCAAGTGAAGCAAGACAGTGTGCTTGCTCGTTGGATATAAACCTCATTAATTGTATGTAAGCGACAGATTCAGATAATCCACAGAATTTTAGCTTCAGTAAATTTTTAGTCGTGTACTGGAATGGCCATTCCCGTTACATTTTGAGTCACATATTAATGGGCAGATTTGCTCTCTAAACCATAAACATTTCTGTCACTGGCTTGTGCCATGATCACTTTGTTCTTTACGTTTTTCACTATTCAAAGACATATTTCATGACGCAAAAAGCTACTTTTATCAAGCAGGTCTCTGATCATTTCTTTTTATGCATCCATAGCTCGTGATTCGAAGACCTCAAAATGAAGAGCCGTCTGCTTGCCTAACTGTTAATGGTAGTATTGCCAGTGTTTCAACACTCAGTTACTGTAAACCAGAGTCTGAAGCTCGAATCTTATAAATGAGCTATTCTGTCAGTGTAGGTCGCTGAGCTCTCCTTTCATTTTAGGCCACATGGCATTCCTGCCCCTTTAGGCGACTTGGCATTCCTACCCCCTTTAGGCCACAGAGTGATAATACAAATTAGGCTGCCAGTCTATATTGCTTCTTCACTTCAATTAATTTCTCTTCTTTCAGACACTGCAACTGTGGGACAGAATCTTTGGATTCGATTCGTTAGAGTTATTGCCAGGTGATTTTTTACTTTTTTCATCAAAGCTCATCGTAGGCAAATATTCCTACATATAACCTAAAATGAGCTAAACATTCCATTTTGGAAAAAAGTAAGTTCAAACAACTCTCTTTCAAGTGGAAGAAATTATAAGTGAGTTATTTGATGCAAGAAAGTAAGTTTATTCAAGATTTTTTCCCAAATGAAAAAAATATTATGTTGCCATGATAAACTTTGCACCACAAACTTAAAATCTGCAAAAACTCGTAAATGTTCACTAGACCTCCTAACGTAAAGTTTCTTCGTTGGCATGGATACCGCTTTTTTCTCCCTACCGTGTCGGATTTAGTGAATTTTCATGGTGTAAAATCCCATCTCAAATCTATTTCAGTCCAACAAATTTTTTTGATACTGCTAGACAGGTGTGGCGACAGGCGGTCGTTAGACTTTGCCTTTTTTGTCGTTAGCGCAGAAGTTCGCTTTTTGTATGTTTTTCTTATTAAAGTTAAAGTGCAATTTTGTTCAGACAGAAGCACTGATTTGAAGTGATTTGGAGTCACTGAGACATGATTAACCTTGAATTTTCTGTTTCGTTTTCTCAAATTTTTCTTCCCGTACTTTTGATTGCAATGATTTATGAACTGTTGCTATATATGACGCCTCGTCTGGGAACTGCAATATAATAAAGCCATTATAAGATGCTCTTGACTTCACAAAACATTTGCACAATATAATGAGTGCTTTAAATTGGTTTAGAATCTATTAGATTTGACATCAAAAATCTTGGTCTGCTGCAAACAATTTTTTACGGCTTCTCGTTTATGTGTTATTACTGAGCACAAATTTTGCATAAAATGACAGATCTAATTTTTTTCTTTTAGACATTATTGTAATGAAGTCGACGCTAACATTTTTCACCATTCTTTCTTAAATGTAATTTTCGAATGCAACGGTTTAAGGATAATCAGAATCATACAACTGTAATGAATGGTGTTTGATTAACCACATCTCTAAAACACACCCCGAAATTGTTGAAAAGCTCATTTCCGCTTTAATTTTAGTTTTGCTCGATTTTTTGCTCGATCTTAATTACTTTCCTAAAATAGTCGTGTCTTGGTATTAATAGATTTTCATGATATTGACAGAAAGTTTCTTCAGGTTGAATTTTCATTTTTCTTTATAATCTTTTATCAAGGGTGTATCTTCATGTTACTTTTGTCTTGCGCGCTTTGAATAAATTTAATTGAAGTAAGGTCAAAATTGTTATTCCCTTTTTGCCTCAACAATCGTTGATGACATTTTGTTGTCGTTGACTTAATCTTAGATTTATGGAAAAGACTTTTGATGAAGCTTAAGTAACTGTTTGATATAATTCAATTTTGTTTATTTACTATTCTGTCTCTCCGACATTTTTAATTTCAGAAATATACAAGATATTAGACCAGGCGGAGAATAGGGGAATGGTCCCCCGGGGGCGAAATTTATGGGACTAAGTGCTTTTGGTCAATTCGAGAGCGCTGATTTCAAAAATCGATGTTATACGGGGAATTTGGGGGGCCATCAGCCTCTTTTTCGTGTTTTAAGTCTCGTTTTCGTGTATTTCATGGAAACGAGTGAGAATAAAGTTCAAAGTGGAAATAGGTGAATTATTAAAGTAGATTTGGTATCCTTGCTGGGCATTAACGTTAAACATTTGATTTGGCTTGTCAGGGGGGCAAGCAGCCTCGTTTTCACAATGCTGATACTTTCATGTCAAATTACGTGTAATATGAAGTCTTAAAATAGCAAGAAATAACAAACATTTTTCAACGTTATTCATCTACATCTACCAATTACTGTCTTTCTGCTATAAAGAAGATTCTGACAGGGTGTTAGGCCGGAGTGAGAGGTCATGAATATGTTCGCAAAAGAGAGACGATTGAGAACCGAGTGATTGGAACCCAGGCCAAGCCGAACCTTTAGTTTCTTCCAGGTTTCTGGGTACATCACTTTCAGAAATAAGTAAAAGTAAATTACCTTTACCAAAGGAAGTTTTATTAGAAGTGTTGTCTATACCTTGTCAAAATATAACAAACACTGTAGAAGAAAAAGTCAGCAGTTGCTTGTTGACTATGGAGGCAAGGGGAAAAGATCGAATGAATGAATTTAAAGAAAGGTTAACCAAAAGTCCTGCAGACAAAGACCTCTTTGGTCCCATCAAGAGAGAGCCTCTGACAACCTTCAAGGACTCATCAGTTAAGACTAGGCTAAAGATTAAAGGAAAAGAAAAAGAGCTCACATTTCAGAGAGACATTCTTGGCATTCTAGTTGCATACTCGAACAAGCATGAAGCAGGTGTGGATCTCGAGACCACCCTGTCATTTCCACTTGCACCAGTATCGATGCCTCTCAGCACAGCAGATGGTGCCATCAGAAAGACAGTTAAGAGCAAACTGTATGAAGCTGCAATGAGCGACTTATCCATCGTTAGTCCAGATGAACTACCACCTACGGAGATATTGAACACGCACTTCTTGGACCTTGCCGCAGCCATTCAAAGTTTGGTTGGCCCTACATCTACTATAAGACAAATGGCGACCAACATACTTGCTTCAATTCCAGCCCGGTACACACAAATTGTTATTGCCTGTGATACATATAAGGACAACAGCATTAAGGGTGGTGAAAGAGTTAAGAGGGGTGTTAGTGGGAGATACGTTTTGACGAGCCCTGACATGAAGGTACCATATGACTTTAACAGCTTCCTCTGCAACGGCAAAAACAAAGGAATGTTGTTTGATCTTCTCTAATTAGCAATAATTGAGGATCGTAGTCAACTATTTAGCCGGACAGTAATGATCTCCAACAAACTACGAAAGTTACAGAGGATACTGTTGAAGTTCTTGGCCAGTAACCTCGAAGAAGCAGACACAAAGTTGGGGGCACTGGTTAAAGCTTGGGACTTTCCGCCCGATCATGCAGCCATGATTCGATCTCCCTCTGGTGACATCGATATTCTAGCATTGTTCTTGTCACACGAATTCGGCGGAACGAAAATTCTAGTAGATAATGGTGTTGGAAAACAACGAAAGATAATCGACATGACATGATCTGGCCTTGAGATGGAGAAAAAGAAAGCGCTACTTGGCCTACACGCTTTTTCTGGCAACGATTATATTTGAAGATTTTTTAGAAAGGGAAAGCAAGCATTTTGGAGGGCAATGTCAAAAAAAGCTGAATTCATTAGCCTTTTTACTGAGTTGGGAAACTCCGCGCGAGTGCTCGACAATCTCTTCAATGATTTGGAGAAGTTTGTGTTGTATTGTATGGAAACCAAGGACTATCCTCAGTGAATCTGCTGCGACACAAGTTGTTTGTGCAGAAATTTGAAAGAGAAAGGAAGATCATAGATCTCAGTCCTACCGCCTACCGCCATGCAAAGAAAACCTGAGGATTCATATTCTCCGTGCAAACTTCGTCGCCATGATGTTCAGGCAAGCTAATGGTTTGATGCTTCAGTTGGGCTCTCCAGCAGATCATGGTTGGGATGAAAAAGGATCAGTTCGTTGGAGTGAAATATGTTACCTGGAAGATATATCTGAGCTTTTGCTTAATCAAGCTGAAGTCAACGAAAAGCTTGAAACTGAGGATGTCGAGTGTAGTGACTCTGAAGACGACTTTGAGGACCTTTGAAACGATCTAGCTTATCTTTCAAACTTTGCTTAGATGATCCGCAATGATTTCCATTATTGTTATTTATTAATTAGTGATAAAACAGTGCTGCATTTCCCCTATGAAATTGTAAAAATCAGTCTGGCTAGAGAAATGTTTAGCAGAAATTGTAAAATAACGCTAGTGGATCGTGAAAACGAGGCTGTTTGCCCCCTGAAAAGCCAAAATTGAATGGTTAACTTTAATTCTCAGCAAAGATACCAAATCTACTTTTTAGAATTCACCCATTTCCATTTTAAACTGTTTTCTCGGTTGTTTCCATGAAAGACACGAAAACGAGACTTAAAACACAAAGAAGAGGCTGATGGCCCCCCAAATTCCCCGTATAACATCGATTTTCGAAATCAGCACCCTCGAATTGACCAAAAGCACTTGGTCCCATAAATTTCGCCCTCGGGGGACCATTCCCCTATTCTCCGCCTGGTCTATATGTCTGACATACTATTGTCATTGACTTTGTGACGTCAATGCTGTCTGTGGCATCCTAATTCAAAACATATTTAAAGTTAGGTGCCTTTTGTGATATCTTTAATGTCTCATTTTAGTTCTGGCTGTGGCTATTCTGTCCTATCGACGCGAAAACCTGTTGGCTGCTGATACAGTGCAGTCATTAGAGGTGGGTATCAGTACTTCTTCTTCTTGTTTAAAACACATTTTAATGCTATGTGTACCCAATTCACACGCATACCTGCACAGTAAGTAGTGTTTACTTCGCCTGTCAAGCTACCCATTAAAGATACCTTGAACAGAGTACCTCAAAAGTGCGTTTTTCATAGATCCTTCCGAATTTTTTCAAAATATTGTAAATATACCAATGCAGAAATCTGTCTAAATGGAAAAATACACGACGACAAGAGGACTTGACGGCAAGAGATTAACCATTCGTGAATCTTTAATCAGGCAACACAGCGAATCGGGCAACAGAACAAATTTATCTTTTTATCCTCAGAAACATCTATCCGCACAGGGTTCTCTAACAGTTGAACGACCGTTACGAAGAATGTTCCTTGCGTATATCCAGCTACTTTCTTGCGAAAAATCTTCGGGGTGGCCTACGAAAAGGGCTCGGATACCAAGGTTTACTGAAACATCGCGGAGATACGGAAACATAGCATACTAAAGTACTTTACACTCCGCACAGTATAAGCATTTTATCCTGACCAAAAATGTAAGCGAAAGCGGATCAAATGTAACTTGAAACAAAGAATCGTGCGTTGATTAGTTTCTTTTTTGGCCTATCAGCAACCGGATTAGGCGCGAAAGCAAACTTTTTCTGTCTTCATAAATCAAGACTTTGTCAAGGCAACAGATTGACTTTCTTGCCCAATTATTCTAATGGTTCCAAGGAAAACAGTTTTGCGATCTTCGGACAAATGAGGTTGTACAAAGATTGTATTAGTGAATGGTTATGTTTGTGAGCCAAGCTGTCATGAGTGTCAACGTACGCCTGTCTCTGGGACAGTGTCTATGTCATTCTCTGGCTTTTCTTCCTTCTATCTTTCTAAGAAGTGCTACTTTCTTGGAATCGCCAAATAGGTTTTATGAAATGTAGATCATGTTGCTTAATTATTCGTTTCTAAATGTTTATTTTACTGAAGTACCTCATTTCCTACCGCCTGAGGGATATTTTGTGTTTTTTGATTAGCCATGTTTCTATTGCTTCCATCTTTCCTTTACTCCATTTCATTGGCTAATGCGCATTTTTGCACCCGGAAATCAAGGCTACATAAACATATGATTTTTAAAGGCACGTTTATCTCCCGATCTTTATATTGCCTTTCTTTCAATATCTATTTTTTGTTTATCAATGTCCAAATCTATCTTAAAGTTTTTCATTTGATGTTAAGGGGAAGCAAAAATTTTAGCAGTTAGTTTCTTATTAAGATTTCAATAAATTTTCATTGAGTTTAGAATCACTCCTTGGCAGATCAAACCGGTTTTTTTGGTTTAAACTTCTGCAGTGAGATGTGCAACGCCCCATCAAAAAATGATACGATATGAATGCCATTTTAAATTGTGTCTAGTGACTACTCTTGCAGCATTTGTTGACCTCTCAAGTACTCAGGGGATTTGTTATGATGCCTTTCTTAATCTGGGAAAATTGAATTGATTTGATTTGATTTGAAACCCCATTTTTATTGATTGCATCAGCATTGAAAGGCTATACGAAATTTGTGCAGTGGTTTCAACAAAAATGACTGTAACCTTATTTCTTCCTTCGGGGAATCGATCTACGTTGGCTTTCTCAATCGAATTAGAATTTACTTTGCAAGGATTTTTTATCGTTCGAAACTAAGCAAATTCAATACTGAACATATTGCAATTACTATATTTATGTAATTAATATTTAAAGCTTTCTTGCCTGGTAAGCACTGTCTGTCTCGCCGTTGATTGTTTTCAGCGCGTGCTTTTCTGAATAGAACAAAGTGAATTGTTTGCTTTCTCATCATTGGGGCTTTAAAATCACACATTGTGAGGTGACTCTTCTAAAAATTTTGAAATGACTTTTGATAAATTTTTTATAAAAGGTTTTTTGAAATATCTTAGCACGTTTTATAACTGAAATATTCATGAGTGATAGAACTTTTCCATTGAATGTCTTCTGCCATTCAAAAGATAACATTCCTTGTATAGAAAACTTCTTAAAATTTATATCCTAAATTGTTATTCTGTAAGTTTCTAGTACGCTGAGAGTTTTTCAAGTTTCAAACTAGGTTTGTGTCAAACTTCAAGACTTTAAGCTGCCTTAATATACATGAAATACAAGGCCAGTCGTTGAATTGTTCGAAAAATTATAATTTCAAAATATAGGGATACCAAGTAGAGTTTTTGGGGCCTTTTCCTTTTGTAGGTTTTCTTATCAATAATCAAATGATTGCCTAGAGAAATGTTTTATTTTGCCTTCTTTCGACATTTTTCTTAAAAAACAAACTACAACGCAGAATTGCAGCATTCGGAATAAAGGTGTTGCCACACAAGCTTGTACATACAAATTTCGCCGTCTTTTCCATGCATTAATAAATATTGAAGCTTAAACATCATTTATGTCATTTGCCTTTAGATATTTCCCTTAGAACCACTATGCTGTTCATCTATCTGACTGCCCAATCTTTTTTTTTTCTATTTAAGAGAACTTATCACAGATTTGAGACATGTCTATCAATATCTACCCATCACTTAAAACTATTGTGTGCATATTTTGGCAAAGTTTACTTCGTGATGTCATTCTGTGATTTTGTATTCTGGTTTTAGTTTTCGATAAACTGCGGTTTCTATTGCACATTTCTGATCAGGGCAACTGTAGAACAGTGTTGTTTACATTGGTGCCGTGACCCGGGATACAGCATCAGCAATTAGTCATGGGCATTCTCTACCAGCGAATGGCTTTCCTGAAGGTAAAAAGGCGTTTCATGATGGCAAAAGGGCGCTGTTTTAAAACAATTATTTCCTTGAAAGATATACAGGAACAAAGCAATACGACGACGAGAATCCAATGTCACGAGATTAAATTTTCAAAGTAAATTAAATTCTAGATCTTAATTTGGCACCGCCAATGCTGTAGTATATATCGTCTCCTGTTTCAATTTCATTAACTTGCACTAGGAAAATTTCAAAACAATTTAGCCTGAACGTTTTAGAACAATTTAGCCTAAACGTTGAGTCTCGATAAACTGATCGTTTAAAGAACAGAGCGTATGTTATATTTGAGAAGGCTGTTTAAACAGCAAACATGAAAATAAGTGAGGAGGGGGTGAAATATCTTACGTTTGTTGGCTTTCATTATTTGGACAATACTGGAATCATCACTTAAAGGAAATTTCGAAGGAACTAGCAAATGTATATTGTTTATTCTTTGAAATAATACACCTTGATGATTCCAGAAAAGTGCTAATGCCCATAGTCACAAGAAGGAGGATAGCCGTTGCTATGAAGCTATATCAATACTCGTCAGTTTCTTCTTTTCTTCAATGTGAAATCGAGCTCTAGGGCCTCACTTACGACATCTAGTGGCCATATGCCAAGAACATTTCACAAACTACTACTTTTCCGAATTTGTACATCTCTGGCTATTCCGGTTTACTCCATCTCTGACTTCCCTTAACAATGTTTTGCATTTTGGCAGTTATTCCATTGGCCTTCGATTTCTTGCGAAATAGGGAAGCACGTGCACGACCCTTTTTGTAGAGTAAGAAGCTTATTATACCGGCTTTTTCATAATTTCCACCCTGTAGTACGCCATTAGCCTTTGGAAAATTGGTGCCGCTGATTCACACTGTTGCCAGGAAGATAGCTTATATATAAATACTTATACTAATATGGCACACCATATCATTTTCAATATTTTTAAGATTTGCCAGGTATTGCTTGTCAAAAATCTTGGAAAAAATTCAGTTTCCCCTTAGGGGCCTTTCTCTTTTGATTTACTTTTATGCTGGGTAACCTATGCTGCAAGTTTCGATTTCAGGATGAGATGAAAACTTTATACACAGACGCAATTTGATATTTTGAGGGGAAAAACCAGGCCTCAACTTAATCCTGTCCCTTACTTCTATTTTTAAACCAAGGTACTGGGCGCAATCCATTGAAAGAACATTCATCGTAATTTTGTTGCATACTTTACAGGTTGTATGCTGAATGACATTCAGAGCAAAAATCTACCCCTGAATGCTAGTTTCATAAAGGTGTACGTGAGCCTAATCTGAGTTTTCTAACAAATTTTGCCCCAATGGCGGAACCACAAGTTTTGCTTGCGACCAAATATCGAATTGCCTTCTTACTAGGAACGTACCAATAATTTTTTCTATTGCCTTCTGAGTAAGCAAGTTTTAGACAATTACTTTCTAGCCACTTTTCCTTCGCCCAGAGCTTTATCTTTCAAGAATCCTGTTGATACTTTGTTATAATTGATTATTAATTGCTTTCAAATACCAACTACGCACATGTGTTGAAATAAAAGCCTCTTTCAAGGAAGATTTTAGGATTTATCACGATTCACCATGCTTACCTGATTATTTTTGTGGAAAAAACATGTTTTGATCGACGTAACTGTTATGACATCTGCTATCTAAAATCAATTGCAGGCTGAGTGTCAGAATTTTTCTATTGTGCAGATAGAAATTCATTCATTCTTTTAAGAGCAAATCACCTTAAATATGTATGAAACAAGAAAGTATTTTAATGCAAGCGGTTTCTTCATACAGTTCTGGATAATGAAGTCAAATTCAAGCAAAGTATTCAAATCAGAAAGAAATTTTTTCCCAATTCATTACTGAACTTACATGATCGAAGCTGCGCATAAAAATTGAATCAAAAAATTTAGTTTTTTAACATATGTGCCTGTCAATACGGTACTTGTACAACGGCTACCCTCTAAAGAAATTTTCAAATTTTTTAGTAGATGTAAAATTGATCTTAGATAAACCAAGGCAGCTAGATATAGAGTTTATCTTTCTGGTTAACATTTAAAAACACTTTGTGAAAGCTTTGTTTTTAATGTTATAAAATAAACAAAGTTTATGTCCAACTTAAGCCTTCCCCTTAACACTTAACACTTTTGCAATGTCTAAGGTTTGCATTCTTATAAGCTATGTTCTTTTACAAGAAGATGTTTGTCCGACTTGCAAATTGTGGACGGAAGATATCAAGAGTAACTTAAGAATACTTCTTTGTTTTATGGTCGTATTTGTGTTATATTTTGTCCAATGCTTTAAACTTTCGTTGATCGTATGACATATTCATCACCAACAGCCTCTGGAATTTTCAAATTTGTTTCGAGAACTCAAACTGTGACCAAAGGTACCTTACCCGAGTAAGAATGCAACAGACATTACGGCTTCCACCTGCAAATTTATGACTTCCCAGGAAAGACCCCTTGGCTATTCTCAATCTCTAGTAATTTGAGCTTCGTAATGTCGCTGCGAAGTCAAGTGCACTGCAAATTGATTTTTTTCGAAAAAATAAGAACACCGAATCTGGATTTGCCAATAAAAGAACAGCGTAAGAGCATGACCCGACGCAGTTGAAAAAATGGAAGAAAAAGTCTTGAAAATCTCCTTTCATGTTGGCAATACGGCAATACAGACCACTAAAATTGTTTTCTATTTCTATGCATATAAAATATTACAAAATATGTTACTTCTACTATACTTAACCTAGTTTCTATACTACACCATATGGACGATATCAAAGGGAGGAAAAGATACTGGCTACCCCATGGCCAACAGGAAATGTTAAACTACATACAACTAAATTACTAATGATTAAAAACTAATGGCTACAATGCCAGATTCTGTTTGACATTAGATGCCCGGTCAGGATTTAAAAGCCACGAACGCGACTCGTTTCAAAGTTTATGGTGGTCAAACTGCCTGACATCTAATCTAAATCAGAATTTACATAAAAGAAAATATATGAACATTTACATCAAGGGACTTAGTGCTTAATGTTTAGGTTGCAAAAAATCTCAATCAAACCGACCAGTTTCGTAGATAAAACGTAAAGTCGACTCGAGATTAAAATTGTGATGCGCAGCTAATATTTAATTGTACTAGAAACAGCTTATTGTATGTACTTGTAGAAAAACCAATTTTGAAATAATAACAACATTAAGCACACTCGAGCTTTGAATAATTCATAAAATTGCTGATCCCCTGCAGATTTTGTCTGGTTCTTAAAAAGGAATGTATTTTACTTAAATTTCACGAAACACGATCAAAGATGAATTGGACTTTTTATATGCTTTGTCAGATAATTTACTCATTGCAGTGTATTCTGACTGGCTGAATTTTTTTTCAGGCCGTTTTAGCTGATCTGAGCACCATAAAAGTGATTCCACTCATTGTGTCTTTCCTTGCTGGCAAGAAAGTTTAGCCGCTACATACATTTTGGAGAAGAAAGAAAATCTTACATTGAAGTTCAAGAAATTCTTTATCCATTAGAATTTATATAGATATTGGAATATCTGGTGGCATGTGTGGATCAGTAAGGATTTTAGAAAGTACACTCGTGTTTTTTATAAGAAACCGGCTATAAAAAACCGAGCCTTAATGCAACAGCGATCAGTGTGATCTGACCAAACGGTTTCAACATTTGACTTAACATTCTACTGGACATTTTCAACATTTGACTGAACATTGTTGAGAAGGGTAGCCAAACGGTCGCAAAACTGTTCCTTCAAGCTAATGTCAAGTGATCATTTTTGACCAAAATCAAAATTCCTGAACACTTTTCAACAAAAGTTCAGTGACTGAACAGGGCAGCCAAACGGTCTCAACATTTACTGAACATGAATGTTGGAAACTGTTCAGTAAATTTTCAGAGTTTATTTCAAAAAGTATATATATAGCGCAAAAGTGACAATTGTTTTGCTTTGTGAGAAAGCTAAAATGAATTAAAAATTCAAGTCTTGATGAAGCTTGGGCATTGTTCTTAAATCATTCTTAAATTTTATCGATTTTGATTAATATCGATTAATCGATTAATATTCTTAAAGAATTCAGCCTTGTAAAAGGGTGTGTAGATAAATTGAATGTAGAGCTCTTTTTCGCAGCAAATGGATCGCCGATCACATTACAGATAGAGAGGGGGCTAAAAGCTCAACACGTTAAAAGCCAAGGGCAAAATGTGTCATTACATAGTTTCACGTGCGAAATGAATATATACATCACTTTTTCTTCTTTAAAAATTTAGCAAATTGATGTATATTAGTGGTGTCGTTAGTTTATATCCATTATTTTGTTTTCTCCATTCACTCCGATATAGTTTTTCTCTTCTATCATCATCATTGTCATCATCATAACACAATTTGCTTCTTTCCGTCTCTTTCCGTCTCTTTCCGACTCTTTCCGACTCTTTCCGACTCTTTCCGACTCTTTCCGACTCTTTCCGACTCTTTCCGACTCAGTTCTATGACTAATTTTTATTATATCTTTCAGCTCTACTTACGTCATACCCTCGTTCTCATTCCTTTTCGGTATCTAATTTTAATCATGATTTGGTTGTTTTCTTACATTTATCTCGCCGCTCAAGCTTATTTCTTGTTAGTCCCTTTTTCTGTTTTCCCTAGATATTGTTGGTTAATTTCTCAATGTGATTCCGCTTAGTTTTTACTTAAACAGAAAATTGTAATTAGAATTTCACTTGAGCAATGTTTATTGATGAATTTATGAAAACGTTGATATGAATTTTGTCCTTTTTTTAAAGCGCTCCAACCTAACTGCCGTCACAAGCTAAAATGAATTCATTCCGTCTATTATACTATACCACAAGTCAGTTGAATACCATTATAGCACTTAATCTGTCTTTAAATCGGGAAAACTTCAACCTAACTCCCGATGCCCAATGCTTCTAACTTTTATTTTCGTCGTTGCAATTTTTATACAATTGTCCTAGTTTCTTTATACTTCTACCCCAATCAGGCCAACCTTCTTTATCAGGCCACAATGTTGTTGTTTGTACGCTACTCCATCTACTTAAAGTAAACAAATCGAATCATACTGTCGTGAGTCATGTAAATATCAAATTTTTCAAGGTACGGAAATATCCTTATAGTTGAAAAATCCTCAAACACGGAGTAAAAACCTCACTCAGGCACCGCGCAGCCTTTCGGCTAGTAGGGGCCATAGCCCCCCACCCCCACTTTTTTGCAATAATAGGTTGGAAATTTTAAGAAAGTTTACTCTAACGCAACTTTGGATGGTTTACTCTAATGGATCTCAAGTAGTAGCAGTTCGTTTTCACTATGTACCCTATTTTGTTTTCTTTTTCTTGGTGTTGAATCTTGTTAAATCAATTTTATAGTAATTGATATCTTCTCTGAATTGGACAGTTCATAAACTATAATTAAAAAGAAGCAAATATTTTCTAAAAGGGCATTTTCCGGCTTTCCAAAGGGCGTGGCCTAAAAAATTATCGGTCACCCACATTTAGAATGGTGAGCGGCGCCTGACCACACTAGAAAGAATCAGAACGATGGAGAGCTGCATTTTACACACAAATTTATCTAACATAAACTAACAACGAAAATAATTTCATTGTCAACAGAAAACCTTAAACTCAAAGATCGACAATGACGTAATTTGATCATCGTTAAAAACACCAGAAATAATCTATATAAAGAGTTAACACAACGAGAGATAGAAAAAAAGGTTGGCAATCAATACAACAAGTTTATCAATTATTTAATAAGAGGAAAATGAATATGAGAAAGCTCTTAACATGGAAAGGAACTTTGCGCTTGCCCGTCCTAGGATACATTTAAGAGCACGTTTGAACAAAGAAACGAAGGAAACTCCAACAAAAAAGTGAAATTGATGGTATAATGATGAAGGATGTAGATCTAGAAGATCAATTCGAATCAAAACCTAGAGTTTGTGGCAGTTTCAAAATAAAACCACTCACATTTAAGGCAGAAGAAGCGATTGCTTTTACGAAGTTAAGATGGAAACGAGAATTTGAAAAAGCAACCCAAGATGATGAAAAAATGAAGAGGAAGTAAAAAAACATCAGTTTTATAATTTAGAAGGAAATAGATTCGATTTTTCACGAATAAGACCGACTGACCTACCATATGCCTTCTCATGCATATGAAGAGATCAAAAGATATCTAGATGAAAGATATCTACACTTATTGCCATATCAAGAATTTTAAAATCTGCTTATGATACTAAAGATCTTTGTCGGTGGGTTAAAATGAATGCTAAAAAAGAATTGATAGTATATATTTAAATCTGCATCTATCTCATACTGCCTAGCTTCTAAAATAAAGATTATTTCATGATATCAGGCCAAAGTGGAAAGTCAAAACTTATGATCGGTACATATATGACATCAACTTTTGAGTTGGGAAATATATGATAAGCAACCCAACAGAACTCCAATAATTAGTGGCTAGTAAACAGATAAGTATATCGAGGAATTTGCAGTAAACAATGATTTCAGAAATGGTAAAAGTAATGAGGTGACCCTTCTTGGGCACCAAATTGACAACAGATTAAAATTTGTTTCACATAATGAGAAAATTTGTAAAAAAGGTTTTTATCTTGCTATCTAATGCCGTCATTGATATACTTGTAATCTATTGTAATCTATTGTGTTCTCCGGTAATAACGGCATAGCAAATTGTGAAAAGAAACAGATGAAGGCACTGGCAGACTTTATCATAATTCGAAGAAGAAAATGAAGAAGAAAATGAAGAAGAAAATGAAGAAGAAAACGAAGAAGAAGAAATAAGACCATGTGGGTTTGGGTTTAGATTGGTCGAAAAAATTGCCGCGACCTCCCTCTTGGCCAATTTAACAACAATAAACAAATGTTTCCATGTGTCTAGAAAGCAATTTATGACCGGGAAATCAACCAGAATTTGTTTTTCCGCCCGCGCACTTGCCATTTTCTGCTTTTAGTCGCTGGCGACAAAAATCTTGTGCTGTTCTTCCCCGCAGACAAGTGATTTTAGTCACCCAATATCACTTCTTCCAATTTTTAACAAAGTAGTTGAAAAACTTATGTATGTGCGAGTTAGTAACTTCTTAGAGTCACTCAAAATTGTTTTTAATCATCAATTCGGTTTTCAGAGAAACAAATCTACAACCCTTGTGCAATCTTAAATGTTTATGCAAAACCTGTTGATGCGGTTGAAAGCAAAGAATATTCATGTTGTATTTTCCTTGATTTCGCAAAAGCTTTTGATACCGTTGATCATGAAATTCTTCTTAAAAAATTAGACTATTATGGTTTCAGAGATATTGCCCTGGACTGGTTTCAGCTCTTATCTCAAAGACAAAACTCAGAGAGTCTTCGTTGGGGGGTGAACTTTCAGATGGTACAAATTTCACTTACGGTGTACCTCAAGGTAGTGTTTTAGGCCCCCTTCTCTTCCTTCTTTATATTAATGATATACCTAAAGCAACACAAGGTTTCGTTTTACACCTTTTTGCTGATGATACAAGCCTTTTTATGTCACGTGAAAAATTAGAAACTCTTGAACCTGTGCTAATAACGAGTTAGTTAAAATCTCTGATTGGCTGATTGCCAATAAGCTATTTCTGAATACAAAAAATCTAATTTCTTAACTATTCCTCCAAAAAACAAGATGCTAAATCGAAAAATGGATATTTTTATAAGCAATGAAAAAGTAACTGAAGCACAGACTGTCTAATATCTAGGTGTTTTGATTGATGATAAATTAGCCTGGAAGGCTCATATTCAGCAGACTAATTTAAAAATATCTAAAAACATTGGTATATTAGCTTGCATAAGGCACCATGCACCTAAAAATTTACCTGTTAACATATATAATGCATTTATACAGCCACACGTTTATTAATTGGGGAGGGACCTACAAGACTGCTTTAGATCCTATAAGAAAGAGCATGAAGCATGCTGTAAGGTTGATTACATTTCAGCAAAGCTCACAGTCAACCTCTGTTTAACGAATTAAAACTTCTATGTCTTAATGACTACTATAAAATAGAATGTGCCAAATTTATGCATGATATTATTAATAATAAACTAGATAAAATCTTCTGTAATCTCTTCCAGCTAACAAAAAATAGACATAATATTTTAACTAGACAAGCAACTTCTGACTTATTTGTACAGCCTGCGATAAGAACTAATATCAAGCATCAAAGTATTTTAAACAATGGAGTTAAAATCTGGAACAGTATACCTTTTGATATAAGGCAATCTCATAATAAACGTACGTTTTCGAAGAACTATAAAGCATGGCTTCTAAGCAACAGTGCTCAATCGGCTGATATTAATATTTGTATATAGTCTTAATTTAAAAAATCCTTCCCAAGTCCTTATTGATAAACACCTGTATTTTGGTATTCTCGTTTTTGATTAGATTTTATAATAATGAACTAGCAAGTATCCCGATTTCCCAAACCTAATTCTGTTACTTTAGTTCCATTTTGCTTAGTTTAATATTCTTATTTTATCTAATCTTATTTTCTTACCTGATGTTGTTATGTTACTATTAACATAATTTGTTTCATTTATAAGTGTCCTAAGCTTATCTAATTAATATTAAATCGTATTATCATTATATTGTAATTAAAAGTTTGAATTATCAATATGAAATGAAATGAAATAACAAATAATATCCACAGTGCGATTCCTTAAACGGTTCATCTTGGCATTAATTATTCTTATAGCAGATAACTCTTGCTTAGTGTAACGAGAGAGAATTAAGCTGAGGAAAACCAAGCACATTTGAGGCTTTATTCGACAAAATTTCATCTCAACTCAAAAGTAACGTGAACAAGGTAACGTAAACAAAAGGGAGCAAACTCGAAATCACGCATGATAACGCATATTGTAATGAGACAAAGAATTGCTGAAGCTTAATTGTCTTTCGCAATGCTTTGCTCAGGCTAAGTAAGGATGATGATGATTATGAATGCTAGCATTGAAATTTGTCAAGAACCCCCCACTGTGCAAATCGTCATGGCCCTTCTTGGGATTATTCAAACGGGAAAAAGAAAGAAGAAAATAAGAATTACACTCTCCAACTTTCGTGAAAAGGAATGTTATATCGTTTTTTCTAAGCCAGGACCCTTTTAAATTTATCCAATTTATCAAAAAGGCTTTCCTAAGAGATTTAGCAGAATTGCAAAACAGCAACATTCATCCTTAATTTAGTTTCTTTCTAGTGTCCAAGAAATATCATAATTGTGGAAAAATGTCTGCATCTTGTTTTATATACAAAACTCCAAAATAACCTACGGCCTTATTTTGGAAGTTACTACCAACTTCATTTCACGACATTTTTGAGCCTGGATAAGGCTTCTCCTTCACACTTTTAGTACAGATACAATTTAAGCATCATGCAAAAAAAGCTAGAATCTCTATTCAGGAATGGCGAATTCTCGCTTCAACTTGCTATTAAACCCAAAAGACATTTAAAAGCAAGGCATGTAGAGTTTGCTTGCCTAAAAACATATCAATATATATGAAAAAATACATATCAATATATTTTTAAAGCATATATAATAATCTATCTATAATATAGTTTCGTCTAATTCCCAATCGTCAAGCCCTTAACCTTCCCCTCCCCTGCCCCTACCCTAGGAGCCAGAGCCACAAAAATTTTAACGCGGAAATAGAAGATACGAGCAGATTTCTGCGCTTGAAGTTTTGTGGCTCTGGTTCTCAGGATAACCCCCTCCCCCTTGCTACGATTGATCTATATGTAATAAAGTCAGTTCAATGTCAACCAAAGCTTCAGATTTAAGCAGTTAAGGTGCTTTCATGTATAACTCGGGTATATCATTTGCGCAGGTGAACGCAAACATCATCTTGAGTTCCATCTGTGCCCCTGCGGTTCTAGATTACGCTGCCATTTTCGTACCCGCTCTGGAAAAATTGCATTCATATCACACAAACGAATAGTAATTAACATGCTATAGTATTTACTTGCAAGAAAGAGCAAAAACGACTTAAAATAGAGGTGGTTTTGTCCACTTTCTCAAATAAGTTCCAAGAGATCCAAGTTGTGAACTATTTCAGGATTCCAGCCCTTTGGAATTTTTTTACTTTGGGTTCAGCCATCCTCTGGATCTCTTTAATGTGGTTTTAAAGGGAGCAATAAAATGGCATTTTATTTTCTTATATTTGTCAATTTCAGATCAAAGCATACAAGAAATATTTTGCAAAAGATACGAGTCCCATTCTCATAACAATATTCCTATTTCGTAACTTGAGAAATTTCACGAAAAAATCAAAAGTTGGTATTTAAGATATCCCAAAGTAGTTCTCAACTCAAGCAGCGTACAAAAAGAGGACATTAGATCAATGAGAGATTCATAAAAAATCGGATTTTGTTCGGTAATTCACCTGCGGTTGTTGATGTTCTTTCGATCTGCTTCGAAGCAGAATTTTCAGGGGCTGACCAAATCCAGCGTTGCTAAAATACAACGAAGATTCTAAATTACATGCTTCCGATTGTCAACAACATTTTCTAAAGTAACAAGAACTAAGCCCCAGCGATAGCCCTAGAAGAAGAGGGCCTTCTCTATAAGTTCTTGAAAGGACACAATTTAAAAAAAATGGCCTTTTCTAAAAAAGGACGTACCTTCCGTGATTCCGACATGCCTAGCCCCTATGGTTCAAATGCTATATGAAATTGGCTCTGGAATTTAAACCCCGCGACTTAACAGTATAATTATTCAGTTTTCCTTAACCCTGAACCTACAACTTCCCTTCAAAATGTAAATTTGCACATTAAGACATTGTTACCAGGGGCGGACTGGCTGGTCGGGCTATTCGGGCGATCGCCCGAAGGGCCGGTCGGTTAAAGGGCCGGTTGATAAAAGTGCAAAAAAATATTTTAGCTTAAAAAGTGAATGCGAGGCAAAAAAGTATACCCACGCGTTAATCTGTTTGCCTTGAATTTTCAGAGACTTTGTGGGAAAGAGTAAATATACACGCGAGTACTCCAAAACCATCAAAATTATGAATTCATTTTTGCACCGCAGCCCAAACACACTTCTTCAGGGAACATGTTATTGACATTTTGTTATATTTTCTCTTGACGGTATTTCCTTTTTGGCGACATATTATACTGTAACATCCCTGTTTCAATCCTGCTCCGATGTCTTTTCACTTAGCTTTTGCTTGAAGCTGGTCATGTTTTTCCCTAAGCACAAGCTATTGCTAAATGTAATAAATTTAAAAGTCCAAAAATTAGAGTTCACTAAGCGATTTGCTCTGTGATGTGAAGTAATGAAGAGGACATACGTAGAACAAGGGAAGAGCAAGAGGACTTCAATCAAAGGTGGTGCACAGACATTTTGTGAGGAAAAGCTGCGAGACTTAAAAAAGGATTCAGCTACGATACAAAGCTTTTTTTATCAAGCAAAACAGGGGTATGGTGCTACACGATAAAATTTCAACAGGGGTGCCCATGTTTTCATGTTTTCTTTTTGGGGTCAGAAATTGACAAATCGATATTTTTGGGCTGCTGAAAATCATTGTGGTTTTCCGGAGGAATAGAAAATTATTTTTCACAAGTTGAGTGTGAAGCTTTTCCACTTTAAATATATAAAGAACAGATTACGTGGTAATTTTTCGCAGCGTTTTTTATTTGCTATTTTTGTGGGCCGGTTTGATCAAAATTTGCCCGGGCCAAAAAAATTAGCCAGTCCGCCCCTGATTGTTACTTAATATTTAGGCGTAGAATCCTATCGATGTTTTACTTACAGCATCTGGATAGTTCTGCACTACTCTCATCCTTGGATGAGGCTTGTTCATTCGATTTTTCGATACTGGTGTTATCATTTTGTTTTTCATCGGTTCCCTGGGCAGAAATTCCTCTGAATATCTGGATTTGGCGAACTTGAATTTACTATAGTCCGCTGGTGGTGTATACTCTCTGAAAAACATTTATTATTTCAGTCAAACAATATATTTTACAACGTTCTAAACAATCATGCTAATGAAGTAGATTGCACTTATCTTTTTTACGAAAAGCGAGTACCAGACAATCAGAAAAAATTAAGAAAATTATGAAACAATTAAATTTTAAAAAACTCAGAACTCCAAAATTTCGTGAAAACCATCAATATACTTTGCAACATAAGCAGCCTCTTGTCTGACTTTTTGCAAATGTAAACCCCTTCCTGACATGTTACTGTTTAAATTTTCCTTGCATTGAAATAAAATATAGGGCGCCAAATGATAAAATTTTTGAAATCGAAATTTTGCACAGTGTTTAGAAGCTTCAGTACTCAAAGTCTACTTTGTTTCTTACAAAAATGAGTGTGGATAGGAAAGAGTTTCCTAGCCAAACGCCAGAGGGAGACATAGATCTTCGGTACCAGAATCCTACCCTCGGTACCAAAGCCTCATGAATCTAGGGATAAAGTATTGAAGACAGCTGCGCTCAAAAAAAATTTCTGTGACTTGTTTCTAACTATATTTCTGAGACTAACTAATGAAGATGCTGGCACCCAGGGTATAAAAGAATAAAAATGGCATCAACTTTATTTGTGAAGCAAATTTTAACAAACAAGAATTGCAAAATCTGACATGCTTCGCCCCCTTCAAGTGTAACACTCTTCTCTAATTTATGAAAAATTGTCCTTCGAGCCGCCTGTCTTCGTTCCTACATACCGATGCCATCAACTGGTTAACTGAAATTCCAATTGACTGTTAGACAAATTAAAACCCAAACTTTGCTTGCTATCCTGCAAAATGTAATATTGCAAAACCCCCAAACAACTTGTGGGTAGAGATGCATATTCACGCTTTTTTATAAGAACACTTGGCTCCAGTTTCGCATGATTTCAGCCTAACGTGTCTCTTTTTGTGTTCGATAAAGTAATTAATACTATTTTGCTTATCAATCTCTGTCTTTCTGTTGTTGTTTTTATTTTTGGGCAAATCTCAGCTTGATCAGGGTTGTTTTTATAAAGGAAAAAGCGTGCAGACCAGACGTCCCGCCATGATCACAAGGGTCGAAGAGTTACGTGACCATAGCAACGGCACGATGCCAACATGGCAGATTACGTAAACAATAGTGTTGGGTAACCTTTGATCACATACCTTTTGCATATTTCAGCAGGCCAATGGATATATTGAAAGTCGCGTGCATATTTTGTTTCGTATATTGACGGGAAAGTTGGGTAACGAGGGTAGGCTGATTTGTATAGTGAGTCCAAAGGCGTCATCCCAGATTGCGACACGATTTCACCTCGAATGAAATTGTTTCTACTCGTCACATTTCCGAAGTCTGAAATTAAAAAAATATAATTATCGCTTTGAAATTGTAAACGAAGTAATCAAGAAAACCCGTTTTACATTTATAGGCGAGATACCATTGTCCTGTTGAAAAGACAGCTGCTCTGATTTGATCAGTTAACCAGCCTCAAATAGACAAGATATACAAAAGCTTGAATCTAGAACAGTTCACAACATAATTTTGATTGTTTTCAAACATTATAGTTATGAATAACTTCAGGTTCATGCTATCATTTCAGCAATACTGGTTCTTCCTGGTGGTCTACATTCTCTTCTTTAGGAAAATTCCAATTTTAGGGGCAATTTTAAGGGGTACCTAGAAACATGGAATGGACGCAGACTTCAACAAACGGATAGGCATGTTACTAGGAATGCAACACAGAAGCTACTCCCTTTTAAGAAAAACAGTTAGGATGCTCACTTTCCTGCCCAGCAGAACTTCTTGTAGGTAGAGATCTAGACGACACAGTCTTTGTTGTTGATACACGGTCGTGCCTGCCCTCAATGTCCTTCATGTTTGAACTAATGTTTTGACACTTTGATGAGTCTAACTGTGTAGTTATAGACTTCAGTCCTCGATTGTTTTATGGTTGTTGCGTCTCTGTGAAGTCAAACAATCGTTGAAGCTACGCCGTTGCATAAAATGGTTGACCACAGACAAAAGATCAGAAACAAGAGGAATCTATTCTTCCGGGTTTCTTGTCAATCGGTTTCAAAAGATAACGAGCTAGCACATTGTGTGTGTGAAACAAAAGCAGTTGCCATGGCAAGCTTTACAAAAGAACATCAGGCTGAATGTTTGGGTAATTTCCAAGCGACAAGTGTGCTCTAGAGATTGTAAGCAAATAATACACAGACTTGCTACTGAAGCTGAATTCCGCTCAAGTTATTAGATCATAAAATTAGCTGTTTCTTGCGAATAGATCAGTTTTTGATAAAATCTTAGATATGCCTGACACAGGACATATCGAGCAAATTGGAAAGGAGACCCCCAGTAGGCCGCCATGGGGACTACAGACGCCAAAGTCGAAGATAGAAGGTATTATTGAGGCAATCCAGCTTCTTGTTTTTCTCTGTTAGTAATTACTAGTTATATCTCATATATACCGCGATGCATGGTAATTGCAAGACTTTACGAACCATTCACATCAGTCTCTACTAAGATGAATGAACTGCACTTCAGTTGCTATGAACGTAGAATGAAGAAAGACAAGGACGACTGCTTTTCCCATGTTTTCGTATCCTTCAGAATACAGCCACAAAAATTTTTCTAAATCTCTATTCCGAGTGTGAGAATTTTTCTTTAACTATCCATCTGTTAAATTTGCTGTTAATTAAAATTTTTTGCATATACGACGTGATGATAAATTTATATTACTGAAGAGGTTTTCTTACTGGGGAAGTGAATCGTTTGTCCTAGAACAGCCACCCCATAAATGTGTAAATAAGAATAAAAGGAAGGATAGGCTGTCTGACGGGTTCTGTGAATCGTGATCATAACAACGACGAGAATCCAATGTTATATATAATAGAATTTCAAAATAGATTAAATTTTATAAATATATTTAAAAATAATTAAATTAATAATATTTCGCCTCGGGATACAGGGCGGGCCGTCGCTTCGCCCTAGAAATCCAGGGCGGGTCGTCGCTTCGCCCTCCAAATTTTTTCGACCGTTGGAACAAAGGAGTACTTATAACAGTTAACTCGCGCTACTGGTACTGGTACTAGAACTACTGCCTGACTTCTTCTCTTGTGTGTTCCTACTTCAGTAAAGATATCTTAAGGAATGTCAACAATGTTATTCTTAGCATTGATGTACAAACGCCGTTTGTCTCAACCCCCACTTATTTACTTGATAGGTTTATTGCTGGCCAAGTTTTAAATAAAGAAGTAAAGCCAAATATAGCTGTGTGCAAAGGCTAATGTATTCAGACTTTTTGAGGTCTACTGTCGACAAAAAATTCCTGCATTGAAATTCAGTTGTGCTCAATATAAATACTCTTTTTTCAGATCGAAGAAATGCTGGATATATGTCAACATATGATCGAATGTTTCAAGGATGGAAAGGTTCTCCAGCCAAACCTATAAGGTGAAAAAGCTTGAAGGCATTCTTATTTCCGAGCATTTTTGCTCAACCGCTGACTTTTCTCTTTTCAGTATCACAGAATCTCTATTCTGTGTCAGTATTATCAAGACTAACAGCGTTCTAAGGATACCCCATTCTAACATTTGGGGCAAATTTGAGTTGGCGTCTGACTCTTATCTTTCTTCAGCTCACCAAACTACGTACCTTCACCAAATTTTAGCTCTGGATCTTTTTTTGCAGTGGAGTTTTAGGTATGCTCCTTAAATGGTCAAATGTCTCATTTAGAAATAAGTGAGGGGGAAGTCCCCCCACTCCCCCTCCCCTTGGCTCGGCCACTGGTTAGACTGGTTTACTAAAGGTATTGTTTTCTTTGAAAAGACAAAGCACCGCTCCCCACTTAAATGAGGGAATGTGGGTCGACCGGACCAGCTATAGAGAGACATTCAGGACACCGCATTCTTACAGCCGCTACAATATCATACCTGCTTCAGTCAACAGACATCACAAACCACACCCATCAAGGCTGGTTTGGCCACTGGAACCAAATAAGGTAATGCTATTCCCTTTGTTGCTTTTCAATTTTGATCTAATCTAAATATATTGCAATTTATAACCGTTCTTTTCTATACAGCAATGCGTGTGCAGCAATCTAAATTTATCACAGCTGATGTCTACACTTCCTTAATCCATGAATGCAATGTTTTTGTACAATCTCGTTAGAGTGCTGAAAAAACACCTTCTTAAAAAACTTTAATATGATTTCAAATTGAAAGACATTCTTTAATGTAATAGTTTGCAATATCATTCTTTAATGTAAATGTAATGTAATAGTTCAAACATTACGAATATGACATTATGAATATGTCATATTCAAATATTATGAAACTACCAACAAAATTTGCATGCAATTTTTCTCTAATTTCAGTCATACATGATATGGAAACCAGATGCAGATTTAATACCAGCCCGGAAAGTCGGCACAGCACCTCCCTCTCTGACTCAGTTTAGCAAGCAAAGATGGATGAACACAACATACAGCGATTTTTTTCAAGGCCAGCAACAATTAGGTATTTCAATATAGCAGAGATAAAATCTATGGTTGACAACATGTTCGTAGCAGATGTTTAATGTTTACTGAGGCTTTGTATTGATCTTGCCCTGATATTATTGCTTAAGTGAAACAAAACTACACCAATAAGGTCTGACATTTTGCTGCTTCATTGTGATAAATTTGCCGAATGGACCTTAAAATCAATAAATTTTTTCTGACTGGGGCTGCAGCCACCAGTATGTCTCCGAATCCTAAGGTTGAGAATTTTTCAATGTCATGTATTTTTGCAGTTAAATGATCGATTACAGACATGTGACCTGCACAATCTTAATTCGTGCTTTAAAGGAAGCAATATGAAAATAAATTTCTGATCAACTTTGCAGAGGCTTTTAGTTTGAAATATTGTCCGCTGCTATTTAAGCTTGTTTCCATAAATATGTCAGAATAAAATCAGTTAGACTGAGCGCGCAAGACTATTTACATCTCTTACTACACTCTTACACTTCCCACTAGACTCATTTGGAAATGTTGTGCGAACCGCTGAAGCTGGAGGAAGACGTCCCACTACTGACTACGTTGGGAGCAGAACAGGTTCGAGACCTACAACTATGGATGCAGGTTTGCCTATCTTATGTACATTTGGTGTATTTGAGCCATAGATAACCCTGCACAATGTCGTCGGAAAGAATTTCTATTGGCGGGGGGGGGGGGAGGCTGGTTACCTCTTGCTTCCAATGCAGTACACAATTATAAAGGAAATTTAGTACAGTTTGACCAAACTGGAGGTTTCCAGACCCAGCCCCATCCCAGACCCATCCCAGACCCATCCCAGACCCATCCCCAGCCCAACCCCAAACCCATCCTCACCCCAGACCCATCCTCACCCCAGACCCATCCCTAGCCCGCCCATATTTCTATACACAAATTTTGGATCAAGATTTTTCTGTTCAAACATTGTTTTCTTTATTTTGAAAAAATGACATATTACTCAAGCAGGTTGGAAAATTTTTGGGTCTCGTTTTTTACCATATAAAAGCAGCTGACTTCCAGTTCGAACTTGATTAGCCAAACTTCACGTGAAACGCCGTGGAAAGTCAGCAGCTGTAATTATCTTAATGATAGAAAATTAAAGTTTTAAACCTCCGTTTATGCTGCCAGTCGGGTGGTTTGATTCCCAAGTGTTCGCCTTCTTATTATTGCAGCATTCTAAGATGACGCTTGCAATGGTTATTTGTTCAGATGTTCACTATTGATTATTCAAATGATATCATATTTTCAGATAAGTCGAAATTAATCACGCATCTTTTTACATTAACTGAGATGCATAGCTTGAAACTAAAATTTTCCATAGTGTACACAGACCTTATGCAATGTGTATTTAAATTAAACTCTTGGCGTGTTTTTATTGTTTAAATAAAGCTTTTATGCACATTTATGTAGGAGATTTGGCCAATTGTTTTTCAAATAGATTTCTCAATTGCTCAGAGTTGTGGATATGTGGGAAGTAGAGAGAAGGCCAACTTGATTACATGCATTATTCGTGTGCTCACAGTTGTAAATTCGGTGGCAACAAAAAAAATTATAATAAATTTATAATAAAAACTATACTTGCAACAGTAAATCAATTCAAAATATAGCCTGAGATCCAGACACCAAACTAAAAGTATTTGGAGTCTGAGGCTCAGATTATTCTAAATATCATTTCTAACTTTTTCATCACTACATTGAAGCATAGTTTTCTAGCCCTACGCATCGTCTAATTCTCTATTTGATTTCTTTTCAGGGCACCATCTGAATAAAACAATTTATCGGCACGATTTCAAGGGGGAGTTTGGAAGGCCTTCGACCATAGACAAACCCCCAGACCGTTCATGGGCAAACATACCATACTGATTTTTTATTTTTGGAGGGAATATACACTTTGATGGCATTTCTTTTTTAATGCGCATTAACGATGTAGAAATATTGAAATTCAGTAGAAAATATTGTAATTAAAGTATTTTACTTCCGGGCCAGCGCCACTGACCTTACACTGGAGGGGCCGTCTATGTAAAATAGGTTTCTTCTACCCCCTCTACCCCCATTGTGGCAAATCTTTTGTTTACGATGTTCTACTCTTGGACTTTAGTTCGATTTATTTGTTGTAGTCTTCATACTTATCCATATAAATGATTTGAGATGGTTTGAATCTTTTATTAGTGAAAAGTAAGGAGGATATGGCCCACTGCCCCCTGGCCCCTTGGTCTCCTAGCCTCTCTGCGTTGTGGGCCCTGACTTAAACGCGAAGTTGAAATCTTAAGGGGTAAGTATAGAATTTTTTGTCAAGAGGTTTTGCTTTTCATGTAATACATAAAGTTTCTTTGTCTTTTCCTTTTTCATTTGCACGCTTTATTTTCTAAATTCCAAACATTATCCCAAGTTGCACTTCATCTAATTTTCAAACAATTCATCTTTTATTTTTCTGATGCACCAATCGTTATGGAACAAATGTTGTCTAAGAAAAATCGCTGTTTAAGACAAATTTCATACGCTGTTTCGTAATTGTTTTGAGTCGTTTTGCAAAGTCTATCCTCGATTCCGGAACATGTCTTTGATAAATGGTGTCGCCATGATCTAGATGAGGCCTGATATAAAGTCTATAACTTGACTTAAGACATTTGTACAAAAATGTCTAGAAATTTGACATGTGGGTGTGGAAAAGAATTATCGGGATATGAATGGGTTTGAGAAGAGCTGTAGTAAAGAAAGAAGATGGTATTGCCGAAAAAATAAAAAAGAGAAAGATGTCAAAAAACTCAAAATATAATCATTAGAGAAAGAGAACAGAAAGTGTAGTCATAGCGCCAGTAGGGGAAAATTGCAAATCAGGAATATTAGAAGGGAAGACAATAAACAGCCTGGATGGCGCACATGAGAGAATGGTCCGGAGGAATATCAATAGCTTGAAATAATGCATGGAAACTCTGTCTTGCTTTGACTTGAGAAAGAGACAATAAAATTACCCAACGATAGCCATAAACCAGCTGAATATATTGCTCTTTGGAAACGTTTTTAGAATACGGATATGTATGATATATGCTTTTGGTGTATAGAACATAAAGGGTCCAAGTTGCTGCTACTAGTTTCACGCTTATCGAGAGCATCAAACAACTTTCAAAACTACTTCCCTATGGGTTATTTTGTATACTTTGTTGCTATGTCCCTGGAGGTATCGGGAATTTCAATGCTCGTAGCTGTTAAATAGGGGCAAATTATCGTCTGAACTAAAGAAACTTATTTTAATGTAGGCATTTTGAAAAGTAAATAAAATGACAATATTGTATTCCGTTCAGCCACAGTAGTGTTCTATGTTAAATGAAGTTGAAATATTAATGTTCTATTTGTCTAACTTTAGGTTTCATGTTCAAAAACATGCGTGATATTTTCTTTAACTTTTGAAATACATAGCATGCTATCTACAAAATGCTCTGAAAAAACAATGCTATTCAACATTATTCGGTTTCTTGGTGTTGCTTGCTTAAAGGCATTGAGTCATGGTAAATAGGCCTTCTCTATAGGGGGTCATTTGATTTCGGCGTGATCGCTTTTGTTTCATGTGATATTTGCATCCGTTGTTTACAACTTGTTATTAATGAAAATTGCTTAGTCAATCAGTACGGAGTGAGTTCATGTGACCAGTTCCAGGTCAGCCAATAGCATCGCAGTCATGAAAATCATGACTCAGCGTATTTTGGCACTTAGGGTATACCCAATCCATTTTATCATAACGATGCCTTTAAGCTATTTGTTCTTCTTCTGGCTACACAATAACCTGACAGAAATTTTCAATTATACATAGATCAAAATTTCCGTAGGGAACAGTATTCTTTAGAGAGAGTCATAACAGTGAGTCAAAATGTCATGTTCTGCAATTTGGGTACATCCTCCTTGGTATTTTACTGCCATGATATGGACATCATACTCTCAAATTTGCTTAACAGTATTTTATGTATTTCACCATCAATGATATAATCTTGACATAACCGTTTGATATAGAATCAGACGTCTTTTCTCGCCCACAGGCAAAAACTGCATTCCAGTTAAATCTGATTCAGCAACTTCTGATTGATTTCTTGGTAATCAAGTGCCTTGATATTCATTTGTTATATCAACCATATTAGATCTTGGCTTTCCAATAAAACGGAAAAGAGCCCGCTTAATTCTTGCATCTCTAAAACTGTAAACAAACGGATTGAGTGTGGAATGCAGATGGAAGAGAAATATGCTGTAGAAATACAGCGTTGCGTAAACCGTTGTTTCGAAAGGAGTGCAGTCTCGGTCTGATACATATGTCCAAACGACCGATGGCCACTTCAAAAAGTACACGAATCCAATCAAACCAAACGGTACAAGTGATAATGTAAACATACAAACAATAATTGCCACAGTTTTCGTTGCCTTGGTTGGTGATCTGGTTTTGTTGATATCTCGCACAACTTTGGTCGTGATTTTAAGTATGCTGATGCAAACGAAGATTATTATCAAGAATTCTGTCAGTATCCCAAATAGTATGAGACAGTAAAAGACAACAAGACTGATACCTTTAAACCAGGCCATCAACGATAACGTAAGAGATGCCAGCCAAATGAATATGCAAACTATAATGAGACGTCTCTTTGTTATGATCTCTTCATGAGTGAAGGGAAACCTAATCTGAATGTACCTTGAGATAATAACAAATAATATACTAAAAACTGTAGCTGAGCACGTCACGCAGTTTAGATAAAATGTAACACGCTGTATGTTAAGAGACGTTTCATAATAGGTAGGATCATTGAGTAGTTCGAATATGTAGACAGTAATCAGCAATGGCTGGCTTACAGTGGCTGTAAGAAAATCTGCAATAGTCAAGCAAATGATGGAACGCTCCGTAAAGCTGACCTTATATGCAAGCAGAAAGAATACCATGCCGTTGATCAATGCTGAAACAATGCTCGAGGGTATGTTTATTGCAACCAAAACTTCTTTTCCATAAAGGCATTTTAAGTTCGGATAAGGCGTCCAAGTTTTGTAGGTTTGGTTCATTTTATTCAGCAGCTGCCTGTGATGTGTAATTTAAATTGATTGCATTAAACGACGCATTCGTAATGACATTGCTTTTCCTTTGCTCTCGACTTTGATATCTTCTATCGTTAGGATCTGAATGATAAAGGCCCTGAAACAAAATCGAAACGTTATTAAACTTGCAATATAACAAAACCGTAACGATGTTAGTGACAAAAATGTTTTATAAATCTGAAATCGATGACAAACCAGGTCACTGCAAATTCTGCTTGAATTTGAAAATCACCACTGTAAAACAGCTTGTAGTCTCTTGTAGCTTAAATTCCAAACAGTGTTTATTATGTTTTAGGCCAGCTCTACACATTGTTGGCTTCAAGATTCTAAAATTTGTGTCCGGTAAACTTTTTACCTAGAAACTGTGCTTTGACAATAAGTCGTGTTCAGAAATGCCGGCTTGATTCACGAGATTCAGCTGTGTAAAGCAAGACCATGGAGATCTTGAAAATCAAATACAAATAATTTCATTTCATTTGGCTTTTATTTTACCAAAACTTGCATTTGCAGGAAAAATCTACTGCATTTATAAGCATAAGCAAATAATGGAATACACATCCTGCAGAGGAAAGCGCGGAAGAAAGGAGCTAAATCGTACACCTGCTGGCACATTTAAGTTGCAAGGTAGGTGAACGTGGTGGCTACATTGACCAAGGCCTTAAATGAAGTGAAAGCTCTTGACTAAAAACACCTACACTGACGTCAATGATTTCTGAGATATTCTAAATTATTGAACTAAACCGAGGGACAAACTTTACTCCATGAAAATCTCACACACCTCTAATAGAAATTGTATTCTTTTATGTTAAAACTGGAAGTCCTTTTGTTTTCGTGCATATCCCGTAATGATATAAGAAAACCATGAAACTGCTTTTCTCTGTAGATTCTGCTTAATACTGATCCTTTGCTTACGGGGGATATGTAACGTACTGAATATTATTTGAGAAAGTAGTCAACGATCAACTTTTCGAATTTCTAACTGCAAACAATCTATTATCCAGAAACCAATTTGCCTATCGCAAGCTACATTTAACGATTACGTCGTTGTTGAATGCAAGCAACGCTTGGTTTAAAAACATAGATGAGAAAATGATTGATGTAAGTTTGTTCTTGGATCTTGGGTAAGCTTTTGACACCATCGACCATGATATATTGTTGACTAAGCTCGGAAAATATGGTATCATTCAAAATGAACTGCGTGGTTTACATCATATCTAACTGGTCGTGAAAGGTATTGCTGCCTAAGCGGATAAAACTCAAAGAAACAGGAGGTCACCTGCGGCATTCCATAAGGTTCATTTTTGGGGCCTCTACGAATGATTTTGAAAAGTCCCTAAGTCCCTATCAACATTCTACCCCAATGTGTATGCCAATGACACAAGCATTTCTCTAGCAGTGAAAATCCCCTGCAACTTTCAGAAGGCCTAAACAGGGAGCTAGAGGGGATCGTGGACTGGCGAGGTCAAAATAAACGTAGCAATGTGTGTTTCTTGGTAATGACAAATAAACAGATGAAATCTCTAATGAAAAATTGGTAAGATCGATACTGACAAAGGTGAAATTAAAAGGGTAAGCAAGACAAACTATTTAGGTCTGACAATTGATGAAAGTTTCTCCTGGAACCAGCAATATATAATAGTTAAGGGAAAACTGCAAGGTGGATTCAATTCTATAAGAACACTCAGAGAAATACTACCACAATCACAATTGTTAAACCGCCTGAGATATGGAAACTTGATGTGGGGCCATTTGCCTGAAAATAAAATTCTGCTCATTGCAGAAGATACAGGATATGGCATCTCTACCTCATTGAATGCGCTCCTATTAAGGGTAAGATACAATCCGCACGTCTAAGCGTTGAAAACATTATCAGGTATGACCGAGCCATAACGGTACACAAGATTCTTAAGGAAATGCGCCCAGAGAATCTTAGGGGAAAGTTTACGAGGAGAAATCGCATCTCAAAATATCAAACTCGTAGAATAAATGATCTGCAAATACCTAAACAACTGTTTGGAATCTCAGAAAAAAGTTTGTCATACAAAATAAGAGTAGTAAAACATTCTAAAAGTTCTGAAACCTTTAAATCGTCAATTTTCTAAAGAATTATCAAAAAGTTAATCTTTAGGGAAAGTAAAAGCTTACCAGATGTTCTACGCATAGAATTTGAGAAGCTCACTGCTAGCATTCATGATTTTTCGCAAATGCTCTATGTATGGTCTCATACTTCCGGCAAGTGAAATGTTACATAAGACACGATTGCGTTGTCATGAACGTGCAGTTAGCAAAAAGATACATGTTTGTTATGTAATTTAATAGCATTATCAGATACTTCAGTATGTAGAGCGTTTGCAGGTGGCGTGGCGTGTGAGTAAGGCAGTGAATATATACACTGGGAATGCCATTTAATACTCGTGTAATCTCTATTCTGTGGTTGATATCCCCAGTATTAAATTACATTTTTTGTAATATACACCTTCGCAGTAAACGACAATGTTATACTTTTCAGGTCGCATAATAGGTCATGTGGTAGGAGCCCTCGCGGCACTTACGGGAATACGCCAATCTCGAATAAAAAGTCAAGCGAAGAGTAAAAATGAAACTCTGGTTTATATCATGCAACCAGTGGCGTACCTAGGGCTGCAGCAGTGGGGGGGGGGGGGTCTGGGGCGAAGCCCTCAGAAATTTTTTGGACCACGCCCTTCAGACACTCGCAAATGCGGGGGAACGCCCTTTTTGCAAAATTTTCCCCCATTATTTGATCTATGCTAGCTACGGTAAATAGCAAAGTATTTTACAATTGTTATTGACACAAGCATACAGTATACTACACCCCCCTATTCCCCCCCTTGGGTACGCCACTGCATGCAACTTTGATATACAATGAGTTTGATTAAATGCTGTTAAGATCCGTCAAATGTATATTCTGCCTTTGCCCTAATGCATAAATTAGTTTAGCAGAAGACTAGCGATGCAGGAGCAGAATCTAAAATGGCGTTTAGCCTGTTTAATCCAAAAGCTTTATGTTAGCAGCAAAGATCACGCAATAAACCCTTGATCAGCCGTGAGCAGTTCAAATTTCTTATGTTAAGTTGTTGATAAAGCTAAATTTTAGCGAAATTAATTAAAAGTTAACGTGAAAAGGAGAAGGAGACTGGAATAGCTCCGTGTCTTTTTACAGCTGGCATCTGCGATATTTAATTCAAATTTAATAAACTTAGCAACAGCAATCCCTGGCGAAAGTCTAAAACTCATGCAGTCAATGACAAATTATGGAAAATGAAAGTTTCACGCCGCAGAATACGGAAATAAACCCCACAGCCCTGTATCTCCCAAAACAATGTCTGTTGAAACGCCAATGACTTAAACTAACCAACAAAACAACATTGAATTAATTTTGAGCTTCGAAACTGATACTATCACCATCTTTTCGAGAGCAAGAGGGGGTGCTACTGAAGTGTGCAAACACTAAGCGTAAATTGCCATGATTTACCGTAACCTTGCATTGTCTGAGTGTTTTTTTTTCAAAATCTTTACCCGATTCGAATTCAGTGCTATGGGGGTGGGATTTTCAGTAGCGCGGATTCATGGGTGTCGAAAAAATTAGATATTTAGAATGGAGATTTCATAATTTAGCCGTTTTTGTAAATTCAGCGAAATAGTGATAATTGTTTACTTGTTTAGTTGATTTCTTCGAATTTTGCTCTGTTTCGCTTGGAATGAAACAACCCAGCAGGCTTAGCAGTAAAAACGAAAATGAAAAAGAGGAAAATTGAGTAATGCAATTGCAATTCCAAGTGTCATACATGTCAAAGTGTCTCTGTGATAGAAGTTTTGAAATATCAATCACAAAGATCTTCTTGTTTTCGGTATGTTGGCGTGTTATAAATAAACAACAAGCTAAGACATGAGTAAGAAGTTGAGATAGTGTAGTATGAAAAACAGCTGTTTAGTTCGACTTTAAGAAACAGTTAAACTTTAAGTCTAAAGATATAGAGTTTGCCGATAATGTTATCAACGAGATCATTACGTCATCAAGAACTGATTGTTTTTCAGTTTATTCATGTAACTCTTCTCCTCCGCAGTTGAATCTCTCTTGAAAATCCTCTTCTGTGAATGACCTTCTTCTTTTTATTACGTACCGATCAAACTCTTCTCCTCCGCAGTTGAATCTCTCTTCAAAACCCTCTTCTGTGAATGACTCTTTTCTTTTTATTACGTACCAATCAAACTCTTCTCCTCCGCAATTGAATCTCTCTTCAAAACCCTCTTCTGTGAATGATTGCCTATTATTACGTACTGATGTTAGTATCAAGGCAAATTCATTTGTAAATTCCTAGCTTTGATACAGCTTAAGAAAGATACTCGCTTGACAAAAAAGCAGGAATGAATAAAAGCAAGGTTGTTCCGCTTCTACTATTCTAATGTGATCTAGGAATTAAGTCTTGAATAGTACTTTAGTCTTCCTGGTCTACTCAAGGCAACTCGAGGCTTATGTCGAAAGGAAACACTTGTCCTAGGACCCCAGATCTCCGCACGTGGCCGCGCGCTCTAGTTTTGAAAGGGTTGTTATGAGTTCGGTTTTAGCCTGAATATCAGGGACGTAAATTGGCAGATATTTTTGGAAGGGGTGGAGGGCTCAAAATTTCCGACTGACAAAGGTCAATTCTAATTTTGTATGAGGGCCTAAACTTTAATAGTTTTCTTACCAACAAAACCCTATAAATTGTCTCGTAAATAATTATTTTAGTTTCGAGATTTTGTAAACTTGGAAGATCGAGCATAGAGACTGTTAGTTTAATTAGTGCATCAAAACATACGTTGTCCAAAAATCAGGTGTTAATTTTTCTCCTTCTACGACTTGCCCATTGCTCCACTATCTTATCTAAATTTTCGTTGTCCAAAATGTCTTTCTCGCAAGTAAGAATCATGAGGTCATTTAGTCTTTCACAGGGGCGGTGCCAAGAAATTCAAAGTAAGGGGGGGGGGAGCTCGAGTTGATAGAATTATTAGACAAAAGAATCATTTTTTGAAAAACGCACTAAAACGCTTTACAATATTTTATTCCTATTATTTTATGGGGCACTCATTATGCTGGCGGTACGTTTGAAGGGGCCGGCGGTAGGTTGGCGGAGGCCTTAAGGATATTGGAAAGAAGTGGCTTCCCTGTGAGCGAAGCGAGCAGAAAACTTTCACGATCACGCTTTTTAGATTAGCTTAAAATACATTTCAGAATACTTATTACAGGTATTTTCTTGCAGTCATTTAAAACATTTTGTTATTTTTAAGGCATGCTCTTATTACGTTTGATTAATTCCAGTCTTAAAATTGAATTCATTATTTTATGAGGCCCCATAGACCTCGGCGTATTCCTTAAAAATTAAGCAACTAAAGGATTTGTCGGATTAATCCTTTCTTCATACTTTTTTTTACTCTTTTTATTTGCTTAAAAATACATTTTTGCAAAAAAGTTGGGGGTGGCTGAAGCCCCCAGCTCTCCACCTGGCGCTGCCTATGTTTCATGGGTCGATCTCGAGCGGAGAACGTTCTTGACAAGTCATGGGAAATGCAATGCGCCTCTTTAAGCATTACTGATAAATATTATTTAAAAAATTCTATTTCGTATCCCGTTTTTAGAAGCAATTTGATGGAATGATTATCACACTATCCCCATTACGACGAATGTAGTTGAAAATACTTGCATTTTCATACAAAATTTCGATTTTTCTGTATTGCGTCACCTCTCATTCTTTTTAGGACTGCCTTTTACCAAACAACTATTTTCTTTTGAACTTATACCTTTCTTATGCTTCTCTTTGAGATACAGTTCACAAGGGCATTTGAGTCAAAACTTTAATTTTCACAAATGATTCAAATTTTCTCCGATTAACCTAGCTTTCTGAACTTTTTGTAAATTTTGTGGCAAAATGATAATTTGAAATTTTTGACAATTGATTTTTCTCTATTTTTTTAAAAGTTTAGTATTTATCAAAATATAAAAGAGTTTTAATTTTATGTATCTGAAACGAGCATGATGTTACCTAATAACTATGCGTATTAAAATGATGTGTAGGAGAATAGTGGCAATAATTATCAGCATCAGAATTATGTGTTTTTATTGTTAAATATGTCCTCATGACGGAGGTAAAACTTAGAGAAAACTCATTGGATTATTGGTAACATAACGCATTCAACATAAACAATTGTTAACATAAAAATATCTGCCATCTTGCTAATCGAACTAACAAAAACGTGGTGCGGGGTCAGAGAACTAGGCACCACTGAAAGGATAATGTTTCATACTGGTAAATGTTCATGTTCATACATAGGTGAATATAAGTCACATCTCAACATTTATTTGATTTCATCTTATTCTGAAGGTAGTTTTTAGAAAATCGAAAGGGGGAAACTATTACCACCTCTCCCCTCTACAGACTTTGCTCTAGATGTGACCAGACCTCGTGATACGTACACCTGAAATTTCAGAGAGCTGGTGACTCTCGTAACACTAAATTGAAATATTGTTATAAAAATTACTGTTTACCAGTCTGTCATAAAGTGATTCATGCCGAATCGGTAGAGCTGTACACACTATTTGGTGTATGGAACAGGAGGGTTTTAAGCTGCTACTCCGAGTTTCATGCTTAATGCGAATGTCAGGCAACTGAAAATATGGTCCTGTCTGTGTTTCGAAAAACAAACCTTTGAAACTGAAGTCCGTGACCCTAACAACTGAGCCATCATGACATTATTTATCTTTTGCCAATTTACATAGCAATTTTGCCGCCATCTTTAGAAAAATTCATTATTGAAGAAAGGAGGCACAAATTAGAAAAGTATTTCGCCTATCAAACTGTATTCGTCAGCGAAATAATATGATAGGTTAGTTAAAGCACAGGAAAAGTGTTATGTGCCGGACATAGGAGCTGGGATCATAATTTGTAAGAGAAAGTGATAATATCGGAAGGTTGGCGATGCTTTTTGCGAGTAAATTGGAATCTTAATAAAAAACGTTTGGTTATCGTGCCATGAATGGTCTTTGTAGTTGAAGTCGCATTTTCATCGAGGTATTTATAAGCTATTTGCATAACAGTTTTCTTTGATATTTAGAA